TGTGCAGGTGGAGGGGGTGGGTGTTAGATTGGTTTTTGTTGGGATAGCGTGTGTTGGGATAGCGTGTGTTGGGATAGCGTGTGTGTTATCACAGTTGCGATGGGATGGGATGGGATATACCAAGGCCTCTTTTCTTTTCTTTCCTTTCCTTTCCTTTCCTTTCCTTTCCTTTCCTTTCTCCTCATACCCATCCCCACACATCCTCACTAGTCCGTCCGTTACTTACGAAATATAAAACACAATATCCATAACTCGCTTCCTTACTTTTGCCTACCTTTCCGGATCCAAATCATCGTCAAATAATGGACTCATACCGCACCTGCAACCGCCATCGCGGAATCGTATGTATATATTTATAACTTATAGGTTTTGAATGGGTGAGGTGAGGTGAGAAAGAATGTGGATTCTTTTGCAAGGGGTGGGTGGGTTTATATGTATGTATGTATGTATGTATGTATGTATGTATGTGTGTATAGTGAGGTGGGAGGTGTCACAGTTAGTGATAAGCGACCGTGCCAGTCAAGGTGAAGAGCCTCGATATTTGATACGCTATCATTACAGGAACGTAGACTTAGCAGTGTAAGAGATACTCATAGGATATAGAAACCAGTAGCTAGAGTCCCAATCAAGTTAGGAAAGTACAATTCGTTGCGCTGCGCCCATATTCAAGCATTCACCGTTCATCATTCCATGTATATAGCACTCACCAACAAGAGAGTACATCTCTACCACCGTATCCGCAGACTTCTCTTTTCGGATCAAGAAAGGCGTGGCTACACCATAGAAAATGGCAATGCGATCTTCAGCCTTCAAGCCTTCCGGACCAAGGCCTAGGTAACCCCGTTCAGTCATAAACACGGTCCTCTTCCCCACATCGGCGAGGGAGCGCGCGCAGGCTTGCGCCTTCCTCACATAATCCACAGGAAAGACCACCTGGTCCCATCCTTCACGAAATGCAAGTTCCGAGATCATTCTTCTCCACGCCAAGAAATTCTCGAAATCTTCAGCCGCTGCTGGGGTTCCAGGTCCCTTCATATATGAGATGTTTGCTGTAAGAGTAGCCCACAAGGCTCGGTCTCGACCTGCGTCGCTAACATATTGCGTTGAGGACCTAGCAAGCCCGAGGGATTCTACGAGCCATGCTTGCACCATCTGTTTAGCCTCTTTCTGGCGCCCTGGTGATCTGTAAACTGGGTCGAGCGGTCTTGGTGGGAAGATAAGTTTGACAGTATCGGCAATAACGCCGGTCAGCGTTACTATCTTACTTTCCTGATCAATCCTCACCCAAGGCTTGTTTGCGCCACTCGCAGTATATAGCATGCTTTTCGCGATGCCTCCGAAAATTGTCCTTCGCGGGATACTTCCCCAGTCCGGTACCCAAGATGGAAGATTGGTACATGTTGTTCTAGGATTACCGATACCTGCTGCGTGGAGGACGTCAAGAGATGATTCATTGGCTAACTGCCTGCTAGTCGTGACTGTAAAGACGTCTTGTGGCAGTATTTCGTAGTCAATATGCTCTCGAAACCATTCTGAATCAGTAGTCATTCCCAACAGAGCCCATATTTTATCTCTCGGGTCCGTTGCCTTGAAGTTGTAGCAGTTTAGCAGGTTATAATGAAGTTCAAGAGGGCTATGGTTGTCTCGAAGCACCTTCATGCTATAGACCATCTGTATGTTTGTCACTCCTTCAGCTTGTGAACGCTCTTGACCTTCCGATTCTACGACCAGAAGCTGGCCAAGACCATTTCCGGATATGATTGAAATAACATCAGCTAGGACTTTCCATTTGAGAGCACTACCGCCGCAGATCATCAAGACATCTTGAGCAAGGAAGACTTCCTGAACTATCCACATGCGCTGAAACCAGGGTCGCTGGAGGAAATGTGCGAGTGCAGTCCACCGCGGTGAAGGAAACTCGCAATTTGCTGACTGAGTTAAGCTATCCATTGTGACTGGGATATTGCGCCGAAAGAGATCCGTGATGGAATGGAAGAGGTGATCTGTGAAATCAATCGCCTCGTCGCTGTCGTCCGATGGCGATCCTAGCCATGCAATGACTTGTATGGCAGACGAGTAGATATCGCCCATCAAGGGGACTTGCTGGCTCTTATCGCTAGTATCCTTCTGATCAATACATATCGCATCAATCCAGAAATATTTATCTGACTTTTGAGCTGCAATGGCCTTCAAAATTGCTGCTGCAGAGCTATTGAGCTCTAAATACCGATCTTCTTCAACCCACACTCTATCTGTTGATACTGCGTCGCCCCAGCAGTAGGATATCGCTTTAAATACATCAGACAACTTGTCCAGCGACACGTTTGTAAACTTGCACGTCAAGCGATCGCTGACAGAATCGCTAGCGACTTGAATCAGTCTGATCTGTCGAGGCTCGAGTGGAGCAGGGTATTCGAAGCGCCTAGCTTCCTTTCCAGAACTATTAGTTGATGTTTGGACAAGAGCGAACACGAGGACTCACTTCTTGCTCCGAAGTCATTGTGCGAAAATAAATAGGGTTACAACTTACAACTACCTCTGTAAAAAGGTTTATGCCGGTAATGCATGCGAAACTGGTTGTAGAAGCAGCAAATAAATCCTAGCTGCTGTACGAGTAATTAGGCAAAACCCCGCATTCACGAAACGGGCGCTTTCTATCCTTAGGCAGCAAGTTGTCCCATCACACCTGCGACATAGGTAGGAGTGATTATCGAACCGACTCCGTTCTTGTTTTATATTTAGCGACAGTTCTCACTCAAATCTTGAAGATGACTAAATGGGATTCTTGAATACAATTAGACGACGAAGGTAATGTTCGACGGGCAACTAAGTCGGCAGGACTGGGGAAGGCGAAGGTCATGAGCTTCAGGAAGCATAAGCGAAGCGTGCTAATAAAGAGGCTGCCAAAGAAGCCAAAGGCAAAGGCAAACGTGGTCTGGTCTGAAGCGCAACACATGCGAAGGTGGTGCATATAAGCGGAATACCGGTCGTGGAAGATGAGATTGTGCTAGAACCATGGAGAGCCCTAATAGCGCAGATATATTAATGGAAGATATGAAAGATGGGATTATCATGAGGGCTAGAGGATTAATAGTCTCAGCTTGGGTCGGTTTCAGGCAGGCTCGCACTAGCTCCGCGACCTGTTGCTATATAGTAGAGTTGGGGCGGACGTTGATAACAAGGTGATTTCGGTGCGTGTTTAGATTATCATCTGATAAAAAAGACCCACTGCCTTCTGGTATCCCTCGTGTGAACGAATAGTTGCGTAATCTTCTTTCTTCCTCGCTTAATCCTGATCCTCCCCCCTTTCTTCCAATCTAGGAGCCCCTTACTAACTCACGGCACCTTGCCCTAATGAAAAGCCAAAACCAGTTTTTAATCATCCACTCATTTATTTATATAACATCAGGCCTAAATACAAATTCTTGATTCGCTTCACTCAAATTGTCTCCCTCTGTGGTGGCCCATAAATCGGAATCGGGGTTGGGATTAAGTGCGCTGGACATCCACGTGTTACTCATGTCTATATCCTTTATATTCATATCCATATCATCCATATTCATGTCTATATTCATATCCCAATTCCATTCATAGGTACTATTGAGATTCATATTCATGTTCATGGGGTAATCGTAGGTTTGGTCGGGGAGGAAAGGTGCGAAGTTTAAGGGACTGGTGTCTATGGTTGTGGGTGAGTGTGAGGGTTCGGGTATGATTTCCTCGGGTAATGTTGTTGGTTGTGTGTTTGAGGTTAAATTCAAGTCGGAATATAAAGATGAAGACTCGTCGGGTAGGGGTTGTGCGCGAGACGATGATACGGGCTGCGTTTGCGTTTGCGTGGTATCAGGATGAAGATCAAAATCGTCGGCGTTTTCATCACCCGGCATTCTGGTCTTCGTTCTCCCATTCCGGCTCAAGCTCGATTGAGGTAAATGTATATTCCCGCTAGCGTGTGCTTTTGCCACAAAACGTGTAGCAATACCGTAGAGCGCCTGGAACATACTCAGTGTCGGGGTAGCGGCGAAGGAACTCCCAGGTTGCACGGCGGCGTTGATGAAGGATGTGAGTTGGTTCATGAGCTGGATGTCGTGCTGGTGGTGGGTTTGGGGGTTCGAGAGGATGTGGGCGAAGAGGACGAGGGATGCGCTGAGGGGGTAGTAGAGTGCCATCCTAGATAGGGTGGTGGTTAGTATATAATCGATTAACGTGAGAAATATACTTAATTGGTTGATTGATGGATTACGGGGTATGGGCTTGAAAGAGGGTTACGAACCACATGATATGCTGATTTTGCAGGTTGTTGCTGCTAAACGTATGCAGCAGTTGAATCGAATGCCGCGCAGCAGCTAGACAGAGCACCTGGCTTGCGTGCCGGCTCTTCATATCCGTGGTATCGCTACGAGGAATTTTGGATGCTTCCTGGTGGCCTGATAGGCGGTGTAGCAGGATTATAGCGTCGAGATATATAAAGTGCATCATGACTACCGGAACGTACTGCTCATCCGAGCATCTGATGGGATGCTCCGGGCGGATATCAATCGGCATCGCATCGCGCCAGCGCTGGAGATGGTTGTCCAGTTTAGCTAGAACTTTCATGCGATCTGATTCTGATTTTGTCTGTGAACTTGCCGAGTATAGCTCGGTGTAGATGCGGCTTTTGATGATGGCCAGCGTAATTTGGTCCTGGAATATGTCGTGAACTTTGGCGCCGCTGGGGGATTGTATTAACCCGGGCTTCTTGGGTGGTAGGTCGATGGCAATATCATCGTCGGTTATGACGGATGGTCTGCCTAGGTTATGGCTTATTGCTTTCTCCATTAGGTAGAAGACCCAGAAGACATTCCGTCGTTGTTCAAGCTCCTCCGCCGCGAGACCAACGCAATCTAATCTCCGGTGGAGGCCTAGAGTATTTGCTAAATTTCCAGCTGCGCATGTCAGTGTGTAGGCGGGTTGGGGATTAGGACTTGATCGTGTGATGTATAGCTGTTCATGAGTTAGATATTATCACTACTGATAATGTAGGCAATAGGGTTCGTACCATCAGAGTCATGGCTTGCATTGCCATCAAGCTGGCCTCGTTGAAGAACAATTCGTGGAAACAGGAGCTTGCGTTGCGGAAATATTCGACACCAGTTTCCTGGTCGTTCGAAGTATAATCGATGAGACAGCTACCTCTTACGTGCATATCTCGCTCGCCTTCTGTTCTGATACTACCTAAACACAATACGGCATTAAACAAAGCATACCATGCGGTGCTTGCCGGTGGGTTTGCAGAGTATTGTCGTTCAAAGTAGGAGTTAAACACCTTCCGACTAACGATCGGGAAGACGTTGTTAAAAGTGATAAAGAAGCCTGTGGATAAGATAAGCTTAAATGTTAAGAGCTTAGTTTCAGCCTCTCAACTCACAATTAACGTATTGTGATGCAAGATCTTTCGGGGGAAGTGGAGAGTGTTGTGATCGTGGTGTGGGGTACCAGAGATCACCATCGGCGCGACCCCAAACACCGTAATCATGTTTGGACATTGTTTGCGCCAGTTGAGCTAGCTCGTCCTTGTCACCTACTCTTTCCGAGATCCACCGAACTCCTTGTGGAGAGAAAAGTGAGAATCCAGAGGCCCAGCCTAACAGCAGTGTCAGCGGGAACATGCAGTTGATACGAAAGGGTGTTCACTAGGTACATACCGATGAAGTTGGGAGACCCACTGGGATCAATGACTAGGTTTGACAGGTGATTGGACAATTCTGCCTGGCTTTCAATTTTATCAGAGCTCTTCTCTTCTTCCTTCCTTTCTACTGGCTCTGTTGTCCCATGTACTTCGGGTGCAATTATAGCAGACTCCATGCGCTTGATTCGGTTTTCCATTTCATCAAAGTATGCTTCTGTCTTACTTTGGTCAACATTAGCCTCCTCCCTGTTATATGAAACTGGATCCTCAGTACTTGGTCAATTTCCGCCTCCTCTTCCTTTCTACCGGCGTTGTAGTACAGCATAGTTTTCGCGAAACGCATCGCGCGCAACTTTCATCGTTGTTTCTTTGGCATTTTATCTGCATCCCCAAAGAAACTCAGTCAGCAGCTGTGTATAGCTCCGTGTATGTCTGTCTGTCGGAGTCTCGATGCTCGAGGACATGCCTTCATCTGTTTGCACGAGTCACACGATGTTCGGGGATTTCGAGGCCATGATAGTGGCTTTAGGGGAATAGTTGAAGAGGCCGCCGAGTCTTCGGTCGAAGCGACATTTGGCTCGGGGTCGTTCATGATCGTTCAAGAGAGAGAGCGCAGCCAGCGGAGGGAGATTGGTAAGGAAGAGATCGGGTCGAAGTGCCAGTGCGCAAGGATGGGACATGTAGAGTATATGGAAGATCGCGGTATGGGACTTGAGAGGAAGATCGAGGCTGACAGGTTACCTAAATTCATAGCCTCGTCGAAACCCATATATTAGGTAACGACCAACATCGTGTAAAAACTACTCTCTTTTAGGATTGAAATCTAAAACACACATATTATATGCTAGTTTACTATATTTCATACACATTTACAATGATGAAAAGTTATTTGCACTTTGCCTGACCGTCTTATTAAAGTCTATTCATAGCCTAAATTCAACTACGGTAGCCTATCTTGACACATGTGTCGCTGCTATAAATAGAGCGCCACACCTCCAGGTATATAAATATTTAAGTTTTTGGTATATTTTTTGTTATTTCCAAAAGGGGACATCTTCCCAGATCTCGCGATTTAAGTGGAATTCGATTTGGGGGGTGGTTGAAGGCTGAAGGTGTGAGGATACAAGGACCGCGGAAGGGCTGCCAAAGAGTCTAAACAGCGCTATGGAATTGATAAAAGCAAACAGAAGCACCCGTATACTAGGTATCAAATCAGATAATACTTGAACTTGAATTAGATAAAGAGAGTATATTAAAGTGTTCCGCCTGGCCAAAATCTGTTAAAAATACATTTTTGTCAAACACGTGACATAACCACGCTAGTGGCTATAACTCGCTTTCGCTCTCGCTCTCGCTCTCGCTCCTGTAGAAGCTTCCCATCATTTTATCATGCTTCAATTAAGTTTGCTCTTCTCCTTAACAGCCACTCGCTTCCCAATCCATTCGCTTTCGAGTCCCTTGTCCAAATCAGCAGCCATGAAATCCACGCAATTTTCTAGCACAGAAAAATAACTCTGCGCCTGCGCCATAACATTCAGATAATTCCCTATCAGCGGCACCTTTCGGTACTTTTCAGCCCAGGCCGGTGGGGCGTCTGCTTTTGCAACCAAGTTACTAGCTAAAGTGTCCACAGAGGGAGGGAATTGTGGCTTGTCATATTTTGGATTCATTTGGTTTGCACAGAAAAGCGACCAGGCCAAAGTATCAGCCGGTTGCGATTTGATGAGCTTATAGTTCCGCTTGTGGGATGGGAAGAGGGGAATGCTAGAGAGAAGCGTATCAGATCCAACAAGTTCACAAGCTTCCACAATCTGCAGACATCTGGCCTGGACATATGCAGAGAAACAGGATCAACGTGGGTGAGAATGGCTTACTAGTCAAGGAGCAAATATGGCTTCTTTGGACTATCCAGTATGCCAAAGCCACTCAAGAGCCAACACCTAATAGGCGCACCACCACGTTCTCGTCCCGCCTCCAAAGCCGCCTGCACGACAGCCGCAAAAATGGTTGGAAACTCGCCTTGAGAAGTCCAACCTGTCATCGCAGCCAAGCCAGCAGCATTTACGACAGCATCGCAGTTATGAGACAAAATAGCAGCTTTGATGGCGGCGCTGTCGCTGGCAGAGCCGACAACAATGGAATCCAGCTTAGACCTGGCTTCGGGGGAGATCTTGGCGGGCGCGCGTACGTAGCCAACTACTTGGTGCTTATGGGCGAGGAGTGCGGGGAGCATCCGAGAGCCAACGTTGCCAGTAACGCCCAACAAGAGTACTTTCATGGTGATTGATAGGATGGATGCGTAATAGAGGAGGGTAGTATATTTAATTATTAATGTTCAGTTTATCACGAATTAATGAGCTGAGCAGGCAATCTTATATGATTTAGGAAGCCTGCCTACTAGCCTACTCGCTCAAAGGGAGGTATACACGCTAGGTAGTTCGGACCCTCGCATAACCTCCGAGGGTCCCTTTATGATTCATAGACGAACTGATTACTAATAACTCGGTAGCAACGGAATCCGAGTCTCTTTGGACAATCCGAAGTTTTGAGACTCAGGGAATAATTAAATACGAAGCTGTCTACTGCTGGAAACCATGTTCCTTCGAAATTATCTGAATCAAAATTTAGTTGATTGGACATTTATTCCTTTACAATTATTTGAATAAAAATTGGCCCCATTATGACCGATCCAAATCCCGTGCAGCTGCGGCAATGGGCCGATGCTCCATATCCGTTGATCGAGACACCGAAGCATAAGGAAGGAAAGGCAGAGTTTAGTTCTACGAGAGTGCTGCATATCAGAAACAAGCAGAACTGACCGCTCTTTAGATTGGAAATACCGATCCGTACATGGAGGCTGCAAGTACAATGTGTGTAGTTCACAACTCACTCCTCCGTGGACTCAACAGCATATATATCCAGGGACCAAACATCCTACCTGCTGATTACGCGGATTTTATTGGCTATAGCTTGTGCTGGTATTCTGTTGTTCATGAACATCACACCAGCGAGGAAGATATGTTTTTCCCTCAGATCGAAGAAGCAGTCGGCGAGAAAGGCTTACTTGATAGCAATGTTGAAGAACATAGTAAGCATGATGACTTTCTTGATATATCTCTTGCATGATAGACATTTTTTATATCGAGCTTCTATAGTTTGACTCTTCTGTTTACAAGTTATGATTATGGTTAATATACATCCTCTATTCATTCTCCCCGGCCTATTTTCGAACTGCGCAAATACCTACTATCCTCGTTTTTGGTTCGCTTTTCTCATACAATCCATAACTTACATCCGCGAAATGCAGAATCCTTCCAATCAGGCTTAGATGAGTTTAATAATTATCTCTCCGGCCTAGTTGGAAAAGAATCATCATTCAATGCCGAGCATCTTAACAGCATCATCGCCTTATTTGCCCCAGCACTATGCAACCACCTCGCAGCCGAGATCCCAAGTCTCCTAGCACTCAGCAAATACGGCGCCAACCTTCCAATAGAAGATCTTTGGAGTAAAGAAGGAAAGCACACAGTAGTAAGTACCTTAATTCCCGTTGATTAGCTTTTGCTTACCTTATCAAATAGACAGCAATGACGAAATTCAACGCCCTTCCATTCTTCTTCCTCAATCTGGACGTTACGCATGAAGAGCACCTGTGGAAAGATTGGCCGCCTATTCCTGGGCCTGCGAGATGGATGATCACGCATTGTTTTACGTTGTGGCACCGCGGATACTGGAAGTTTGCTAGCTGTGATGCAAGTGGGGTGCCGAGGCCTCTGTACGCGCCAGGTCCACGTGGTGGGTGATTTAGTGCTAGAGTCTTACTGTCAGGTCTGTGTGTGTATGGATTTTCTGCTCAGCGGTGGGTAGGGGGCTTGGGGTTAGAGTTTCTATTTGCATCACGCGAATATGAGTGTATGTTATTGCTAATTTGCTATGTAAGCTGGTATATTATATATGAGAGTTCTGAAAAAAGAAAACATAAGAATGCAACCGTCATATGAATCATCCAATTAATCATTTACTCATTACTTAAAACTTCTGATAAATGGGGTCAGGGGTTCTTTATATCCTATTCTCACTATCAGCGGATATATAACTACCTTGGTATCCAAATATACTTACTACACTATACATAACTTAGCAACGAGTCCTAATACCTGTTATCTAATAACAATTCTAGCCCAGCAGCTTGGCCATCTCGGTGTATAAGTAATTTGGCGCTAGCTGGAGTGGCGTCCGTCCGTCACCATCAATCGCTGCCGCGTCGGCTCCCCCCTCGAGCAGCAGCTTAACCATGTCGACACGCCCCGTCTTTGAGGCCAGGTGTAATGGTGTCTTACCAGTATTATCTTTATGCTCCAGTTTAGCACCCTTCTCTAGCAATGGCTTTACTACTGCTATCCGCCCGCTCATTGCAGCCCATAATAAGGGCGTTCGACCAGATCTGTCTGCAGACTCTAGCTTAGCGCCTTTCTCTAGCAATAGCTCCACTACTGTCTTATTCCAGCTTCGTATAGCTGATAATAAGGGCGTTTGACCAGAATTATCTTTTAACTCTAGCTGAGCGCCTTTCTCTAATAATAGCTCCACTACTGCCTTATGCCCGCTTTGTACAGCCCATAATAAGGGCGTTCGACCAGAATCATCTGTAGAGTCTAGCTTAGCGCCTTTCTCAAGCAATAGCTCTACTACTGCTATCCGCCCGCTCATTATAGCCCATACTAAGGGCGTTTGACCAGATCTGTCTGCAGACTCTAGCTTAGCGCCTTTCTCTAGCAATAGCTCCACTACTGCCTTATTCCAGCTTCGTATAGCTGATAATAAGGGCGTTCGACCAGAATTATCTGCAGACTCTAGCTTAGCGCCTTTCTCTAGCAATAGCTTCACTACTGCCTTATACCCTCTCTCTGCAGCATATAATAAGGGCGTTTCACCATTATTGTCTGCACACTCTAGATTAGCGCCTTTATCTAGCAATAGCTTTACTACTGCCTCATGCCCGCTCTCTGCAGCCCATAATAAGGGTGTTCGACTAGAATTGTCTGCAGAGTCTAGCTTAGCGCCTTTCTCTAGCAATAGCTCCACTACTGCCTTATACCCGCTCTTTGCAGCCCATGATAAGAGCGTTCGACCGGACTTATCTTTCGATTCGACATCGGACTTGCCTAATGCACAAAGGAATGCAAGGATTACCTCTTCGCCGAGCTCCGCGACACTAAAAGAAACACCCCTTTGCCGCGAAAATTTAAAGTCGCGGCTAATATTGCTGGGCTTGTTCCTATTTTCAGAGTACTGTTTGCATAGATGGTGAAGTAAAGGCTTTTGTGGCTGGGCTTCGGCTGCCTGGACTTCTAAAAGTGTCTGGACCGCTTCATGACTCTTTGTGGCCAAAGCGGCAAACAATGGCAGTCCATAACGCTCAGATTCAACCTCAAAGCAAGATGTCCTCTGAGGATGGATTCGAATAAGATCGGCCATATCTTTTTCTGCAAGGATGTAAAGAAGGCTAACTGATGGTGTATAACGCCGGATGTCGTGCTTTTCCATAGTATTGTTGTGTAATATCCACTTTTCAAGAGGGAAATCCTCGAGGAAGTTTCTTTGATTCATTGCATTCCGCTGAGCGCTATTAGCGTGGTCAAAGATATTAAGAACTGAATATTCCAGGAATGGAAACTTTGAACTGATGGTTTCCCGCAATTGTGCTGCCTCGGAAGCCTTCGGTAAAGGGTTTGGTATAGTGATATCTTGGTTTATTGGAGCGTTTAGCTGAGCCAAGCAGCAATCCCTCAAAGTTTCGTGGCTATGACCAACGAAGTTCCCAGAGTCTCCAGTCCATTGGTCGCCGTATTTCCCTAGTAAAAAGTCTCGGACGGACTCGTGGATAAACTGGACTTGAGAGGTCTTATACCGCGTGACTTCGGCTAAGCCTTTGGAAGAACTTCTCACAAAGTCCTTTATCTGGTCCAATTCTTCATCTTCCTGGTCCCAGTAAGTGGAGCTGTCTTTGTCGAGACTAAGCTGGATAGCAAAGTAGAGTTCCTGCGGCTTGAGAGGACGAATTGCGAAAAGGATCCATTTGAGACAAACTTTTAACCGTTCGAGGTTCTCTCCATCGCGTGTAAGAATCACCTCAAATAATTCGGTCAGCTTTTGCGGGATTTCCTGAAGCCTCCCACGGATTTTTTTGATAGAAATAACGCTCTTGGGGTATTCAGAGTTGAGTATATCCAGAACTAAGACGACCCAAAGGAAAATCCCAGAAGATTTTTCGAAGATTTCGGATCGAAGCGACTCAGCTTGCTTTGACTTGCCTAGCCTGAGTTTCGACTTGATATAGTGTTTGATATCTTCTGTATGCCCAATTTCGTTTTCTAAGGTGACTTCGACACCCTTCTGGATAACTATAGTCGGATAATGGCGACTTGAGAAGCAAATTTGCAAGTGAACTTGCGCTTCTTTCGCGCGATCGCATAGCTCCTCAAAGAAGCCAAGCATGCCAACAACCTGATTCTGATCGCACTCATCCAGCGCATCAACAAATATCATCAACGAGCGATTCCCAAGTTTTTGAATGGAATGCGTAAACGTCTGCTTCAGCGCTTCTTCGTGCCATCCATTCCTTTCAACACTTTCCGCACCATCGGATGTCATCCAATCCAGACTATCTTTTAGATCTACCCCATTCTTAAAAAGCTGGTGAAGAAGAGAGCGGTAAAGACCCGTTGTCGACTGCTCCTCGGCTGTGCCCCGCGCGAGGAAGAAAAATGACAGCGTGATTTGCGAACGATCGCTTTTTGCGTTGTCTTTGCTGGTCTCGAAGAGAAATTTCATTAGAGTTGACTTTCCGGTACCAGGATTGCCTTTGATCCAGAGAAAGCCACCGTGGTCTGCTTGCTGTATCACATCGTGCCAGGATACGTATTCGGGTGTAGTAAAGAACCAGCGGCAGGTTGTTGCTTGGGCGGCTTTTAAGCTTGTTAGGTGTTCGTCGATTCTAGTGAAGTACAACTGTTCGATAAGAGACTGTTTTGTGGTGGCTTCGATGCTATCATTGGGTGAATCCTTCAATCGTTTAGCGATATTGAAAGTAGCATTTGTGACAGGTGCTACTTCGTCAAGGTGTCGTTTCCTTGTATTCTCGTAAAGCTCCTGTTGAAGTTCCCGGTGAAGCCTATTGAATGCCTTCTCTGCGCCCTCACCATAAAGAAGTGGCATTTGGATGTCGAAAATACCTAACAGGGAATAAGCCCTGTCTTCTTCACGCCTGGTCTGACGATGTTTTGCCCATGTCATTCGTTCCTCGATGCTAAACATTAATGGGGTAGTTCCTCGAAGAGCCGGGGCCGCAATCCCTGTGATATCACGAAGCTGTCTCTCCAATGATTCCTTGTCACCAAGTCGTTTGCCATTCGAGCAAAAGAATTCAACAGAGCGCGGAGCAATAAGTTCTTGAAGTGTCCACTATATCACGGGCAATTAGTTATTTCCTCTTCAAGAGTGTTTTGAGAGTAGAAGAACAGCAAGTTCCCTTTTTAGGGGCTATATAAATAGTATTTGGAGTACATGAGACGAAACATGATAGAAGGGGTTAGGGTAAAATTAAAGATCCAGTCATCCTTACCCCACGTTTAAACCATCGACTGTCTCGGAAGGCTAATTGCCACGACTGCAAAGACGGGTTGATCTGATCTTGATCATTTGTCGAAACATCTGACAAATATACGTAGCATCTGGCCGCCTTGTGGTACCAGCGAAACATAGAGTTGATGGCCTCGGAAAGCTCACTATGATTCGATTTGTCGATGCAGCATGTGTCCACCCAGGAGTATTTCAAGCGGTCGCGTCTTGCTTGTTCTCCGCAGAAACGTATCTTATCATAGCCAGCCTTGCTCTTGCCGGTACCATCCATCAGGTCTTGGAAAGTGACTTCCTCATTGTCCGCTCCCCATGTATGCGAAAGGATAGCATAGGAGTCGGGAATGTCGACACCGAAATCGATCAGGCTGAATTCGCCATCGTTGTTGTATTCCAAAAGACGCATTATTCGGCTAGAGGAGGGGTGTGACTCGTGTGAGGGAAATGATTCTCGATGGAAATTGAATCGCCGAGTTGGCAGTTGGGTTGAAGTTGAAGTTAGATTCAGGCTGGCATTCGTGTCGGTGTAGCAGGAGGCAGCCTCGTGGCAATGGTGCTACTGTCGTGCAACGCTGAGAGTGCATATACCCAGCCAATCGATAGTAAGGACGATATTGCTATTTTATAATCATTTGAATAAAATTATCGGCTTTATCAGAACATCAAAACTTGAGCGAATGAGATTGTGTATTACTCTATGAAACTATAGGGAATTAAATTATGGAAATTCTAAGCATAATTCTAGCTATTTTTATTTGTTTGACCATTACTCGAGTAGTTGCGTAAAGGACTCGTAGCGCAGTGCTTAGCGACATAATTTAAAGGGGTCGGGTCAAGATATGACAAGACAGGAAAGATATTAGATTTGCAGGATGATTTTCTAATCTATATATAGATTAATCTATTATCAAACTATGAAGCAAATGTTGTTAATTCATAACATAAAGAGCTGCAAAGACGATGATACCGGCGTTTGATGTTACCGGAAGCCATAAAGCTAGTACTATGATTCCTGAAAAAAGACACATGACTATCTGGGTGGTATAACGTCTGAACTTATCCGCGATATAGCCTAGTAAAACTCGTCCGATTATGCTGAAATTTGTTAACGGACCCTGTGTGAAGATAAAATATAGGCTTACCTTGCGGAATTTAATATCAGTATGAGGTTATCAGCGAGGGATAATTTTACTCCGTAAGATGATGCTTGTACCTTAATGTAACTAATCGGTAGGAATAGACCTAGATAAAATAGGAATGATGCGATGGTTGTGAGAACAAACGGAGCTTCCTTGAAAGCCTAGTAATAGCTGCTGACCTGTAAGGAAGACCAGAATTACAAAATCACAAATTCGTATGGCACAGCCAAAACCGACTCTGACCACAAGGTGATCAAGCAAGATAGGGAGAACCACTCCTCTAAAACTCAATCTGGCGACCACAATCCCAAGAGCAAACGCACGCTTCTTCATGAACCAAGGGTGGTACAGAGCACGGGCTACCTCTAAGCGAGTCAATGCCCCCTAATCTCCCTCCTGCTCTACCTTTCCCCTTTGGCTTTATCCTATGTGACCATATAAATACTCAAGTGGACGTAAGTCAAGTTACGGCTAGAGGTATATATTCAAAGTTAATTATTTTGAGATCTGGATAAGTTGTTCGACTTAGCTGCTTATATAAGTATACACAGGCTATAAAACTCTTCACTTCGGTTTTGTAGTACTTTGCAAGCACCGCGTCATTTCATCTCATCTTAACTCATCTAATTCCAACCTTCTTAATAGTCATTACCGCCAGATTATACAGTATATCCTCTCCCTACACATCCCACACCTCCCCATCCACCGCCTAACCATCCAACGGACTCTTACAAACAAACGAATTCGTCGCCCCGCTCTTAAACGCCGCAATCAGATTCTCAATCGCCGCATAACTGCCCAACCCCGCCATAGCCAGGGCGCCCAACATATACACGAGATTGAAGCAATTCAAGTACCACTTGTCGGCAAAGAAGCCCTTCAGGATCCCCTTCCCGCTCTTCGTCTCGGTGCCAGTAGCGGGATCAAACGAGCCTGCAGTGTTCTTGTTCATCATGTAAGCTATGGACAGCATGGGCGGGAAGGTGTATGTGAATTGTAGAATGCAGACGGCGGCGACGATGCCGGTGAGGCCGGAGAAATCGGGGATACCAGCTGCGATCACGAAGGCGATGGACCAGTAGACAGGGATTAGACCGACCCAGACGAGCTTTCCGGCTTTGGTGGAGAGAGGGGGTGCGTGGAATAGTTCGACGAAAATGCTGTTATACATGACTGGAAGAGGAATGTGTTAGAGTGTTTGTTCTACGGGGAACGGGGTTGGTAAATAGAGAGTTAGTACCTTTGATGCCAATGTTGCCATAGAGAGCGGCTGCGATGAGGGCGCTAATCATTGCGAAGACATTACCGGCAGTTTGGAAATTATACTTTCCGATTCCTAGGTAACTTGGGTTGATAACGTATTGGCCTGTAAGAAACTGTCAGTAATTTTATGGGATTGTCTCGGGAGGCGAGGAACTTACCTTGGTATCCATACATGAAGAGGCCATAAAACATATAGATGATATAGATGAACGACTGAGCAGCCCACATGCCCTTCAAGAAATCTCTCGGGTATCTCATCTCCGACATGAACTCGGGGAAGATCATAGCACCTCCATATGAGAAAACAGCTTGCATTGCACCGTTGACACTACCAGCAAAGCCACCGGAAGGAGGAAGTCCAGCCGAATGTTGAACCCCAGGGAAGACGCCATTGGAGTCGGGAGTGATGGATGTACCACCGTTAAGAGTTGCACCAGCGGACTCAGCAGCACCTTTATAATTAGGAGCGGTGTGAGCAGCAGCGCCCATAGTGATGATCATGCAAATAACATTGATCCACACAGCAGCATTAGCCAACCAGCCAAACTTCTGCAATGTGCGAACTTGGCCGAAGAAGAAGCCAGCGAGAGTCCAGACTAAGCAGCAGATGGCAAAGCAGAGTTTAAATTTGGCTGCTTGTGAAAGAGCCTCGCCGTTAGATACGATGATGAGTCCCACACTTAGGATCAGTTGGATCGATTGCAGGATGTTGAATAGGTAGCGCGTCCAGCGGCCCATGAGGCGGAATCCCATGTCACCGTAAGTCTTGATGGGAAATTCGTATGAATCCATGCCCATAAAAATGGTCCATAGCAGATATCCCGAGTATCCTGCAAGAACAGCGAAAACTGTAAAGAGGGTAATACCTGGACTGCAGAGCTTGTCAGTTTGCTATAATCCATCATTTAGAATTGCAAACAGGATTTCATTTTACTTACCCCCAGCCAGTGGTAGCAAAAGCATAAGGAAGTCCAAAAGGTCCCAGGATATCCGTAGTAATAAGGTAGAAGATTGCACTCTTCGTTGCAGTTCTCAATGCACGACTAGCATTCGTCCATTCTTCAGCAGTGATATGGTTGCGGTTCTCAGCCTTGGCCAAGTTCGTATTTGCATTGATTTCTGCACCCTGCTTCTCGGCGCCAGAAACATTGCTTGCTCCCATACCCGACTTGCTGGGGAAGATCATCTGGACCCAGCTTTGTGTCGCGGCGATGTCTCCCACGTGCTCTTCTTCTTCGGCGCGAGTTCTTGCGGCATAGTAGGCGTATCTGTAAGCTGTGGGTTAGCATATCTGCAGAATATTATGACCAAATAGTATAAGAGACTGGGGGAGAAGTGAGATCCGGTCTATTATTACACGATAGGTGATTCAAGTCGCAGAGATATGCTGGAAATATACTTACTCAGCAAAACTGATAGAGGCGTCATGTGGAACTCGATTCTGGGGTCGAATCGCAGGCGTGATACCTTGGTCTGAGTCTGTTGAGAAGACCCCCTCCTCCTTCCTCAACGCGGGATCTTCAGCATCTTTAGAGAGTCGCGGGTCCCCACCATCAAGAGCAAGGTTCGCAAGGTTGGACATGATGCCAATACGAGCTTAGAGTATACCAGTACTCTATTTTACCAATAATTAAGGTGTTGTAGTGGCGAGCAAGTGATCAATGTGTAGGAGAAAGAAGAGAGGAGCAGAGGTTGATGAGTAAAGTATATAGAAGGAACTCGGCGGTTCTTGGGAATACATATGGGGATCTCGTGTCAGATTATTTGTACTCACCGAAGCTCAGGCAAAGGAGAGAAAGCTAGCTACCAAGCAATATACCAGGATTGTAACATTTACCTGCCTATTCGAGATGTTGAACTGGTGATGATACCTAGTGGCGTGCCGTGCTTCTGCAGGGAAAGCATTGGACCAATCTACGAAGTACAATCGCCTACTACCTCGCTTCATTGATAAATATCTGATTGGCGAATCTCACAACCCTGTTCTATTCTATGGGGTACGGAGGTAATTTTCCCACTTGAAGATTTTATAAAGATTATTGCGACGCGTAAAGTATCGCGACTGACAAACCGCGGAAGGGATAGGAACATAAGAAGGTGCTCACCATCACCTCATCCTACAATTCATCCAGACCATCGAGTCCATGCCATGGTGTTGTTACTTTTAAATCATACGATATACGAGTATACAAGCTGGCGAATCACTACCTAAGTAGGTATATCTGCTAACGTCCCCGGCCCAGCCACACATTTGCCGCCTAACCAAGACCTTGGCAAAAGCTTAGCAAAAGCTTATCAAACGGCCCGGGTTCGAAAGGCGCACGAGGCTCGACGTCAAACTAGAGGGGTTGTAACGCCACTGGTTTCGAAACGGCACATATGTAATTTACGCTTCCCAGCAAAGAAGAAACCAAAAAAGAGGTTCAGTTTTGAGTATGACTCGATATCTTCTTGTGTGTTGTTTCGCGGCCTATAATATTTTTAAACCGCGTATTATTATCAAGCGATACACCAGATATAATGCTGTAAGACGGGCAGTTCTCACAATAATCATCCCGTCTTACATTTCTCCCTGCCCCGCTTCATCCCCCCCCCCCATCTCAAATACTAATTGCGGGAGGATGCTCCGAGGAAGGCTCTGTACACCGGGCCCTCGGCGCGCGCCCTTCCCTTATATATATATACCTTCCTCAAAAGGAAATCAAACTACTGCTGTCAGCCAGATATCTACCCATCTGATTCTTGATCGAAACATTCCCGGTCTAAATCCACAGGCTTGGACCAATAGATGATCTTTCCATATGTACTCCGCAGATTCTAGAAGGCTTCTAGCGGTCTTGATGTTATTGATTCGGATGCAGTCTTCCCATAACCCTAGTCTAGTCCAAAGAACCCGCCAAAGCAGCAAATTACATTGTTCATAAATAGTACCCAATCAGAACCCGACACTTGAAAGGCCTGGGAAATAGAGCTGATCACGCTCGAAACGTTACCTATAACTAGCATCGCTTCGTCTGAACGAAAGCGGAAGGTGTATATACTTACCAGACTGACACCCGTACCCGTCATTTTTCGAAGCAGCGTAATCAACGGAAGCGACTAGGTAGTAGGTATCGAGTTTCCGAAAGTGTGGGAGAGGGGCGCGGCTCTAGACGGCTTGTTCTAGTCTCACCGAGAGTCCGAAACTATGAAAGTGATCCGATGCTCAACGTATTATTCAAGAATGGCCTTCTAGCCGATCCACTTCTTACATGCGCACAAGTCCCACGCACATTCTAATTGGTTGTACCATAACGTTTATCATAAGTATTACATTGGCTTAGATCTCACTCCGGATTAACTGCCCATCGCAAGAAATAATCAGTACCGCGATTTTACAACTATCTAAGTAGTTCTCATGTAATCACATTACAGTTATTCTGCTCATAATGGGCCTATTATTAAGCTAGAGGATACATACCCGAAAGTCACGGAACATCTTCTTGGCACTGCAAGCAATGCAGGGCGTTCCATTGCCTCGGGATTCGGGACGCATGCTTGAACCATCAGGACGGTCCGAGTGTCTCTTATTCTATTTGCCTTTTACATGCATATATGCTTTAAACCTGCATATCATGTCTTCAATTGCTACAACTCAGCATCTATTTCATTCTCTCTTTTCAGAACTATATTAAAAGAACAAGGTTAAAAATAAAAGAAGTCACTAGTCAAAGCGCCATATAGTATATAGAAAAAGCAGCACTAATAGGTGAGGTTATAAAACCTATCCTGATTTTCCTCCCTTCCCCCTCCGGCTCCACTGACCTTACTCTCTCCCAACCCCCACCCCTCACCACCGCACTTATATCAAGGACTTCCCCCACCGCAAAAAGCACCATGAAATTGAACACCACACACTACCTGTCACGCTCCCTTAAACCCCTTTATTTCTTTCCGTCCCTCCTTCCTTCCTCCCTTTAAACAAACAAAAACATACATAGGATGTCATCATGTAAAAAAGAGAGAGAACTTACTTCCACCTAGCTATGCCACCAATGACATACATTCTCGCATCCCAGTCAGCTGTTACAAGTTTGCGGATAGAATGAGTGCTAGATATCGTTATAGCAAATACGAGAAAGAGCGTCCGTTAGAACATGTATGACGGTATGTTCATCATATTATAAAAGAGAGTTGAAAACAATGAGCAAGTAAAAAAGCCTTGTTTATATAGATTGCATGGTGCGATGGAAGCTTCGTACAGGATAGATAAGGTAGGATGAGGTGAGAAGAGACGACAGTGAGTAATCAATTCGTGTGTAGAGTTCAGTCATGAAAGGATGGATGTTACAATTTGCCCTTCCTGCTCCGCTAGAGTGGTGCAGTGAGCAGTGTACAGGGGCCAGAAAAATAGCAAGACATGCTGCATGCACGCAGGCTCGTAGATGCATAGGTACATATGCATGTAACCTAGCACTTGAAACGAAGTATACCCCACACCACAAAGACATTGAACTGATTGCAACACATACAAAGTCTACGTCATATTATTATAACATTCCTATAATACAAACCGAGCCCGCAAGCCCCCGTGGCAGCAGCCCGCCATCGATATATCCAGCCCGCTATGAGTAGAGAAGAGAGGATGAGGACCTAACCGGTCAAAACGCTCAAAATGATATACATGAAGCTTTTCATCTCCCATAAGCGTGGCGAGGCTACCTATGTTCCGGCATTACCGGTACCAAGGAAGCCCAAGAAGCCAGACTTCATAGCTTTCATACCCTCTTCCTCTTGTTTCTTCATGGCTTCCGCTTCTTCCTTTAGCCATTTCTCGCCGTTCTCGCGGATCTCCTTGTCAAGGGCTGCGTACGCTCGCTGGCCTCGCTCCCGTGCTACGTCTTGGAGCATCTTGCCTTGGGCAAAGGCTTCCGATGTGGATTGCTCGTTAGGGTCCCTTTCCATCATGCCCCCGGCCTTGATTCCTAGCGCATTAGAGAGGAAACTAGTACCGGAACCCCGAGGAGCCTTTCTTGATTTTAACTCTTCGTGGAACTTCTGTCGTGCAATTGCTTCGCGCGCAGCGAACTCTGTGGGAATATGTTTTCCTTCGAAGGATTTGAGGGCCTTTCGTACGTCGCTGTACGCCATCGTTGGCATGTATTCGAGGAAGGGGATGTATGAGACGAGTTCTTTGTCGTCGGCATTTCCTTCCCATGGCTTCAGGACAATCGCGTTTTCAGGTTGGTTTTGGACGTGTGAGGCTTTTGTGTCCATGATTATGACCTTGGAGAGATCACGGTTGAGATATGCGAGATCCTACCCACGTTAGCATTGATTCGATTCTGAAGTGCGTAATAATATAACATACCTTTACGTATGTGTTTTCTTCTGGTTTGTAAAGTGTCGCCTCGCGGAACAATTGCCATGTTGCTATGCGGAATGGGTCCAACTTCTTGATGACCGGATCCGCAATCATCCAAGGTTGACTGGTAAAGATCACAATTTCGTAATATAGACTGAGATATCGCAAGAAATAATCAACACCTGGTCGTTTCGCTATTCTCCATCCGTGTTCTCGGCTCCATTCAGCCTTAATCAGTAAGTCCTCCAAACTCAACACCAAAGTATAATCTCGTGCAAAGCTTGGGTCTACGTCAGGTAGAAGCTTTTGGAAGGTTGGCTTTTGGTAGTAGTCGAATAGATCATTATACCGAGCCTTTGCACGAGCCCACATCAACCCTGGAGTCATTCCATTTGGTACGTCTGGATGCTCTGACTCCAGTTCTGGTGTTTCCCAGTTGCGCCCAAGAAATAATGTGCCGCTGGCTCCTGCAAAACCAAAGAAGAGATACATATATGAGAATCGCTTATTCCGGTTTCGTTCCGCCGAGGAGACGTATGCAGAATCTGGGAGTTGCCCTTTTCCACCTCCCCCTTGAGCTTCTGTCAGGTTTAATGGCGAGGAGGATGCCTTCCGGCGCTGAGCAGCTTCAAATTCCCAGGTGGAGGGTATGCCTTTTGTGAGATCTGGTAGCGATCCAATCTGAGCCTCAGCTTGAGCTTGAGCTTGAGCTTCTGCAGGATCGATGGCAGACGGCGAGCTAGATTGAGGAGCGGTATTTTCGGATGGAGAGGCTGTAGTATTGAATTCTTCTTGCTTTTTCGAGAATGCTGGATCCTCCCCTTTCCTTGAAGCGGCGTTCACGCTTCCTGCACCCGTACCCTGGGATTTGGGTGTGGTATTCTGTTCCGGAGATGCATTTCCACTTAACTCCTCCTGCTTTTTCGAGAATTCGGACTTTCCCAACTTGCTGTTGACCTGCGAACCTTGCTGTGTGAAAGCTCCAGTCGCAGCAGCACCTGCAGCAACTGGTTTTGAGGGCTGATTATTTCCAGACTGTCTCCCATTACTCGAAGGCTTGTTCTGGCCATAATTTGGCTCGTGATTCTTGGCCATAGACCGGCTCCATAGTTGCGACGATGAGGCTATCCGAAGGGCTGCAGGAGATGCCCCGAGTCGTGGTGTTTGCACTGATCGGGCGAGTACTCTTGACAACATAATGGGCAGCACAGTAGAGAATGGCGTGGTAGACTTCAGCGAAGAAGGTACGAGGGGAGAAGGAGCATTGAGCGTAAAGTCAATAGTGATAATATAATCTCAATCACTAGGTACGTGTACCGCTTCCCTACTTTCTCTGGCGATGCTCTGATGCTCGTGAAATATTTATGCCGCTAATCTCAACAGGGAAAGGTGCGCGCCACTGCCGATTTTCGCATTCTTCCTTATAAGTCTTCCCCGCTCCTCTTCCCTTCTTCTTCTTTTTTTTCTTCAAAGTTGCACTCAGATCACGAAATTTGACACTGCGTTCCTGACCTCCTCCACGGACGCAAGGTTGTATAAGCTGAGGAGATGAACACTATGGCTTGTTCAAGAATTGGATGTTAGGCCGGTGCTTTTCGGAGCGCTGGTCAAGAGCAATTCGATCCCGTTACACGTCGACATTACATACAATACATACAACACCTACTTACGATCCCACAATACCCAATTCACTCCCTCTCCTACATAGCTGGCCTCTTTGCCAATAATACAATTGTACTTGCCCATAAGACTGAGATTCTCGAGACTGTGCCGCTCGATTGCCGTTCAATTTCATTTAAACATCGAGAGCCTTCACAATGACTGCGAGCAGTCGGCCACGCGCGAAGAGACGAATTGGAGCAGCACCACAACCCACGGCTGTGACAGAGAAAAGCCATGCCCCACCAAACAAACCCATTGCAAGCACGTCTACAACTCCACTGTCCTCCGCATATCCCTCCGCGTACCCAACCGAAGACGAAGATGAGACCCTAGGACCCAAAATCCAGTCATTTCGGTTTCTTGCTCTCCCCTCCGAGCTGCGCAACAAGATATACTCCTTCGTATACTCGACTGCTCCTACCGTAATTGATCTCGATCCTCATACCTTCGCTCTACTCAATCAACAGAAGCTCCTATCCCTCTTTCGAGTCTCGCGCCAACTACATCATGAAGCAGCACATCACTTCTTCAGCACACATACGTTTCGTCTCTTCCCTACGTACCCAGGCCGCTATTTGAAGACCAAGAAGCCTCTCCTTGCTCGCCTTCCCGCACACTATAGGGCCTCTATGACTTCTTTAGAGCTACGCTTGGGACCTGGATTCAATAATCCGCCACAGGGATGGATTGTGAATGATGCTTTGGGACTTGCTGATTGTACTACCGTGAGGGTCTTGAAGGTTTTTGTAGAATGCGATCCCAGTGATGCAATTTTCAAGGGGTTTCGAATGGGTGAGGGAGCATACGAGCGTTTCTCCGCAGAGCTATTGAATTCGGTCTTGGAGGTAGTTGCCAGTGTCACGACCGTGGAATTCGATGCTTGGCCTTCGGTCAAGAGGGGTGGAGATATGATGACCGGACTCGGCGAGGTAGTGGCTCAGCACGATAAAGTGGTTGGTTGGGGCCCTGAACGAGGTTGGGACAAGGATAGCGACCAAATATGGCTTGATGCAGTCCTTATGAACGGTCTTGGCAAGGCTCTTAGCAAGAGCGTTGCCATCTTCGGTTGATATTCGACTGGATGCTTGGTTCTGGACCAGCGGAAAGCATTACTACTTATCGTTCAAGGCTTCAAAGTTGATTGCCTTCTAGAATGATTACCAAATGAAATTTGTTAAACCCCCAATCTTCCTCATACTTTGGCCCTATGTGATGTATGCTGGGACCTTGTCTGTTTTCTTGTTGTGTTCACCGGGTTTGTTGCAGATCGCAAACGCTTTCGCCACATCTCTCGATCCTTTCGCTTCTTTCTCCTAGAGGCTCAGCTCATCTCATTATAAAGCGCACCGCAACGCGCACAGCCGCACAGCCGCGTTTTCCTCGCCTCCACAAAAAAAAATCTCCATATTCGAAGTGGCGGTGAAAATGGCTTCATTTTGTTGCACATCGCAGTCCACGTTTTCGTGTGAGCCAGCCACGTGGAATTCTCCACTCTCCCACGTGGCTGTCAGCTGCCTTCTCCAGTAACCTTTTAGGAGTGTTCAGGTTTTGGTGGTGAGCTCGGAGGTGCTATTTTATTGAAAGGAAGCCGTGCTGTGTATCACTCCCTCATGGCGATTAGAGCTCCGCTCCCAAGGCCAGTCAGGTTATATCTGGCAAGTCATTTATTTATACCCAAGAACCACTTTCCTAGGGAAGTGTACTTCGTGTTCTTCATTACTATTCGCTACCTGCTGTATATCAATCCATAGTCATCGCTGCAAATATTGCCTGCAAATTTCTACGGCTAAACAACCAACTCTTATATCTCCCATGGTCTATATGACCATAACACACGACTTAAGCCTTTTCCCTGGCTTGCCAGGCTGTCATTCATGCACCTATATCAGGAATGGTATGAACCTGTCGGAGAATTTGGATATATTGCGAAGTGCAACAATGTCTAGATTAGCTGCTGTCTAACACGCTGGGTTTTGCACTTTTATATAAGTACGTGTTGTTAAAGACCCCATGTAGCGTAATGCTACGCCCAATGAATGGACGTTTCGGTTTTTTTCGCTTGTTCACGAAACTTTGACCCTCGGGCACTTTTGAGTAGAAAAATCTTTTGAACTTTTCGTCGTTCAACAACTGGGGTGGGGAAGGTTCGCGAGTGCAGTCTGTTCGATGACCTGTGCGAGAACCTACTAGGGGAGTTCAATGTATTGGTTCTACCCCTTTCAGTGTGCTCTTGAATTATGATTTTGCTATCTGCAACGATACGAAGAGCATTGAATGGTCATGAACTCTTGGAATGTGCCTCGCCATTCCCAACTCTGCCCTACGAGGAAGTGGTGTGTTGAGGATGTTGGGGAGAGGAAGACGGCGAAGCGTTTGCTTGGGGTGGGGCGATGTTGGGGGTGCATTTTGAAGAGGGAGAAGCAATCCATATTAGGTTGGTAGCTTCAGGTTTGCTGGTGGGTTTGTTGGTGGGATCGTTAAAGTTGTTCTCAGGGGGGTGGGAGTTGAGCAGAGTCGGGATGGTGCAGATGAAAGTGCAACTATTTTTGGGTTAGATTCCTCGAGTTTATTGATAGGGTGGTTGGTGTGCTAATCTCCAGAGGCGGAGTGGTGGTTTGAGGGAGTTTAAACAGCGACTCTTATTGGTGTTGTTTAGAATGCGAGGTCTATTGGACCAGTGGTTCTCTTTTAAAATTCCCACATACAGAGCAGCAAAGTCTCAGGGCGGTATTAATCAATGGTATCATGTTCTACCGTACTCGTATACTCCTCCCATTCATCCAAAACAATACTGACTCGTAACGGACCAGCCGCCCTGTCATTGATATAGACAAAAGAAAGTTATCCACGCCACGCTAGTTCTGTTGCGCCCATCGCTAATTCACATCATTTCCCTAAGTCAATTATACAATACGCCCTCTCTTATATCTTATATCCCACAAAAACACAAGTGCCATCATCTTCAACCCAGCACTGTTTTAACCTCCACTCTCATTTCCCTTGCGCTCTCCCCGTTGCGCCCCAATGTCAATCCCCCTCAAACTAGACACCCTCCCCAACCCCACTGCCAGTCGTTCATGACTCTGTTGATCTAAAGCATATATCTGCAGTGGACTAGGTCCTTTCGGTATAACACCTCTCCCTGGCTTCATCCCAACCTTTGTAGGCTCTCTCAAGGAACCATCATGACATTGAGTCTCCAGCGAGTCTCGAGTGTAGCCTGTAGATTGCCTCTTTCTTTCTTTGCAGACTTTTGGGGGTATCAGAGGCCGAGATGATGGTAGGGACGGAAGTGGTCTCTTCTTATACAGTTCCGCGAAATGGGGCTCTTCGACGGATGTAGAAATGGAGGACGGGGAGGATGGGCAGCGGAGTGCATGCCAATCGTCAGAGTCTGTGGTAGAGGGCAGGCTTGAAGTGCTTCTTGAGGAACAGAAAGATGGTGAAGTGGTCGTCGTCGAGTTCCATTCTCGGAGACAGCGTTGTATTTGTGATGGTCTATAATTGTCATTATTAAGTGGAAGGAGAAAGCGGGGCGTAAGAGCCTACGTGACGGTGAGCCGGCGCTCATATAGCAAGTCAACGATTTCTTGCTCGTTCATATGGTCTTCGATATATAATTTTGTGATCCAATGCCTGTGTATCGACAGTACATCCTCGATGCTTAGTTCACTATGTTGGGTGTCCATCCTTGGCATGTTAGGTCCCGATGTTCTAGTTCACAAACGCTCGTGCAACTGGTGGTCCGAGAGAATGAGAGGCAGGGTGGGTGCGTAAGTCAAAAGAAAAAGAAAACGGTGGCGGAAGGCATATATACATCTGCAAAGTGCCGGGTACCATGCACCATGACAGGTGCAGGCATTTAGGAAATGTCCGCGGCTATATGGGAAAAGAAACAGGGTTTGTATTGTGGTGATTTGCAGCGCTTTGGGCCCGATCCTTTGATGCATAACACTATTCTATAGATCGCAAGGTATCGTTCATGATGTAAGCACAAATGTTATAAGGCAAGGGCTCGGAAGGTGGACTCGTCCAGGGCTCTGAACCCGGTACGTAACCGTACAGGGGATTCAGGGCATCACTGGATGCGTACTCTGTATATTACTTTACGATAGATGGGCTGAAGGGCAAGGGCCCCAGCTGATAACTTTCCCGTGGTTGTGGCCGCGGGGTACTCCGTATTCCATGACCGTGGATCTGGATCCTCGACTTTGTGTAATTTGCTCTGCTATGAAGCAACAAGTTTAAAAAGAAGACATGAAATATCTTTGTATTTGATATTTAAGATCACAATCGCTCGAGTATGAGAATCCCAGAACAGGGTGGCCAAAAACAGTAACTTTAATTCATCGGCGCACAACAACTTGTAAACGGCGTGGGGGTTCGCCCCTAAAGTCGGAAGGTGCCGAATAGCTCTGAACTAATAGAATATCAACCTATCAATTAATTCATATTTAAAAGCAGGAGTGATGAAACGCTGACTCGGGGTAAATGATTATGTGGGGGCCCTATTATGTGTGGAGAAGAAAGGGGCTCTTAGTCGGATTCGCAAGCTACTCCGTGTAGGTCATAGTGCTTCTATATGGGGTAACTTACGATACTTCGAACAACGGTTTGGGCTATGGACTATGCTGGGGACAAGGATAGATATGGAATCGTTATTTTCGAATACATTCTTAAATTCCGGAATCGATCAGGAATTAATCAGTTTAACCTTATTAAATACATGCATTATTCCTTATCACGTAAGCATAGATTAAGCCTAGTACGCATAAACTAAACCTATTTCAGCCGTTAAAAGACCACCTAGGCCAATTTTTACATAAGATACTATTTTATAGAACTATACTAGTGATAATTATCATGATATCACTTCTCTTTACTAAATAATAGCTAACCCTAACCTACTTTAGATATTATTATCCTCTATATAACTAATTAATAGATTCAGTAAGAGTTATTAAATGCAAGAATTCAATTCGTAAGAATCATTAAATTCAGCACTGAATTTAATAGTGCCGATAGCCTAGGTACTGCAAATTCAGCCTGAGTCCTGCCTGACCTTGCAACCGGAAAGTACCGTCTAAACTGGCCAGATCTTAAAAACCAACACGGATTGTCCACCCGAAAGTAGTGGACATTATGCAATTACCCAATCATGCGGCGAGAAGGTTTCCGGAAATAAGATAACTGTAGGGCAAGACACCTTAGCTTTATATCATCAGCGCCATATGCCGGTGGGAATAACGGACGCGTACCAGGAACCGGGTCACAACTAAGTTTTTTTTAAGTTTGCAACACTTATCGGTCTAGCATTGAAGCAATTGTTGTCGCGAACGGACGCCTCGTATGAGAAATGATCTCCATATCTTCTTTGTTTATTAACGCCTGGTATGGCTATATTATCCATACCATACATCTCCACCGTGTCAACGGCTGAATGATGCTACTGCCTTAAAATTTGAATCCAGGTGACTGGACTAGGCTTGCTAACATCCCTTTCCAGCTGCTAACATACTTCGAAGTAACCTCAGGGTTCTTCGCTTTTGTACCCGATCTTCCCTGGCCATGCATCAGATCTACCGTTTCTACTGCATTGCATATCGGTATCTCTTCACTTGATAGAGGGCTGACCAATCAGACAAAGAGAAGTGTTGCTAACAGCCGCCCAAATACAGATCCTCTAACTAAATACAGATTGCTGTTAAATATCAACTTTTCATTAACTACATTTCGTTAGAGTAATGTGATCAGGATGTAAGGAGCCGTACCAATCCTTTTGCCCCATTTCCGGAACAAACTCTGTAAACTCAGCTTGGCGCTCAGACTTAACAATGCATCTCCTTTCGGATGACGAGGAGCGTGAGGAGGCTACCAAAGAACCACGAATCGATTCCTTCTGGCTCGAAGATTTAAGTTAATGTAATATTAGACTAAAAAAAGAATGAGTAGGGACGAAGCACTTGCAGAGTCTACTATTGTAAGAGATATACGTCGTGTGGACAGATATTTCGGTAGTATAGATGTATAAAAAACACCGTTGATAACAAATTGCAGGCAGCAAAGGTGTTATGTCTTGGAATCAACTACCGAGTAGTAGCACTTTTCCACATACCGGCGTCTTCATTCCCCTCCCCTCTCCCGTCCTGTTTATAAACCCCTGTCCTAGCTCCTCACTGGCCCAACGCTAGTATTATAAGGCTATGGTTTTACAATTCCCCAACGCTCCTGCCTAGTGCTTACAGTCTTGAACTTCCAGGCTATAGAGACTTACAGTCCTCTGAAAGACTAAGTCCCTTGAAAACCTTACCGTATTCACATCACATACGCCCTCGTTGGTTATACAGCTATGTCCAAATCCCTTCCCTTCCTCTTGAGTTAAAAGGCTAGTGCTTATCTTCTACCCAATATAGTAAATCGTACCCTGGCTCGCCTGGCCAATCAAAGCACAAATTAACCAATATAGTCGCCACAATGAAGATCTCCAAATCCCTGGATACTATAGTGCGGAGTATCCCTAGGAGCGCATTTTTGACGCGGAAAGCACGTGCCATAATACGGGGCTTTGTACTTCGGTTTATATGGCCATCTACCGTTCCAGACGACTTCTTGTTAGACGGATTCGCCTATGCATGCTATGTCAAAAGGTTAAACGTGGGTAGGTATCATGCAGGGTGTTGGGATATACGATCCGCCCTGGGATCCGCCCTAGGATCCTCCCCAACCTTTCTAGTCATGTGATCTAGCTCATGTGATTTAGCGTAGCTTAGTCAGCGAAGAGGCATCACCTCTTCGCATCCATAACACCACCCAAATGCTAAGCATCAATCAACCAGCATCAAGTCTATACTACGTAGTAGAGAAGTGATCACGTTCTATGTATCACCGCCTGTGATACCAACACAGGGGGTGCCACGTGTACCACGTGCGCTCCATGCGATGCACTACTCGAGTAGATACGATATACGAAGTCAGGGGCGCCCTTACCGCGAAATTCTGTAAACGGTAACAAGTTAACAACAATTTACGCGTCAGATGAGAAGGCCAACACAAAATGGGAACCAAACAACATACATTTCAATATTTCAGTGCGGGGACAATGTAGATCAATTATCCGGTACAATTTTAACTCAATACAGCTGCCTGTACTCCGTCAATACCTTAGATCTCTTATTATTATTATTATTATTTTTTGCTTATTTGTGCACGTAATCGTTTTGAGATATGATACGACGAGTAGATATTCCGTCATATTTCATGCTTTTCGGATTTTGTTTTGTTTTATCTTTATTAGGAGTTTGAAACACAATTGGCCTCCAAAATGGGGAAATTGAGGACGCACGAAGCCGTGAACTTCTACACAAGTTCCTAAAATCCACAATCAAGAGGGGAAGGATATTGGGCTCATACGCAGAGTCCCTTCAGCTATCAAGCATTTTCTTAATCCAGGATTTAGTAACGCTAGTGTTTCTTACCTTATTTCTCAGATAGAGTGATCTGACTTTACTTTAGACTTTGTACTCGTCCTTTCGCCTTAGCCAACTACCTTATTTTGTTATATAAAGTCATCTTGTCCTTGATTTATCCTTCCTGGCTGACTGGCACTATGTAAAACAACTTCCGTTTCCGCTATCTTTTTGCTCTTGGATTCCGAGATTAGAACTCAGAGAAACTAAAATCTTTGGTCCAGCAATTGCAAACTTATCATTCCCGTTATCCCCCTTCAAGAATCTAGGTAAACGTAACTACTTGCTTTAGTTGGCAGCTTTGCAGTAGCCATAAAATCAACAATCCTTTAATGCACCGAGGGGAAATACAAAATAGCAACGTTGAAGTTCTCTCAATACTATATTACCATATACCTGGTGTACTTAACTCCAAGAACCACGCAAGAGAACTTCCATTCCCTAACACCTTCATATCATCCCAAATACCCTACAGCCCTAGCCCTCAACCTGTAGAAGCCCTTGAAACCAATTTTCTTGGGATCTGGCCTCAGACATCTCGTATTTTTAGCAGCTTGCTTATGGTGCTTCAGCGAATTCAAATAAATTTTACTTAGTCTACAACAAATCAAGAAGCAGTAATTAATACGGAAATTAGAGATTACTAAACAGCAACGCAATACTTTAGTTGCTACAAAATCAGGACTAACTAGGTTTAAAGAACAACGCAAAAGCCTTTTCAATTACAACGCATATGTCTCATCCCATCCCCATCTGACTCTAGGTTCGTAAAACCATGGCCCGATAGATTTTGCACTACTATGTCTAGAACATCTCGTACCCTTTGCATCCGCTTTATATAAACACTCAGCCATTTCAAACAAGGACTGTCTGTCATACAACAGCTCTTCCATATCCATCCACCCCGACGGATTACCTGGTACCTCTGGGACGCCGACAACTCGAAACGTTGTGTGACGCAATACGCTATCCTGCTTGAGTTCTTGAATCATAACCCATCCCGGCCGACCGTTGTTTGGTCGCCGACGTTTTGCGTGCTGGATTTCGCGATTATTCCAAGGAGAACGCGGTGTTGGCCCAGGGGGTTCACCGCATTTGCGACATCGGCAGCGCTCAAAGAGTTCTGCCCAGCTGCGATTAATGTACTCTTTCCAGATCTCCGCCATTTGGTTCCAGTATATGGCGTTATATTCGGGGCGAGGACGGCGTGGCTTCTTGAACTTATCTGGGTCCTCGCCTTCTTGCATTCGCATGTATTCATGATAGAGCTTCTTCAAAGATGATGTTTCTTCTGCAGTAGGCTTGAACGGTTCCCAATCCGGAAATGTACTTTCGACGATAGTGGACGGCTCGTCGGAGCTTTGGGCGCTGTTAGCATACCTCACCATGACGATGAGCTTTGAGTGATTTTGATTTGATTGGTGGTACTGTATTGTGTAGAAAAATACGGGCAAGACTTTGATTAAATACTATTCGAACAAGAGGCTGTTACTCATGAGTAATACATATTGACTAATGGCTAACGTGCAAGACTTAAGGCATAATGACGAAGAAAGTGATAAACAAATCACTTCCGTTCGCCATATCAACAAACAGGTGAAGTACAGATACCCAAGACTGACTGCAAACTAACGCAGCCACCCGAAACATCTATTGACAAGAGTTTAAATATCGTACCTAGGAGGAACGTTAGAAATCGTATAAACGCAATACTCTCTCCTTAATAACTCTGAGCGACCTATGAATGCTAAGTGGAAAACAACTTTCGCATAGAAGCTTACTTACAGTGTCAGGAAAACGTAATTTTCACTTCTCACTACTACTGCAACGACTTCCAAAGCTCTATCTCATCTCTATATCATTTTTACTATCTTGAGTACTGAAATCCAGAACATAATTAGCTTGCTGTCCAGGCCAAGAAAGCAAAGAGCGAACTATTGGACTTTCCATCCAAAGAAATGTGACTGTTCTGTGCAAAGAGTATACAATTCATTCCAAAATCTGGAGACAATGGTATTGTGCAATCATCCTACGCGATGCTTGCGTGGGACTATTCACAAAAGTCTGAAATCCTGAAAGTCGTGGCTTGCCGCCAAAGACCATATAACAAAAGAACACAAGCGCATTTCCATATCCAACCATCCATCAACTCCATTCCAAACAATAGCTAAATCCTAGCACGATACATCCCCATACCATCAGCACACTTTGTTTGCTTAGCCTCAAACATATAAGTACTCTCCGCAGCAATAAACCTCTGACTCAACGCCTTTATCAAAACGAACAAGACCTCCCCCGGCACATACATATGATCGATTTCCTGCAGGACGCACCACGACGGCCGGGGCCGCATGCGTACATGGCTTGTTGCAGCACCGGGAGGTTGCCCGGGGAGTTCGTGGCAGTTTTGGCATTCGTTGCGGTAGAAGAACTCTTGGCGGTAGCGGTGGGATATGGTAGTGAAGATGTGGAGTTTTTGTGAATGGAGGTCCAGCATTTCTTGTGCGCTCTGTACGTCTCGGGCGTCGAGTCTTGCTTGGATGTTGAATGTGAGGAGGTGTTCTGAGGCAGTGGGCATGTAGGGGGTCAGGTTTTGGTTGAAGGGTGTGTCGATGGGTGTGTTGATGAGGGTGTCGGAGAGCTGGCTAGTTGATGGGGTTTCTGTGGAGTATGCCATGGTCACCAGCATGAGTATTGACAGCATGGATTGATAGAATAGATTGAGGGGAGGGGAGGGGAGGGGGGGAGAAACTAGGGAGAACGTGGTTTATATACCTCTTAAGACTTTGCGAATTCCATGCCTAGGTTCCGTAGAACTGACAGTGAATGCCCGTTTTTTTTAAATGAGTCTGGAAGTCCATTTGTTATTGAGAAACAACATTCAATTCACAAAAAACGTGTTAAAACTTGCCGTTTTATACCAAAGTGACTTTAGCAGTAGAGGTGCAGACAGGCGCTAAGATGGAGGAAAGCGAAGAAATTATATCCGTTTCACTAGGTTTATCTACGTCCTTAGCTCTACAACAAAAAGAGATACTTGGAAAGATACGACTAGTATTTACTGATTCTGAGAAATAGAGACGAGATAAGAAAGAACTATCAATGAATATAAGCGCTGGCGGTGAGAATTGGAGAGGAGAATAAACGTTCCAACTCTGCATTACACCTATTGAAGCACACAGGCCTTCGTACAAATATCCCAATTCCATTTATGAACTGCGTGAATAGTCTTCCAATACCAATCTTACCAACCCTAGCCATCAATCTTGAAACAAGTGGTGATGCAAAACAAGCCATGTCCAACCATCTACTACTGTATAAAGATGAAAAGAGCAACCACTCAAAAGCAAATTGGTTATATACTTCCCCCTTTCTCCTACATGACAATTCCCCAGAGCTGAAAACACACGCAAATACCCACCCCACATATATCGCTCTTAAAACAGCAACTCCAAAGAGCAGCAATCAGATATATTCAGTCAAAAATCATTGCTAATATGAGGTCGACGCAATAGTATCTATCCTGTTTGTCTAATGATTCAAGCACCCGAGAAATGCAGTAAGGAAAGCTGGGCAGATATCTATAAACCCGCAGAGTGAGACACGAACAAGGAACGCTCCGAATCATAAATAACAAATCAAAGCCGACTTCAAAAGCGTTGACAAAATCGTGGATGGATCCTCGCAAGCAAGTACAAACGAGCAACTCCATTTCTACATCCACTTTCACAGATCCAAGCAAAAATTCCATCTGAGCCTCACTCATAGCATAATGATCTATTGTACTGCTTGCAAAGGGTAAGTAATTAAGGAGCAGGGTATAATGGCATGGATGATTGGATCGGTTTATGAGGAAAGGTGGAGAGGGAGAAAAAGTGCCGGTAGGTAATACTGGGTAGGATACGATGTAATGGAATGAGAGAAGGGGTGAGTGAAGTCTAGGCGATGTGGAATACTGGGCTGGGACAGGTAGTGAGTGGATCTGTAGCAGGAAAGGAGGAGGAAGGAGGAAGGGAAGGGTTGAACATCCCACTGGGAAGGTTCGCTCGTTTGAGATACTGCCTCTACCCACCTCGTCGCGCTTCCCTCGTACAAACCAACGAGCTTCTGTAACAAAGTATCCCTTCATCCATTTCATAGGACCGGACCAAACCCCTCCACTCTCGTTTCACAGACACAGACACATGTATATCGAATCAAATTACCAAGTCCAGCATATATCATTGTGATCGTGATCGTGATTGTGGTGGAATGCACTCAATTCTTTGTTTGTTTCTTGCTTTCATACCCATGCAATGCGAGCGCGAGTAGTTTCAAAAAGTCAAGTCAAGTATCAATCCCATGCCATTCCATTCCATGCTAGACCCAGAACCCCGAAGTCGAAATCGAAAGCGCAAAGAAGCGTAACCCTTTTTACATGACGACACCAGAGTTGCTTGCGATACGCTGGAAAGAAATAGTTAGCGGTGTCGAACGAAGGACAGGGAAAGGTGTAGGTGTAGGGGCAGTTTTGGGGGAAAGAACTTACTGGCCATAGTTCAGCTGCCTCCTTTCCGACGGGTCCTGTGATGGCTGAGCCCTTCATCTCGCCCTTGGGGTTGACGATCTGTTTGTACGAAATTAGCCATCCATCATTCATATCCCCTTAATTTCCATTCCATTCCCAAACATCCACTGTCCCCAATACCAATACCACACATATCTCACAACCCACCCCAAACTCCATTCCACACTAACCCGGCTCCCAAAGAAGGAAATTATAAACTCACCACACCAGCATTATCCTCAAAGTACAAGAAAACACCATCAGTGCGTCTCCATGGCTTGCTCTGGCGCACAATAACAGCAGGCATGACCTTCTTTCTTAGCTCGGGCTTTCCCTTCTTGACAGTGGCCATGACCATATCGCCGACGCCGCCGGCCGGGAGACGGTTCAGGCGGGCACCGATACCCTTGACGGAGATGATGTAGAGATTGCGAGCGCCGCTGTTGTCGCAGCAGTTCATGACTGCACCGCTGTTTGAGGAGAAGAGTTAGCGAAATGGAGGTGCAGAGAGAGGTAGACGGGTACAGGGAGGTATATGGGGACGTACACTGGGAGACCGAGAGTCATCTTTAGCTTGCCGCCGGGGGCACCACGTCTAGAAGGATATGAGAATCAGCAATCTGTTTCTTCCAATGCAATGCGCAATCCATTCTCCAAATCCGTATCCGTATGCCTCCACTTCAATCCCCTCATCTGCCACCTCTGCCATCCTCATCCTTCACCTCCATCTCCTCCTCCTCCCTTCATATTCTCGCGCACAAATGCCCTCCCTCTCCCCGTCCTCTCCATCAATCATCAACCCACCCTCCACGCCTCGCACATCCAAAGCCCCTCTCCCTCACATCCAGCGTCCTCGCATCGCACCGCAGAATCTCAAAGGAAAAATATAACATACGAGATCTTAGCCATTATTCCTACGTTGAATCTTGTTCGGGTCGATCAAAGATGTGCTTCGTAGCGGTAGTCGTTGAGTTGCTTGCGTTGTCGATGTCGCGGAAAGTAAAGTTTTGCGTTTCGAGGCAAGATTTTGGTGGAAACCCTAATCGCTTAAGCGAGCGCACTAATAATTTGATGAAAATTCATCATCGACATCAACTCATCGACTTCACTCTTTTTTTAATTCTATTCTATTCTGTCATTCTGTCCTTTTACTTTTACAGGAGTGAATATGGAATTTTCATAGGTTTGGGTTTATGACTTCTAGGGATATGGTGAGAAAATCAATTGGAACTTTTGCGAGTCACAAGAGACAATAACAAATATTTTGGTATTCCCTGATTTGATTTTTCAATTCAATTCAACTCGCTATTTTCTATGCTATAGAGATACAGAGCATGATGAGAGATCATTCAGTGGCTTGTGCCTGATATCATGAGCCAGCAATGGTTCAATGGTCAGTGTCGGCATATAAGTGATTGCAAAGTTCGTAAAGATAAAGAGCCGGAATGCAGTCTTGACCACCCTATATGCAAGCAAAACCTGCGCAAGCCTTATGAAGAGCCAAAAGAAACATCTTGATAGCCTGAATCAGCAAAATCACAATCGTGTAAATGCAACACCATTCCTCCAGCTTCCCTGTTGCCGAACTCCCAGTACGCCCTGCTAAGTTGCCCTTCCAGTGCATGAGTGGTACATGTGAATATAAAATCTAAAACGAGACGCTGTGCTGGCTGGGTATTGACGCCGAGTTCTGTATGAACAGTCTCTTCAGCCGTCGCCGTCTTCATGTTGGTTTTGAATGTGCCATCTCCGTGGATGTTTCACCCTTCTCCGTCCGCTCTGCTTCACCTTCTTGCTTGGGCACAATTGTATCTGGGACAGTAGTGGCAGTGGCAGCGGCAGGTTCAGAAACAGTCACAGCCGGTGTTGAAACTTCAGGCGTCTTCGATTTGGCAGCAACAGATGGTACAGCTGGGGTAACTGCCACTGCTGGTATAACTTCTGGTGCATCTGTCATGTCGACGTCATTATCAACAATCTCGATTGTCAGTTTCGCAGATTGAGCGGGAGATGGTGCGTTGGATGGTCCAAGTTCTCCAGAATCAACAGCCGCGACACCAAGCGTCTTCTTCTCCATTAATTCAGCGTTGACCTCAGCATTTGCCTCGGTCGCCATTGCGGTAACAATACCATCCAGAGGATGCTGGACTTCAGGAGTAACAGCACCACTATCCATTTCAATATCAGAAGCAGCAGCGTTGGCATTTTGGAAATCCATAATGTTTCGTCGCTTGATCTGCCCGTTCTGAGGTCGAACACCGTTGGCACGTGACTCTTCCTCATCTTCGCTCTCGTCAAGTTCATCATCTCGAGTGATGCGCTGGTCCCACTGGCGTTTGGTATGGCGAGTATCCTTATTCTCATCATCATCCAGATCATCAAGCTCGTCGTCGTCGTCATCAGCGCCTCCTGCCAAAGTATGACGTGGAACTTCTGTCAGTTGAACCGATGGCGCATGAGCGGTCTTTTTCAGATTCTCAATGACTTGAATCTTGATCTTCTCCAGATAGTCTTTTGAGTTGGCGTTTTCCATGTTCGAAGAACGAACATCAAGCTCGTAGTCAGGTCCATAGTACTGATTTTTGTTAGATTACGTCTCACGTGACTCGAAAATGAAGCTTACCTCGTAGTACTCATTGAAAGGAAGAACAGCACCCATCTCTTGGCCGACAAGAACACCAGTCTCGAATGCCCAGGTACGAGCAACATTGCGCATAGTGTAGCCACCACCACCTAGGACAAGCGTTGGCATGCCGAAACCCTTGACGAATTTAACGCAGTTGGCGTGACCACGCATGCTGAGGTTGAAGCAGCCAAGACGATCGCCCGACAAGCTGTCACCACCACATTGGAGGACGATAGCTTCTGGCTGATAGTAGTCCATGACATTCTGGATGACGGGTTCGAAGATGGACTTGTAGGTAACATCATCAATGCCGTCGCGGAGGGGAAAGTTGACAGCGTAGTTTTTGCCTTGACCAACACCAATGTCGCGAAGCTCACCAGTGCCCGGAAAGTACTCTCCATACTTGTGAAACGAAACGGTCATGACACGGTCGGTGGTGTAGAAAGCCTCCTCGACACCATCACCGTGATGAACATCAATGTCTATGTAGAGTACGCGCTTCTTAAAGCGAAGAAGCTCAATAATGCCCAAGACGATATCTGGAAAGGAGGTTAGGGTTTTGCTCGGCTTGGGATAGCAGATAACTTACCATTGACATAGCAGAAACCAGATGCCTCGCTCTTCTTTGCGTGATGAAGGCCACCAGCCCAATTGACTGCAATGTCGCATTTGCCGCGGTTGAGACGAGCTGCACCTTCCATACTGCCACCAGCACTGATACCACAGAACTCGAACAGTCCATCAAATACAGGACAATCATCTCCGACATTGTATTTGCCTTGTTCCTTTGCGAAAGAGTCCATGTTGTCCGGGGTCACCTTTTGCAGAAAATCGATGTACTCATCCGTGTGGAATTGGGTCATCTCATGACGGGTAGCAGGCTTTGCACGCTGGAGAAGATGTTAGCAGATGGATCAAGGTATCTGGCGCCATCCTCTCGAGAGCGCCCAGAGGTCGACCTACATAGATTTCCATCTTGGAATATACTCCATAGTTCATAATCAAGCTGTGCGCCAACCGGATTCTGTGAGGCTTCATAGGATGGCCAGCAACGTAGGCATAATTCCCGACATCAGAGTCGTAGAAGTAGGCAACCCTCTTCTTGCCACCGGAATTATTCATCGAAGGCGGATCAATGGGCGCGAAGGTAGCCATCTCGAAGAGCTTCTGGTTGTAACCAGCTCACAGGATTTAGGGATTTAGGAACGAGGTGGGTATTGGGAAGACAGACAGATTGCGTGGTTGTAGAAATCTATATGTAGATGCGCAGTTGTAGTTTGTGCGAATGTTATGGTATGCGAGGGAACAAGTGAGGTAATATGGAAAAGACCCAATACTGCAAGGGAATCTCGAAGCTTCAATAGCAGCTGCATCCGCATACAAAACTAGCGCCGGCCTTTACCGCCACCGATAGGGCAATACCTTGCTGAACTAACAACAGCAAAATATCTTCCTATTATGCGAAAGAAAGACAATAAGAAGCGTTCAAAGAATAGAAATTACTAATACTCATAAATTGATTTCATAACTTACCTGATGGCAAGATCACTCTTCCGAAGAAAGGCGGGGAAGAAGGATATCCGAATTGAAGAAGGCGAGGCTAACTGCAAGGCTGAGATCACGTGCACCAATCCCCCGCTAAACCCGAACAAGAATGGATTCCAGGCAAGCTGGATGCGCAAGCAAGCTGCTGGAGCTCAATAAACATCAGAGCCGCAATCTTGCTTCATCTTGAAGCAACAACTTGAAATCCCACCAACCCCACAACTACCACTCCTCTCGACCCTCTACGGACTCCCCTCAAGTCGATTATACCATACATACACTGCAAGATGGATAGATTAAATCGGATGCTGGCCTCCGCCGGAGGCATGGGAGGTCTTAACAGCGCCGCCCCAGGATCTGTAAGCTTTTCTATCCCCATGGCTTTGCAGAGGTTTTCTCTGGATTGAAGGATATAATGCTGACTCTCCATTTACCAGGATAACACAACCCTTATCGATAATTCCGAAACCGTCTACATCTCCTCCCTCGCGCTCTTGAAGATGTTGAGACATGGAAGGGCAGGAGTACCGATGGAAGTTATGGGTCTGATGTTGGGAGAATTCGTAGACGACTTCACAGTACGCGTAGTAGATGTGTTCGCTATGCCGCAAAGTGGTACAGGTGTCAGTGTCGAAGCAGTCGATCCAGTTTTCCAGACCAAGATGATGGATATGTTAAGGCAAACAGGACGGTATTATCCCCAAACATCTATATATTACTACAAAGCTGACAATCCCCGCAATAGACCAGAGACAGTTGTCGGCTGGTACCATTCTCATCCTGGTTTCGGCTGCTGGCTTTCCTCCGTCGATATCAACACCCAACAATCCTTTGAACAACTCACCCCCCGCGCCGTCGCCGTAGTAGTCGACCCCATCCAATCCGTCAAAGGCAAAGTTGTAATCGACGCCTTCCGCCTCATCAACCCACAATCCCTTATGCTCGGCCAAGAACCCCGTCAATCTACCTCGAACTTAGGCCACCTCAACAAACCCTCTATTCAAGCCCTGATTCACGGCCTGAACCGCCACTACTACAGCATTGGCATCAACTACCGCAAATCCGCACTCGAAGAAAACATGCTCATGAACCTACACAAGCAAGTCTGGACCGAGGGTCTACAAATGGACGATTTCCGCCTCGAGGACACGCGCAACAAGGACCGATTACAAAAACTTGTCGGGCTGGCAGACGGCTATGAGAAGCGCGTCAAAGAGGAGACGGAGCTGACAAAGGACCAGCTAAAGACGAGATATGTGGGCAAGGTAGACCCGAAGAAGCATCTGGAGGATGTGGGGCAACAGCTTATTGAAGATAACATTGTGTCGGTTTCGAGACAGATGATTGACAAGGAGGCGTCGGCGCCCAAGGAGAAGAGCGCGGCGAATGGGCATGCGAATGGTGATGCGATGGATGTGGAGGAGGAACTGTGAGGGGCGAAATATGAAAATGGCTTGTACAATAGGCGTTTGGCTTTTGGCTGAGCACGAGGATGCCGGATACTAGAAGCAATATCAGGCGTACTTTCCCAGTTCTTTTCGTATTTGTGCGTATTTTCGTGTTCAAGTATCTACTGCATACAAACCAACGTGAGTCACGGGCGAGACAACGCGTCGAGTGGTCTGCTCTTGTCCTCGACCTGGAATACTCGTAACAATGTCTGAAACTCGCATCATTCTTCAACCTCATGAAACCGATAAAAATACCACTTCTTGTATTTTCTACTCAAGACCACCGAGTCTCGCTCGCGCTCATCACATCAGGATCTATGCCAACTAATCCCTGTGTCTACGCGCTTATTCATTCATTCATTCATTCAGTACTCGATTTTCGATCGATATGCTTGAATAGATTAGACGACGCGATTCTCAGCCAAAAGGGGACAAACAGAATTTCTCGGCCCTATCCGTTGGAATCATAGTAAGCGTTACCAGTGCCGAGTACTAGACTGGAATCCATATGCGTGTATTCTGCGTCGAGGTTTGCGTTGGAATCTTTTGTCTTTTCAGCTTTTTGGACCCCGTACGAGACAAATCTTCAATATAGCTGGTCTATGTTATATATAGACCCTTTCATTTCAGATGCCATTGCTATCAAAATCTCCGCTTTTAGGACACACGTGCTTGTTTTCGAGCCCGGTGGCATGGCACGCGTAGCTGCTTCGTGGACCTAGAAAACAGCACAGAACTAGTACTTTTAGAGGCGGACTTTGCGCTTTCAGCAATTATTTTTATGCACGGAGAGCAGAAATCAAATGATGAGACATCAGCAAACGCTATCGTTGAGGAAGTTCTGCATTTGTGTTTAATGCCGCCTTTAATTTGCTTCGACTACCTTGATTTGGGGAAAGAAAGAGCCGCACGAGGAAATGAAGAAAATAGCTAAAAAAGCGGTGATGAATGCGGATTTGTGAATGGTTGTGTACCATTGCCTACAAAGTTATGCGATTGCCGATTTCTACAAATCGAGCGCTGCATTGAGCCCGGAGAGACCTTCATTAGAGTAAGAGAATTGCTATGTTTTAACACCTGCAGCATCCTAATGTCTCGATAGAGAAGAATATGTATTCTCGAGTTCTATCTGAAGCATAGCTTAAACGACCTGTTACATACCTAAATATCGCTATCTTTTTCACAAGACTAAACATTCCATACATGGCAGTTAGTACTAGGTCGCTCCACTATCAAGACAAAAAAACCTCTACGCTTCCATAACTAGGTCATTCCCTTAACCCTTTCCAAGAAATACCTATTCACAACGCTGCTCCTTTGCAGTCAATGAATACTAAAAAACGTCCTAAACAGGCAATCCAAACCTTTTGCTGCACGTCGCGCCAAAAATGACTTTTGGCGGCGACCAATAATTAGTTCCTCCCTTTGGTGTATTCACTCGCAAAATTCACATTAACCAAGCCACCGCGCCGAGGGTATGGTAGTGGGTATATATAATTGAATAAACAGTACGCAAAATACATCAAATGTGTAATGGTGTACTGGTCTAGGGTTCTGAAAAATCTAATCGTCGAGCTTGCTTGGGGGTGTCCTGACCTAATATTCTTTTTGCTCTTTTGGTGGTTTATTTATTAGCATCACGCGCTTTTTCGAATGTTGTATGTTTTTTTCTGGGGGCTGTAATTAGATTCGAGATGCAAGTATTATGAGATGTTTGGTTTTCTTTTTTGTCCTTTTAGGAGGGGTGACTTTTCAACGTGTCTTTTAGAGTAAAGGAAACTTTCTACTTTTCAACATAGCATTTCGACTCTTTATTCGTTATGATATGCATTTCTTCAGCCTACCTCTCTCTTGGAACTTCATTCACACCCTCTTATTCGAATGATCATGTTTGATGTCCTGCCACCAACATAAACTGATTCAATCCAGAATACCCTCCAGCATTAGTCGTTGCATTCGTAGCCCTTTTAGTGGGTGAAATTCCACATCTCCTACAATTCGAGTTGACATTCAAGTCATGGTTATCACAGGAGTTATTTCGTGATCGATGTATGCTTGCCGTTTAGAATAAAAAAAAAAATTGTGCGCTTAATCAGCTTTAAGAAAGATTTTGCTGTTGAGGCAGTTTTGAACTTTTGGTTGCTCGTTGAAGTGCTTGATTTGTTTATGGGGTACCACGATTTTCCCCGCCACTAAGACGCCAATTGTTATGTGAGTTTAGAAATAGTTCAGAGATCCATGCCTAGTGAGCTTATTCCTAGATAATAAGATTGATTTGGGAAGGAGCAGCAACTGCAGTAGGAGAAAATAGTGGACCTAGAAATAGTTGAGAATAAGATGTTAACTTGCTAGTATGACAGCTTTATGACATTGAGGGGCTTTGGAAACTAGGAAGCATAAGCACAAGATGTGTAAGTATCCAAAGAACGTATAAGACTGTCGTTCCATATAGATTCTGGGGGTTTTGAAACGTTTAAAGATAAGAATTGTGAATATCGTAGAAATTAGAATTGTTTCAACTTCGTAGTGATTTGCGAACTAACTCGCCCAGGATAACTTCCTTACATGTTCGAGATTTACACTCCACGTAAATAATTCCAAGAGTTCAAGTAAATCTAAACATTAGAGGACTCTTATAGGAAAAGCAATTACAGTAAATACTTCACAGCTTGTCGTTACAGAAAAGGGGGCGGGAGATCGACATACTAGACGAGGTGTGGCTGTGACATTACTGTGGCTGAAGCGAGGACAGCTGGCTCCCTAGATTCGAAACAACCTACGACATGATAACGACCTGAAGCTCACGACCTCGACCTGCTTTACACATTATACGAGAAGCTTAATCATTAAAGGCGTCTTGGACATAAAAAATAAGGTGGCAGGAACCTGCGATGTCCGCATACTGTAGCCTCGCCATCGACGCGTAAGCAAGCAACAGACCACGAGTTTCAACCTCGCAGCGCTTCCACAGCTCCTAACCGTCCCCGGATTGCTCCAAACCCGCCAAAATGGTGGGAATGAATGTATGTTCCCTTCCCAATACCCCCAGTACTGTGCAGTTATTCTAACCCTCACGATCAGCTGTTCCGTGTCTTGGGCGACATTTCCCACTTCCTCTCGAAATGCATCCTCATCTATGCCATCCACCGCAACTCCAGCACCGAGGGCGTGTCCCTTATCACTCAAGGCCTCTACTGCCTCGTCTTCATAACCCGATACCTTGATCTATTTATGGGCAGCTCGTTATGGAACCTTATGTTCAAGATCTTCTATATCCTGAGCTCCCTATACATTCTTTTCTTGATGCTGCGTGTGTATGCGCGGACACGGGAAAGGGAGAAGGCGTGGCAACTTGGAGGAGTATCGTTTGTGGGAAGCGCTGTTCTTGCTCCATTTGTCATGTTAATTTTCAGATCTAAGGAGGAATGGGGGTTCATGGAGGTATGTGTCCCCCTCCCCTCCCCCGCTCCCCATATCTAGTCTCAGGCTGACACTCCTACCTAGGTTTGCTGGACATTCTCCATAATCCTCGAATCCACCTGCATCCTCCCACAACTCCTCTTACTCCGACAAACAACAGTACCGACCGTTATCGATTCCTTCTACCTCATAATGCTTGGCTCCTACCGTGGTTTCTATATCCTGAACTGGATATACCGCGAATTCGACGACAGTCCCCGGAAACCTGATGCGCCATCCATCATTTTCGGTGTCATTCAGACAGCATTCTATGTTGACTTCTTCTGGGTGTACTACACGCGACAGCGCGTGAAGCTCCGACATGGCGGATTAGTCGATGCGGATGATATGCGTAGAGGCTGGTTGCTGCGGACTGTGTTTGGAAATAAGACGATTGTAGGAAATATCGGCGAAGACGATCATGCACCGGCTCTAGGGGATGAGGAGAATGGGCATGCTAGAACTGATAATGGTCCGAGGTCTAAGAACTCGAAGTGGGGTTCGAGAGGGATCAGCGTTTCTGCTGACGAGGGCGTGCTGGACGAGAACAGTGAGAGAAGAGTGGATCCATTTACTGGGCAGGAGGAAGGGATTATAGATACGGCGGAGGATTTTGAGCCGGATGCTAAGATGAAGGATCCGGATGAGCTGGCGAAGATTTTGGATGATGATGAGGATGATAGTGATGATGGGGTTTTGCCTGGTGAGGGTTCGGCGGCGGTGGGGAATGGCTCGGAATGGAGAGATGGTAGTAGTAAGTAGGATTTGGGGCTGTATAGTATGAGATTGCTTTGTTCATCAATGTTCATTATTCACAATGCCCAGGAGTGTACTGGCGTTACTTGAAGACTCTGATACTTTGCTCTCCGTACTCGTGCTCGTGCTTGATTGGCAAGTCTGCAGGCACTCCTAAAATGTTCGGCCGTGTAAAAGTCTTAGTACACAGAGAATCCAATTGTCAAACGCGTTTTAAGTATCCAAGCTCAGTACCAAAGCTTGATCGCCCACACACATTCACCAGTCTTTATCCATTGTATCCCATGGCAATCCTCGTCGCTGATTTCGAGGCAGAGGAAGTTGTTCATGTATCTCCCTTGGCCGGCCCGGACCCCTTTGAAATTTAGGACGAGATTATTTTTCATCAATCGCTCGATTGCTTTCTTGAAGATTTCTGGGACTGACTGTGAAGAGCGACTAGTTAGCTCTCGTAGAGTGGAACGAATTTTCAGGTGATATACCTTTTCGCGACTCTCGTAGAGATTCTCATAGAACAATGGGAGTAGGACTACAAATTTTAAGAATTTACCTGAGCCTTGAGTACCGCGGCATTTCGAAGCTGCTTCGTTTTCTGCGTTTTGGAATTCGCTTACTCGCACTTTTTACTCACTGTATAGATGACCCTTTTCATCGAGTATGGCATCGTGAACATCGAGGACCATGTGGAATATGGGTGGCCGGAGTCAGCGTTGGTTATAGATATATGGATCCAAAGTCTCGACTTGTCTCAAGAAGGCAGTCGGATGTTCCGACATCCCACCTACCAAGCTTTTCGTAGGTCCAATGTGGTATGCACCTCCAACTCCTGGTGTTTCTGTTTAGCCAGCAATATCTATACCCTTGACAACTCTCTGAAACTTTTAACCCCGAAAATGGGTCAGAAAGAATAAATAAACTGGTTGCCGGCCTACCTAGCATGTTGCCTTTCCGTTATAGTCGTCGTCAAAGTTGGGCTGTAAAAGGGAGTATGTTCTTGGGAGTCGATAGAAAAGGAATTCTTGTTTGCTAAATTGGCAGCTATCTATAGCGTCTATATGGATTGGTTCAATGACCAAGATGGATTGAACGATTAATTCTGAGATGGCCATGTGGTCGCGGACCCGCGGTCACATGATTATGCCCCCCTTAGCTTCACATTTTCACACCTGCACGCCATGGAATGCGTCGCAACAAGAATAAATAGGTAATATTCATGCACGAGAAAGAAAATCAATGCTCTAGAAAGAATATCGACAAAGTCAATTCACCAAAGCCAGGTGCGGTATCTCAGGCAAGTGGCACCTTCCTTTACTATAACTTGAACCGCCGAGCAAGAGGATCTCACATAACAATCCCAACATACAACGATACCTTCCCAACACACCAAGAAACAGAACAACAGCAGGGTTGTGCATCATGGCAATTTCCTCCACACCAGCGGCTAGCTCAAGCTTGTCTTCGAATCCTCCTATCAACGCTCCGTTTTCCGCGAAACCCTCACCCTCTGGTGGCACAGCGACTGCACCACCTGCTTCATCCTTTTCGAATACGACGGCCCCCAATTCCATTCTGGCAAGTCCTTTGGTGGATATACCTGGTGTCAAACCATCGCCGAAAACTTCCACACCAACCCCAAATCCACTAAACAAGAATCCAACTCCTGCACAGCCAACGACTCAATGGTTTGGGGGAGTGTCGTTTGGCAGTGTGGCAGCAGCACCTGTTGGGAATAACTCGAGTCCCTCAGCAAACATGCTATTTAATGGTACGGAAAGTCAACCATCTGTGCTCGTTACGGAGAATGCCTCTTCAGTGTCATTGGTCAATAGGCGTCCGCAAGGTGTTATTTTTGGCACCACGGCACCTTCATCTACCTTCGGGACTTCAAAAGCTGGACTGCCTGCCAGTGCTGGAGAGCCTCACCGTTCAACCACCTTCCCAAAAGATACCTCAACCCCCTCCAGCGCTCCAGACTTGTCTGGAAGTGGTTCAACATCAGGAGCATCAACCTGGCGGTTATTTGATAAGCCAACAACCTCTGGCACTGGGGCACTCTTTAGCCGTCTGACTGCTCCATCTACAATCAAGCCTTCAGGTAACTTAATTAACCAGTCTACAAATAGTACAACATCTGCAACAATCGTTCCTAGTGCCCCATTTGCAAGCCTTTTTCCTCCCACGACACTCGCATCCCCTACTTCAACGAATGACTCTGCGAAAGGGCCATTGAACGGCGTCGGAGGATTATCATACATACCGGCGGAAGATTTGCGGGCTCCTAGGCCCCTGATGTCGTGCTATAAGCTCGTCATGACGCCCCATGGCCTACAGCCCGACATGATTATTCGCGTATTTCGCTGGGAGTTCCATGTTCATTCGATTATAATGAAGAGCCATTCAGCATTTTTCCGAAAATCTCTGGATTCTCCCGATAAACCCTCATTAAAGCCTAACATTTTTACGGCCTTCAAGTATGAGTGGGATACACACGTTGGAAAAGATGGAAACTGGTCGCTTACATGCTACTCAAAGTTACCGGTACGTCTTGGCTTGAGAATGACTGTTGAATACAAATGTCTAACTATTGACAGGACACAGCAGACTACGACAAAATAAAGGCTACGATCGATGTGAACGCGGAGTGTCTTGCTTTTCACAACTTGATGCGAGCATTCCACAGTGAGCCTCTTTGTATTTACTCGACAGAGCAGCTCGATCGAGTCACCAGACTCGCAGGCTCTTATCGAGCTCTTCCTGTACTTTCTAGTGCACTATCCGCAAAACTTCTCGATTCACCAGCCTTAACTTCAGGGATTGCCGTTGATCCATTCCGTATTCTACGAATCGCAATAAAGCTCCACAACTCAATACTGTTTCGGGAATGTTTCATTCATTTGCTCGGTCCATTTCACAACCCCTCTTACAAGGAAACTGCTATGTGGGATGACAAAGATTGTCCTGGTCTTAAAAACCTCCTAGATTTTGTATACAACAACATCTGGGCACAAATCGCAAAGATCGAGCATGCGCTGTTGACTGCAGAAGCACCTACGCAGGCCGCGTATGTAGCGGCAGCAAAAGCTGCCGCGATCTCTTGCAGGACTGTGGATGACAGTGCAAACTCGGTTGTGAACTTGCCAGAGTATTATAGACAGTTGTATGAGTGTCGCCAGGTATCTAAGACGTTCAAAAAGCTCATAAAACCGTTGTTGAAGAACAACTTGAAACTCGATTCGAGGGAATCTCAAGCAGGAGAGAGTGGCAGGTACAAGAACTACTTTTTGTGTGTGAGTATTGATGACAAGGACTTACCATGGGATGTGAATAAGAGAGACTGGTAAGGATGAATGTTGTTCGTTTTTCTTCGGCCTGTTTTAGGACAGTTTGTTTATTGTAGCCAAGCAGGTCTATTACACGGAGGAAGACAAAATGTTAAATGTATTGAGTACATGTGCTCTAGACCTTATACTTCAAGAAAGCAGTTAAGAAGTGAGCTCTCGAGTAACGGTAACAATACTTTAGCTCCATGCGAGACATGATGAAAACGGTGAGGCAAGCCAAAGAACCAAGGGTAGGTAGTCCTAGTCACATGATCAATCTTTAAGCGAATTGCCCCTTTCTTCCGCCCTGCACTTTTGACACCTACTTCTTTCTTCTACATTCTCTTTTTTATAATTTATTCCTTATCTGCAACACCATAACTCCCATTGGCTTGCTGTTCTTTTAACAGCATCCTGAATCCTCCGCTTCGGTCGCGAACACTCTCGTTCTTTGGATTCACTTAAGCGCTCGCTGTTAGATCTTCTTTCACAAAAATTCCGATCTATATCATCTCCTCAGCTTTGGCGTTCTTGAGTTTCATCTTTCGACCAGCGCCGTCTCCAATCAAAGTAATTTCGAAATTCATCAAGCCACGTCAGCCTGTCAGACTTTCTACGACTTTCACATCAAGAAGAATGTCAACTTCAAACCCCATCGTCTTCACGGCTCCTGGCCTCAACCCTGATATGAGCATTGAGGTCTTCAAGCAGATCTTCCATGTCAAATCTTTTGTCCTGAAGGTTCATTCCGAGTACTTCTGAACTTATTTGGATTCACCGGATAAATCTCCTGCCAGCTCGATCTCTGGAATTTTTAAGTACCATTGGGTTACGCTGATTGATGAGGATGCAAACCGGTGGTCTTTAACAGCAAAGGAGAACTTTATGGTATGTGTAACAAACTTCTAAAATACATTCCCTCTGAAATACACAGGCTAACTAGTTTTCTCAAATAAAGACCAGTCCAGATAACAAGCCATATGCTGGAACTTCACAAGATCAGGTTGATGCTTTCCATGTACTTATTTCTGCACTTCATAGCGAGCCAGTCAAAATCACAACTGCCCACCAACTGTGCCTTATAGCTGAGCTTGCCGACTTCTACCGAGTTCTCCCTTTGATGTCCAATGCCCTCAATGGGGTCTTCTTTGACAACCCTGAGTTGGCTATGTCTATCCTTATTTTGCTCGAGGCTGCATACAAGTTGCAAAATAAGCTCCTGTTTCGGGAGTGTTTTGTTCATGTGATGGGCCCTTAGATCCATCCGAGATTTAAGCTGCTGCAGGAGAAGAAGCTGAGGGGCCTTACTGCTGTAACCCGTGCCAACACTACAGCGCAGATCGCGGTTACTCAGCACTAATTCTTTATCATGACTAGCATTTATTTTGATCCTCTTTCAAAAAATAAAGATCATCCGGTGCAATGTCGTCTTCCTAAATGTTTCAGTATATATATTCTAGTATTGACTACATATAAAATAGAGTTGTCTGTCTTGTTAAACAAGTCACTTGCAAACACTTAGATTGTCTGCAACAGTCTTCTCCAACGGCCTCCATCCGTCGTGATCACCCCAATGCTTCAGCAAGGCCAACGTCTCACTCTGATCAGTCGATATCGTGAGATACTCGGGAGTCGGAAATTCAGGAATGGACTCGTGGTCCGGGCGGAGCTTTCGCATAATGACAGCAATGTCGGACCAACTACTATGCTGGCCCCAAATATGGAAGCGGGCGTTCTTAACCTCGGGGTCCAGGACGGCTGCAACGTGGAGCAGCGCGACATCTTTCACGTCGACAAAATATACTATCACGAATAGATTAGCGACCTTGTGAAATGAGGCATTTGCTTGGGAACATACTAGAAACAGATGTGTCCAAGTAGGTTGTTCTGCCCTCGTATAGCTGCGGTATCCAAGAAGCCGTGAATCCAGGTTGCTTCTTGTTAAGCGGTTCACCAATGATTCCCGCGGGACTGATGACGTTGACCGTGAAGTGCGGCTTCCGCTCCTCAACAAACTTCCACACTGCTTTCTCTGCTGCGACCTTGCTAGCGAAGTATACGAGCATCCCGCGACTGGGCTCGTACGGAGGAGGAGCCCAAGCTAAATGAACTGCTTTGTCGTTCCAGGTGTCCCGTCCGATATTTGTGGCATCTCCTACGGAGGGGATCAAGGCGGCCCCCTTTGAGCTGGTATAAACAAACTGCAGCACCGACGGCTCCTTCATTGCCGCCTCCAAGGCCGACATGGTGCCAGCGACTGTCTGGGGAATGACTTTGTTTGGGTCCGGGTCGAAAGTGCCGATTGTGGCTAAGTGCACAACTGCAGAAACTCCCTTGACTGCTTCATCGAGGGCATGGTCAGCAGCTATGTCCGGCACGAGGGCCAGCTCGAAAGCACCCTCGTCAATGTAGGACTTGAGGACGTCTTCGACAAGCCAGGCTGCTTTCCCGATATCTCGTACAGTACCGCGCACTTTGTATCCGCGCTCTAGAAACTGCTTGGCCACCTGTGAAGCGACAAAACCTGTCACACCAGTTACTAGTACCAAGGAGCCCTTGGGAATAGTCGTTTTTAACTCGGACATGATAATAATAGAAGTATCGTATAGAATGAGATTCGCGTTATTGCTCTGGAGTATAAGTCTTAGGACCGGCTGAACGAGACTTATATAGGAGTGTAGATGAGATGATTATCAATCCTGTTCGGTCTTTCTCTTCTGACAAATGCATGTGAACTTTGCATTACAAACTATCTTTGTAAGGAAGACGCTATTAATAGCTGTTCTAGGTTGGATCTATCGTAGTCTCGTATGACTGATATGTACCCAAGTGGCAGATAAGAGTAAAAATTGTTATATGTCCGAGAAAGGAAACAGCAAGTCTTGGCATCATACTAAGATAAACGCCTATACAACTTGGCCATAAGAAATGTAGTTTAGCCGTGGTAGCATGAATTTTCTTCTTGTCTGTGCTATTAAACAGGAATGTAAGCGTGTGGGTCTTGATCTGTGCCTAAAAACCCTTTTTGGTAGATAAATTTACGGAGAATAAGCCTAATAAAACTGTTCGGATAGAGAGTTTGAGGTTCGCCGAGAAGTTGCACCATTTTCAGTGCCCCTAATACGTGGAATTTGGCTGCTACCATGTCACCGAACTGTGCCTCGTCGGAGGCTAGTTCTATAACGTTGGCAATACTCGAGTCATTGATGAAGGAGGGCCCAGCTGAAATGGTGGCACTAAGGCTCTGGAGGCAGACAAGTTTGAACCGGATGGCTAGTTGCGCATAGAACTGCTGCTGGGGGTGATTATTTAGGGACAGGTGGCGGCACGAGGCAAGTAAAAGGCCATTGCAGAATCCCACGTCAGTGAGAGCAAGCCGAGCCCATTGTTCAATCAGAAGCAATCGGATTTCAGGTCCTTGGAACATGGCGCAGTAGGTGTTTATAACAGGAATGACAGCTGTCACATCTATAGTAGGTTAGCTAATACCCTATGCACGATGACTACGGTGACGTGGATCAAGAGAGATCACTTACAGTGGTCAAATAAAAATTGTTCTACTGGCTCGAGAGACATTGCAAAACTATCAAAGGGGTCTCTACGATCAGATCCCAGCACGCTTACAGGGCTACCCATAGTAATCGTATTTACTTCGACGTTTTTTTCCGTACATGGAGCCTGATAGTACCGTTCCGGATCTCGTACAATGCTACCAGCCTGTTCCTGACCCCGACCCTGACTCTCCTGAGCTTGTTGTATGCTATTGTGTGACAGATATTCCGCGGTGCGGAGCCGCCTTCTGCAACTAATTAGCCAAGTTTCCAGTGAAGAGCGAAAGGCAGGGATGGTACACTCTTCGGAAGTAAGATACCAACAAAGTAAAATCGGAGATGGGAGATAAAGAAAGCGGCTACTTACTTCCTGGCATGCGCTTCTCGAGCAGCATGCGAGTGAGCCCGCTGCACGTTTGCCACGGCAGCGGTAGGTTGACTGGATATGTTGATGAACTGCATTTTACGATGTACGTTGGCATTATTAGGCAACATCGAGATTTAATGTCAAGTCTGATGATATAGTTGTTGACCAAGTGATAAATGAAACACGTGAAAGGATATTGCGCGCTTCATCTTCAATCTGGAAATTGAAGTGTATTTGTCAGACACGCGTACATCGTCTCGTGTAGTTACCTAGCTGGTAAACTTACGTATATATGGATGAGTGAGGAGTGACACTAGTAGCTTGCCAAGACTTGCTCCTTCTGAATCTGGAACACTATAAAAGCCACGGTCACATGCCGAAACTCAAGTGAGAAGTTTACTCAGGCGAGAGTCTCTTCAATTTATAATACCTCATTAATTGGGATAGTCCACACCCTGAGAATAAGACCGGTATACAGCACTCCTCCTGACAAAGTGTGATCGATCACGTGGTATGGAAAAGGGTAAATACGATGCAGCCAATGAACGCCAAAACACCTCGGATTGTGATTAGCCTCCACAACATGTTCCTTCTCCATCTCCCGCGCAACAACCCGAAAGGAGGTTAAAGATCTCACACCACTCGTAGTTATGTTTAACTGGGCGATTCTGTGCCTTTAACTGACGGGTAAGAATGTGCAGCCAATCAATGCATACGCTGCCCCCCTGCGGAGTTGGAAAAGCCGAAAAGGAGACGAAAAGGGGCTCCAAAGTCCAGAACAGGGTGTCTGACATGCAGGTCAATATGTCCTACCCATTTTCATAGAATACTTGCTAAGTTATAGAGCATACTGACATGATCAGAATTCGTCGAGTAAGATGTGATGAAACCAGACCTTCTTGCACTCCGTGCACTAAGACTGGTCGTGTGTGCGACTTTGTAAACCCCCAGGAGACCATTTCATCAGCCCGAGCCTCTAAACCACCCGCAAAAGTCAAACAGAGGCTACTTTCCTCTCCTAAGCCATGCCTGATTCAGCCCAAACTCCATTTTCCTCCAACTGTGTCGCTTTCCACCCATGAAGGCAATCACCTGGAGTATTTCCGTCTCTTATGCACTCGATCCTTCTCGAGGTATTTCGAAAATACGCTCTGGGATAAAACCTTGCTTCAAATTGCAACATCGGAGCCATCTATACGAAACGCTGTCATGGCGCTGTCCTTTCTTTTCCGGCACCAAACTTTCCAGGGCGAAGGACATAGTGCAGTGACTAGGCAAGCAATTACCGTCAACTATCTCGAGGCAGTAAAATCCCTTAATCTTCGTCTTGACACTTCGAGATCTAGTTGGGAGTTAGCTCTTCTCGGAAGCCTGGTATTTGCGGCATTTGAGACACTTCAAAGCAATCAAAGAATGTCTCTGAAGCACTTCAATGCCGGCCTAGCTATGCTAAAAGACCTTAAGTCCAGATTTCATGTATAGTCTTCCATTTGCCGGCTCTCCCCTCTTCATGTTTATACTAACAACTGTAGCATAACTCAGCTATTCTAGAGGAACATTTTTACGCTTCGACGCTCAAGCTTGCACCTTTGGAGTATTCTATGAGTCCCAATTTTCGGGGACTCCACTAGTCCCCGACACTTTTCGGACAATAGAGGAAGCCCGCAACGTGCTGGAAAGCACAATCACATATATGGAACGTCTTTTAAAGCCAATGAACAGTCGCTATCGTACGCTGCCTTACTCAGCGATCCCATCCACTGTCTCCGTTCAACTCACCAAAGTCGAAGCTCTCTTCAGGAATTGGGCTCTATCTCTAGGTAACTCACCATCGTTACTAAAGACAAACAATGTTGCAATTAAAGTCCTCGAAGTTCAACACCTTGCTGCAACTGTTCGAGTATCTTCTCTCTTCTATCGGGACGAGTTAGCCTACGATGCATTTACCATGCAGTTCAAAGAGATTATAGATCTTGCCCAATACATCATCGAGACTACCATGAAAAATAAGGTAGGCCTGAACTTCTCATTTGATCTAGGAGTTGTCTCGCCCCTCTACCTCACAGCTTGCAAATGCCGAAATCCAGTTCTTAGGAGGAAGGCAATTTCTCTACTCAATCGAAGCGGCATTGAAGGGCTTTGGGATGGTGACGCAATGGCTGCTGCCGCAACATGGGCTATGAACTCTGAGGAAGGAGTTGAAACTTCAAAGGACTGTGACGGATTTGTCCCAGAAGAATTCCGATTAAGAGAGATTGGCATGGCGATGGACAGGAATAGCAAGATAGTGAGCCCGGTCAGTACCACCAGGTCACCTGATGGGGTATTGAATTACGTTGGAGCCGCTATACGTTGGGGCGAGGAGGTTACTATCATGTCTGAGCATCCGAGTGCAACGGTCAAGGATAGAAGGTTGGAGCTTTGGATAATTCGGTGTCGTGCGCGTAAGTCAAGTCCTGCCTACCAAATGCAGGTTCTGAGCTAGGCCTATTCTGAGCATGAGAGCTCGAATCCACTCCCCTTAAATTGCAGGGACAGCCATACTGATCGTTCGATAGATGTCCAGAACACGAAAGTTCTATCAGAGGATTGGTGGTCTGAAGGCATGCCTGGAATGCGCATTGATGACCCTTCGTGCTTAAAGATAAATATGAATTGAAGATTATGTGTGGTAAGATATCATCATACAGGTCCACACAAGAACACAATCTCTAGCATACCAAACGCCAATCAATCTCCTGAATGTTCCGCCATCCAAAGTCAACCTACTATAGGTTCTTGCTTTGGTGTGATTCCGAGGCTGCGCCAAGCGCACGAAAACGCACCAGCTATCTGGGAAATGCGAGGGCAATTTTCTGTATGATTGTTCTGATCGGTTCAAATTGAACAAAGTGGCGAAGGGTAGAACTTGTGCGCTTACTATGGATAAGGATATGGGCTTTGCGGCACCATGGCCGGGGAAGTGTGTGCAGGATGTTGTGGATCCGAAAAATAGTTTGGGCACCCCGGATGATTGTAGTCATTGATTCAATGAATCGATGGGGGATGGGGACATGTGACAGGCAACTCAGATTACTTCTTCATTGCGTGGCAATTTGAGATTTGTCCCTGTTTGCTTTGCTTGCTAGCTAATGGGATTCTCTTGGCGGGATGTTATTAGTAACATCTCGCCTCCATCGCGAGTCACCAGTACGTACCTGCGCAGCCGACTTTCCACGCCATCGTCCAAGTTTTCCTATCACTTTCCCTTTGTTTTCATGTTCCTACACCACAAGCCAAGATCTTCTTACTACCCCCGTATCCAGATTGTGTTCTGCGAGCACTACGCAGCACATAACTTGTCTTCATCCAGTCCAGCCGGTCTTGGGAAGGCAGGTCTGTATGTCAATGTTTGTACCGCTTCCTCGTCATCCACCTCATCCACCTCATCCACCCCATTGACCTCTGATACCACGCTCTTGACTGCCGGTTTCACTGGTACTGCATGGTACATAAAACTTCGGTTCGATCGCAATATACTCAATATCCTTCCATCACCATTGTCAACCTGCTTAGCTATCATATCAGCCGTTCTTCCATACTCGTCTTGTGCCATGCGATCCGCTCCCGCCATCATCAGACTTCCAACCGCCTCGACGCTCTGGAATTCTATTGCGGCAAACAGCAGTTTTTGCATTGCGTATTTTGAGTCTCGAAGGCTTGCTCCTGCCCCGACAAGTGTAACTGCTATGTCAAGGTTGCCCAAGCGGCAGGCGATTTCCAATGGCGTGTCCCCGCGCCGATTTGCCAGATCTAGTTTCGGCTTGAACTTGAGAAGCATTTCCGTGCAAGCCAAACAGCTGCGAGCGGCAATGTGCAGCGGGGTCTGCTTCATGGCCCTGTTCGGTTCGTCGATATATTTCGCGTCGGCGTTGAGGAGCTCTTGTAAAAGTGGCGCCCTTTGTCGAGTGTTGCCATTGCAGGATGAGACCGCAAGGTGGAGCGCCGTGTTTCCAGTCACGGGTTCCTTGACAGAGAGGTCGAGTTTGCCTATTTTCACGAGGCTTGACCCTATGATTAGATCGAGACGAGATAATAACACTAGTGACCAAATGGGAAGCCCCTCTAGCTGGATGTCCTGCGCTGTATCGATTTCTCTGTTCGTTCCTTTGTCCCTGAGAAGATCCATGAGATTCTCGTTGTCATATTGCCAGGCGACCATGTATGGTGTTCTATCAAATTTGTCTTTGACAGAGCAGTCTGCTCCATTCTCAATGAGGAATTCTGCCGCATCGTATTGATCGTTCCTACAGGCGCTGTGCAGTGGCGTCATTCCGTGGAGGCAGGGAGAGTTCAACCCAAGACCGTGAGATTTGAGTAGCTCGAGAACATTAACATGTCCGTATTCTGCTGCGCCGTGTATCAGAGTACGACCGTCTTCATCGCTACACGAGACATCTGCCTTGTAGTTTATCAAGATCTCCAAGATTTCTATGAATCCCTTCTCAGCTGCGGCTAAAGCTGGTGTTACACCCCTGATATCCTTGGGTACATTGGGGTCGGCACCATGACTTAGCAAAGAAGATACAATGTTGGAATGATGCTTTTCTACAGCGATCATCATTGCTGAGCGGCCGCTGCTGGTCTCTGGCAGGTCCATTTTGGCATGAGACTCCAGTAGTATATTGACGATTTCTTTCTGGTCCTTCGAGGCAGCAAACCATAAAGCTGTGATGCCTCGCGAATCTCGCATATCGATATCGACTGAGGCGTTTGGTTCTTTCAGGAGTGTCTCGGCCATGTCGGTAGAGCCCTGGAGGATAGCAACCATAAGGGCTGATCGATCGAATGTCGTGGGGTTTCCTTTATTGATATCGAGATCTGGAGCATTTTCTAGGAGAATATGCACCATCTCATTATTTTTTCGAAGTACTGCTTCATGCAATGCAGTCCTACCTCTGGCACTGTGTATATTGACATTTGCACCCATTCTCAGCAAACTTTTAGCAACGTCAGTGTTACCCCTCCTGCATGCGTACATCAAGGGTGTTTGACCATATGTCTTCTCCTGAACATCCAATGGCGTCTGATCGACATATGATTTCTCACGACCATCAAGATGCTCAAGCGTTTCGAAGTTCAGTTCTGCAATAATCTCGGTCAGATCGAACCACGCACATACATGTAGAGCATGGATATTTCTTCGAACGTCCCACTTGTCCCGATCGTGAGTGTTGGTTTCCCAAGCGCCTTGGATATAAGCCTCCATTCGTGACTTATCTTCAAGGTACTTCACGGCTGCTGTTACAACTTCAGGATCAGCTGTTCGGACGTGATCGCCCCAATATTGGACTGCGTAAGCAAAGAACGGATGCTCATTGTCTCGTTTTGCGAACTCCCCTTCTGGACACCGCTTCGAGAATGTATCGAAGCCTAGATATCGGAGACATAATCTCGCAATGCAGTTCTCCCCTTCCGGAAACCAAATTTCTTGCTTCTTGTCAAAGTACTCTCGCAATGTTCTATCATCGAGTCGAACTAGTGTGTCTTCTCGTCCTACGGTAATGAATCCTCCAGTGCAATTCAAGATATCATCCTGATCGATCAAGTCATCTTTGTCGTAGTCTGTATCTTCCGGGTCTGCAACCTCTGCCGCCCAAACATGACGCAACTCATCTAATGAGAGAGCTCTGCGAGCAAAATAGACTATGGACAAGAGTTTGATGGCTCTATCAACTTTGTCGAAGTCCTGTTTCCTGATACGAGTGTCTAAATCTTTGTCGTATAAATTATCGATCCTATCGGACATGTCATATTGAGAACTGTTCAGCTTCTTCAAGGCACCCATGATTTGCTTCTTTGTAACTTTGTTTGCGATAGACTCTAAACATTTCTTCGGGAAGATATACTTGTTGCAAGAACTCTCTACAACCGCATGCACGAATTCTTCGAAGAATCTGTCATCCTCGGCGCAGAAGCGTCCTAATTTCGTGGAAGTACGGGCTTTACTTTCCATATCAGTATCGATATTGTCTTCGGGATATTGTTGTTTAATCACGGCCTTCACATATATCTTCAGGTCTTCTAGTGGCACTATCATCTGCACTTCGATGAATGACGGCAAGCAGACGTCGTGTTCAGGATCTGTAGTGCATTTTTGGCCCTGTTTCTTGCAGTCGGGACATAGATCAAATCGCGGTTTCTCGGCACAGTCTCTGCACCGGTAGTATACGGGAAGTGGTGCTTTCCGGCAGTTACTACACTGAACGTACTCGGGAGGCGGCTCCTCATTCGGCCTTGCCATTGTTAACAATTTTAACTTTGGGCAAAACTTTCGGATTTTCTTCTTCATAAGGCTATGAAGAACGGGAAGTCAGCTTTGTTTCTACTTTAGGAAGCTTTTAGGAACGCAGCAATATCTGAGGTGCCACGAGACATCTTTAGAGCATCTGCTCTAGAAGTATAGTGAGAGACTCCTGAAACATGCTGCAGTAGGAAATAAAGGGGATTCCTGTTATTCTTACTCCCGGGATTCCTCTGAAGCTTCATCCAGGGAATCAATGATAACAAAAACCCAGTCGTATACATCTGCTTCAGCCTGAGATCTAATTGTCAGTACACAGACTTTAGGGCAGTGAGATAAAGCATTCACCCACCTTGAGAAGCTTAGCGAGGTCGGCTTCACTTGGTCGCGCATCCACACGCTTATCTTTGTTCCATGCATCTCGGACCTCAGGACTAACGCCGGACACGTTGAGCTGCACCAATTGTTTTATCAAACTGCCCAGTAGGTTATTGGGCGAGTGTGCTTTTTCAATGAAAAGGCAAAGCACGGGGATGTTTGAAGAAGGCTTCTGTGCCAAGTGAGCTGCCACGATGGAGCAAAGCACAGTCTGTATGCCGCTTTGTCAGAAAAGCTTAGACGTCTTGACAGATACAATGTTATACCTTGCCTGTCCCAAAAGCCCCATGGCACCGAAGTACGTCCAATTCACCCCTCTCCCAACATTGAAACTGCTCAAGCTTCAAGAACCAATTATCAGTAGTGATAGCCCCTTCAAAAATCTGACGTTGGCGAGCTTGATTATCAAGCGGCGAGAGCCAACGCTCGATTGCTTTCCGTTCCTTCTCTTCTCGATCTTTATTCTCTTGCTCAATCTGCATATCCTGCTTTGCAGCCATCTTTTTTAGCAGCACATTATTTTCACTCGAAAGCCTGATATTAGCCGTACTCAGTACCAACGAAATACTCGTACAATACCCATCAATAGCAACAAAGAACCCCTCGAGCGACTTCTTCTCCGAATGCCACTTGAAATCCTTCCATTTCCTAGCCGTAGTTTCCTTCGTTCTCAATTTTTCAAGCATCTGGTTCATTATATCCAGAAGACCTGCAAGTGGGGAATCTTTTCTCTTCATGTCCAGAGTCTGTACCAAGTGCGAGTGCTCTGGATCCTCTTTCAGACAATCACCCAGGATCCGCTTGATATCAGCGACACAGCGGAGACGCCGCGTGAACTCATCGCGCTCGGTGGGGGCTTTGAGCACATCGTCGGCGAAGCGGTATGCTTCCTTGAGGGCATCGAAGATGGCGATGGTGCCAGCTATGATGGAAAGCGGATCCATTTTGGATTATTTTCTATTACAAATCGTCTCTTTATCTCTGTAGAGTAAGGGCTAGTAAGAATCAAAACGCATCTTTGGGTGAACAACAACATACCTTGGAGCATGTCCCAAGAAGGTTTCAGAGGCTGAGACTGGATTCGTAAAGACAACAGCACGAAATAAGAACTACCAAAGCTTTCCATGCGCAAATTATTATTGTCGCAATATTTATGAAACACGCCACGAAAATACCAGTTGGGCGGGTGGTAGTCACGACTGCTGACGGTGCCTAAGGTGCCACTGAAATCACCCGAGTGTGCAGTTCATTGGGTGGAGGGTATCACCGTAAGGCGGAACCCTCCTCAAGAGGAGAAGCTGAAAGCGCAGCCACTATTTATAGAACTACGCCGCACCCTGAAGTCCGGCAAATTTGGCTTACTGTACGAGCGGCTGCATCTCATAGGACCTTTATATGCTTGGCATAGTACCATGTGCCTCCGGGGGTAAAAAATGCTACGGAGGTAAAGAGGGGTCCCCAATAAGAGCCGCCTCAAGCGATGTTTCTCCAGTCTTTGGATCGCGCACAGAATCTCTTTTCTCTTCGTTCAAATTCGCTGAAGTTACTTGCAAGTCAGGGTCAAGTGAAGAAAGGTTGATTCCAATATTACTTCACATCTTATATTTGACTTTCCGGACCTCCTTCGGAATCATAGACTTAAAGTAACGCTAAAGTAAGATGCTTTCCAGCCCCCAACTCTAGGCTTCTGCATGCTGCTATGCCCTACCGGGGATTATAGTATTTGCCGGAGTAAGCAAATGCGAGCAATACGCCTAGTGCTTAGTAAAGCCCTACGTACAAGTGTCCTCGCCGCGAATAGTAAGCTGGTTTTAAGAGACCTGCAAGAGCGTTTGGCCATTTAGTTGTATGAAATCCTTCGTTTTATGGAGCCAGCCCACAGTTTAACAATTGTCCAGGGGGAGGGGTACCCCTGAACTATAAGCATCTACTCCGTAATGATCTGACCCGCAATGTATCTTAAATATTACTTGAAGAGGCGGTTCCTCCCGAGCGTTGTGGATCTTGAGGCTCTTCTCTTCTATATCTCGATGCTTGGAAGCCCCTCTCCACGTTCTTTGAATTTTTAATCTTTGAAGATGGCGCGCCTTTTACTCGTTTTCCACGCGTTGCTCTCGTTCTATGTGGCACTCTCGTGCGCCGCACCCTCCAATTACGAGCCTCCAACTGTGACGAAGAGGGCTGCCACACCTATATCGACAGTATGTGGTGATATTATCAGGAATGCTGGTATGTAATGCTTCGAGTGAGATTTTGTATGGGATTGACGCTTTGATCGTAGAACTTGTCTTCCCAGCCAAGCAGGCGTATGATTGCCTGACATCCGTTCCTTTCAACGCCGCAGTAGCGACTCGGTTCCTTCAATATTACAATGATACAATTCAGTTCCAATCAAATTTAGCGTATCTCAAGAACCCGCCCGCAAGCTACCAGCAAGCACCTGTAGATCTTGTTGAAGGCCTTGCCCAGATCCAAATAGCAATCGACAATAGCAAATTTGCAAACCAATATGAGTTTGAAGTTGCGCTTCAGGCCTTGATATTCTCAACACATGATGCGCATTTGAATCTCCTTGCTGGAATCATAGGCGTATTTACCTTTGGTACTGAATATGACATTGCCTCTGTATCCCTCGATGGGATCGAGCTACCCAAGGTCTATTTTTCTAGTAAGATGTTGCCGAATATCTCTTAATAGTGGTGACACTAATTGCAACAAACAGATGATTTGATTGACAGCGCAGTCGATGGAGACTGGCAGCCCTCGGCAATATCAAAAATTAACGACTTGGATGCTCAGGATTACTTGGAAGATTTTGCGGCCACGAATGCTATTGGGAGTCTTGAATCTCATGCGGATTTTAATCAGTTGATGACAAGTCCTGCGCAAGACATCCAGTCGATATTTAGTACCTGGGGTGGTAATTCGATGTTCTATCCGGGCGATGAGCTCACGTTTTTACTTGAAAACGGAACCCAGATCCCTACAAAGTGGCTGGCTGTCTACACCTATCCAAGTAGTACTGGTGCTCTCGAGACTGGTGGCGACTTTTACAACTTCTTCGTCTTGGGGGTAAGTTGTTTCTGCAATTTTTCTGTTCCTCTTCCCCCAACGTGCCCCAAAGAGCAGCAAGAATTGACTTTCAATAATTTAGTGGTATCCTGCTTCATACGACCCCAACGCAACGGAGTCGAGCACTGCTGCCCCAACTGCAACCGAGACGGCTTCGGCGACTTCGACAGCCGACGACTCGGCCGCGACGTCGACTACAGCAGCAGGTTCATGGGATAATGTTGCCTTTCCACACCCCGACATCGCCCAAGCCGATCTGGGCACTTTTGGTACAGGTTTTGTGTCTGGATATTTCCTCAACCAGTCATCCGTTGCCGTTCTGAGTCTTCCGAGTTTCCAGGAACCTGGAACAGCAGTCGGGTCATTCTCAGACACCGTAACGCGTTTCCTCAACGCCAGCAAGGCAGCAGGAATGCAAAAAGTTGTTATTGATGTGCAGCAAAACTATGGTGGAGATGTTTTCCTTGCAGTGGATACCTACAAGCAGTTCTTCCCAACGCAGGAACCCTTCGGTGGAAGCCGAATGCGGGCTACGGATCCCACAAATGCTATGGGTGATGCGATTACTGGCTATTGGGAAACACTGGATGATTCGGATGACGACTATTTCAACTTCTACGATGATGAATGGATGGCTTTGACCCGCATCAATCCTGATACAAACGATAACTTTACATCATGGGCCGAGTTTTTTGGACCTCATGTCTTCAATGGGGATAGCTATACTACTACAGTAGGTTTGACCTTGCATATTGAGTCGATGCGAGGGCTAATAACGTAACTAGCAACGGTACAACTTCTCCGATAATTATTTCAGTACGATTTCGACGGAGGATGAGGATGCCGATGGGTTTACTGTATACGGGACAGATGACCGACCGGCTAATACCACTCAGCCATATGCTGCTAAAGATGTAATCATTGTAAGTGGCCCCCTTGACTCGAGTGTTGCACAGACAATTGACTGTCAAAGCTGTCGGACTCTCTATGCTCATCCGCCTGTGCGGTTTTCATGGAAATGATGCATCATGAAGCCGGAGTTCGCACCGTTGTCGCTGGTGGCCGTTCATCTTATGGTCCAATGCAAGCACCTAGGTATGCAAGCCTCCATGGTCTTACTGTCATATACTAATGATCAAAAAGTATGAGTCGAGGCGCCGTCGCCTACGGGTTAGACTCTCTAGACTACCAGATCGATGTCGCCCAACAACTCTTGCAAGAAAGCAGCGACCCCAGCAGTGCTAATTTCCTACCTAATAGAACGACGGCAACAGATGTATGGATAACGTACGCCGAGATCAATCTCCGCGACCAAGTACGCAGGGGAAGTGACACCCCTCTACAATTTGTCTACGAAGCAGCGACCTGTCGGATCTTCTACACACCCCAAACCTTCTACAACTACACGGCGCTATGGACGTATGCTGCAGACGCAATGTGGAATAACCAGGCCCTCTGTGTCAAAGATTCAACGGGCTGGTCCACTACAAGCGCCACCAACACCTCCGCATCACCGGCCTCAGTCCTCCCATCCCCAAAACCATCCACAAGCGCAGACCCGCAGATAGGATCAATAATTATGAGCGTCTTCTCCGGCTCATCCCCCTCTGCCCACTCCCCCATTCTCGACTCCGGAACCGCCACAAAGCAAGACCAACTAGCCAACGGAGGTACTGCCTGTTCCAGTGACGGCAAATGTCCCACTACCGACTATTTCTGTCTTGAGAAGACCTCTATTAGATGCGATAAAAGCACCAAGAAACCCATCTCAGGAAGCTACTGCGTGCCTGTCTGTAACCCTAACCAAGGTCCCAAAGTTGCGAGCACTTGCACGAACCATGGGGTTTGTCAGCCTCTGGATTCAACGGTACCTGGCTTCAAGAATACGGGCGGTACGTTGGCGAAGGGTAGGAACGGGTATTGTAACCCGCCGCCTCCGGCGTGTAGGACTACTAAGAGTAAATTTACCTCCATTAATGTCGATGATGCGCTTGATCCGCCGGAGAAGAGAGACGCAGAAGAATGGTTTTGAGAGGTTTTTGGGAAAGGGAACAAAAAATATCGGGCATATCCCTACACGGGAAGGAGTGGCATTTCTTGGGGGGGGGGGGAAGGTAATGGGGAGTTCGGATAGACTTGCTAGAAGATACGAACGTGGACGGCGGAACTGTTCGCTAGTAATTGTACTTGAATTTTGTGTACCCGTTAGAGCGTTTGGATTTATAATAGATACCCAGTAATAGAGAACAAAAGTTAAACTTTCACCGCAAGGCCACCCGTAGCTCCACGTTTATGCCTGGAAAAGCGTTCGCGAGCAAGTGATGGTAGAATTTCCAGTCTTTGATCCGTAGGTTAGTCTTCACCCTTTCCTCGTAACTTTCGTTTCTGTTCTGAATTACTGAAACGAGCTTCGAACCTGCATCCATTTGTATATCATTACTACAAAAGCAATGGCCCCCCTTCCAAACACCAGAGAAAACCACCCCCCTCACTGTTCCTTCTTCTCCAATCCCGCCGCCCTCCTCCTCACCTCACTAAACTTCCTCAACCTCTCACTCTCATCTCTCGTGCTCTTCAAATAGATCTCCAACAAAAACACATTAATAAAATACCCCACCACCCCACTCGCTCCGAACACCAAATTCACAATCGCAGTTCGATTCTCGAGCAGCGTCGTGCTCCAATTCGCAGGCACAGGAACAAACACGTCGGCGCTTCCAAGACCATTGGCGAGCGAACCACAGGTTGGGTAGTTCCGTGCGAGGGTAGCAAGACTGCCAGCGTTGGAGCGGTAGAGGTATGCGAGCTCCTCGCAGGTGAGCACGAAGTGGAAGCGGTTTGGACAGACGGCGGTTATGCCCAGAATGAAGAATACCATCACGATTCGGAGAGAAAGGATCTATTTAGGTTAGATTTTGCTTCTGCTTTGGTGATTTCATTCATCCATCTAATGATGAATGGATGGGAAGAAGGGGGAGGGACGAACAGAGCCAGTATATGCCCACGTCCTCAACACCCACTCCCGGTGACTGTCAATTTTCAGTTCGCGGATGGATTTCCATGCCTTGTACACCGATACGCTGGTGGAGATGGCTAGCAGGACGGTGAAACACTGCGTATCGAGCGTTCCTCCGAATGAGCGGTTTGCGATTGCAATTGCCGCTATTCCCACTTTGTCAGATCCGTACTTGTTATTTCCAAAAAGATATATATATATCTTTTTTGGAGGGGAAGTGGAACTATACTTACTGATATTCCCCACCATCAACATGACAAAAAGCGCGCGCCCAGCCACTTTATGCGCATACATAAACTTCCTCCTCATAACAGGTAAAAACTGCAACGGCAGCAATATCCCCGCCGCTGCACATCTCCCAAATCAGCTAATCGATCACGCTTGAAAAGTGGAAATTGGAAATGGGGAATCCGACTCCGACTTTGGGGTGGGAAAAGGGGAGGTGAGCATACGAATAACACTCCACAGATGCAGCTGCATGCCGAATTTCCTAAAGCCGCCCTCGAACCAGACCTTCTCGCCCGGAGCTGCAGGCAGATCCCACTGTCTCCAGTTACCGTAGTATAAGAAGCGGATCGTAGAGAGACTAAAGAGCGCGAATGTGCAGGGGACGAGGAGGAAGAGGACGAGGGAGTTTGGGGATGTGAAGCCGGTGAGTGAAGTCTTCATCGTGGAGCTGGTTAATTTTTGTGAGGGGGGGCGTTGTGATATGAAAAGAAAGGGGTTTGTGTTAAGGCAGAGTTCCGAAAATCGAAATAACAGAAAGCTCAAGTGCAAGAAAAATTTCTTCTCTGTCTAGTGTAGTAGTGAGGATGTAGCGAGATTCAATCCCCTCGGCGAAGAAGCTACAGGAACATATATATACAAAAGAATTACATGATTTGAAAGTCGAACGTTTACTTTTACGTAGAGATATAGATTCGCATTCGCGTATCGGCCGTAAAATTGTTCCGCTACGTCTCTTGTTTGAGGTTAGGGTCGTGAAAGCTAGGGTCGTCGGGACGTTGCAACTAGCGGGATCCTTTACGTCCGTACAGTAGTACTCCGTATATTCGGCCCATATTCACATGCCGATTCCTTCGTCCGTGTAGATGCGAGAAAGTGGATTGCATACCAGCTATTTTCAAGCGGAGGTTCGATTTAATCCCCTGGATATATATCTGGCCGTAGTATACAAGTACTAAATCAAAGGTGCTACTCGAGTAAGCCCTTCAATTGTACCCCTTGGTTAAGCGAGGTGAGCCTTGAATTCAGCCGAGACTGGGCGCTGTAGCGTGACTTTAATATAATGTTCATATTTTTATTCTTTCCATCTAATCACGATATACACAGCACTCAAGAAACCGACCCTGTCATGTCGGATCAATTCTCGAAGGCTTTGCTAACCCACCATCTACATTACAGTCACGTCGCTGGTAGTCAAATAGCATTTGACCCGATCATAAAACGGCAAATCCATTTTCTACAACTCAATCACACCATCCTCAAGATGGCGACCTGAAGACAGGTTTGTACTGGCCGCTTGGCCTTTCGACTCATCGCGAATGGCGATGAGGAGTGATGGACGTACAGAAAATGCGAAATATTTGGAACTTGCGCCAAGTCTTTCAATTAGCCTCAAAGCCCGTCTCATTGCAGTGCCTCACATTATTATTAAGATTATGAACAAGCGCTATATTAAACCAAAGACAACGCTAGTGACGGAAGAAACAACGCTGGGGTATAAGTATAACAACGATCTCTTAACGCCATGCTGCAAAATACCCAGACCCATACATACAACATCAATGAAATCTCAGCCGCACAATCGAAAACAACATGTTCTGCAAGACATGAACCATGACAACCACACCCGTAGGCAACAACTCGGGCCACATGGCCAGATCCGCCTTTGCTTCTCCCGTGACGTCAGAAGCCCATCCGTACCATAGGATGCGTCGGACGATCCAGCCGGCGACTATCTCGCATGCCCAGGTGACCAGAGAGGCGTAGAACGTGAGTCCGAAATCGTACATTTCGCCGCCGCCGATGGGCAGACTTCCACGGGAAAATTGGGGAGGGGAGTTCTCCGAGTCGAATGCGAAATAGGGGTAGACGTCTTTGTTACTCCCGTAATGAAGCACGAGAATGGAGCCCACGAATGTGAGCATAGAGACGTTCTCCGCTAGACCTCTGATGAAGATATTCCTGGCGCAGAACTTCTGGTAGGATGGGAGGGTTTGACCGTTTATAGAGAGGACGCTCAGGACGTAGTGGAAGGGTTTAGACATTGTGAGAGGTCCGAGGATGATCAGGAATGATGATGAGAGGATTTGGAGATATATGAACTGTTCGGGGGAGCGGAGACGGGCGTATAGAGCTCGGACGTAGGTTTGGTAGGTTAGTGCGAAGTAACTGGACTTTATCAGCATGCGTCTAAGGTAGGATAGGGGTTCGCGTACAGTTTGAATATCCAACCTAAGGGATAACTCCCCACCCTCTCACCTTCGTTTCCACCGAGTATCCAGCCGACTATTCCGTCCAAGATGTGCACGGTTGCGACCCAGCTGTAGACGTAGACAATCGTTGCAAGAGTTGTATGTGGCAACGTTCTCAGATATGTCTCGGCATATGCTTCTCCCAAGACATAAGCCAGCATCCCGATGAAGAGAGCTAAGCAAAACCATATGAATCTGACAAAGCTAGCTGGGATCCAGCGTTTCCTCAATGACAATTCTCGACGATTCATATTGTCTGTAGCAAGAGCAACTTCCAGCGGAGCATCAGGATCAAACGTTGATTGCTGGACCGCTGGCCTTCGCTGTGGGTCTCTTCCCACAATTGTCTCGGTCTCTCCCGTCCACCATGAGGATGTAAATATTCGCTGTGTTTCGGAAAGAGATTGTCGAAGTCCCAGATGGCGCTCGTGGTTCATGAGAATAGCAAAGGCGATGATAAGTGGCATTGCCATGGTGAAAAAGGTCCAGCATATCCATACGGTATTGTGTTTCGTGAAATACCTTGATTGGGGGAAGTAGTAAATAGGGATTGGTGCTGCGATTGATATAGTTGCAATGACTGAGACGGTAAACGGGAAACCTAGACTCTGCGGCCACCTTCTGGAATTAGTATATGTCTTCTGAGGGGGGAATACCAGTACTGACCAGTTCAGACTGTAGATGTTGAACACTTTCGTAATCCACATCAAAGCAGTTATATTATAGAAGCCGTAGTACACAAACAAGAAGAACCAGAAGTTGATCTCTACTCGAGCTTCTCCATGACCCGGTACCTTGTGTCCTAGAGCATCCAGACCAAAGCTGAATGCTTGCACATCGTCGTCATCTGGTAGATCGTACTGAGGGAACGGTAAAGCACACCAAGCTACAGCCTGCGATATCATGAGCATATCTCTTTTACCACATCTGCTACAGAACTCACCAAAGCAGCCGGTAGCACAACCAGCACCGTCCATCTTGTCCACCACTTATCCACCACCCTCGCCACAGCGGCCTGCTTCGGATCCAGCCAAAGATCTCTCAACGTTCTCGACAACCCCTTTACCACCCCCACTGCGTCCCCATCCTGACCCTCTGAACTGCTATCATCGCCAGTATCTCTATTCCCAAACACGCCCGCATATCTCCTACCTGTCGTAAAGCTGCCCAGCAGACTCAGACTATTTCTATGGGCCCCATTCCGTCGCGACGCATCCGGCACGGCGCGAAAGCGTCCTAAAAGGGGCGAGCTGTCGCTTGTTGCCCCGCGCGGGTCGTGACCTTGTTGGAAGTCGAAGAAGGAAGGCATTCCATTACTCGACTTTCGTGAGCGCGATGTGCAGGAGATAAGAGGGTTTGAATGTTTTGAAAAGGTTTGGCGGGGTTTTACCGAGATGCAGGGTCCAATTTCGTGCAACTCCAAGGTAAAGCTCAGTTCTATAATAATATTTAATTGGTAGCTGATAGATACCCCAAAGAAAGTTTGATACTGGAGTCTCATTCGTTGTTTTGCTTCTCACGCCCTGTTCTTGTTCTTCCATATAGGGATTGTAGACCCGCGGCTTTACTCCTGTGATCCCACTATACTTGGTTTGTTTTATGCGGAATTGAATTATTTTCACCTACTACATTATAGACTTCCCTAAACCCTCAAATGGTACCTCTGCAATCAAAGTCCTGGCGGAAAGGCGCAAACAACAAAAATTTGCAGATCTTGAGCAAGGAGCCTTCGAGTCCAATGACGGCACTATCCTAAGGAAAGAAAGAAAGAGGAGTTCAATCAATGATCAAGAAGTTGTCCTAGTGGATACGACACCCGATGGACCGAAGCCTGACAGGAGCATTAAAAGGAATTATTAACCGACGGACAGCTTTTATGGTGATATATTAGTTTTTCATGGATTCCGGGGGTTCTTTGGGATGGGTTGAGAATAATTTACTAGATAGAAGTTAGAAGGAACATGGATACTCTTCATAAGTGTTCTTCCTTCTATCAACCGTTTATCATCAAGATTATCCGAGCCTAAGAGACAAGCAGAACAGGCGGACAAATGCGACACCTCGCTAATAACAGTCAATCACAAAAATCAAAGCTGCAACAAATATAGAATAAAATTGCAAAAAGAATGCGTTCTGATGCGGGGCCTAATCCGGGATCGAACCGGAGACCTCTTACATGTGAGTCCTAGCCAATGGCAAGTGAAACCCAAAGCAAGAATTCTACCACTGAACTATCAGGCCTGAGATGTTTTTGAATCCATGTCTGACTATTTTGATACATGTTTGGATGAGTGGAAATTCAGACGTTATAGAAAGGTGGGACGGAGAAGAAGCACCTACTGGCTGGAAAATCTTCAAGAGACACGTTGGGAAGCAGTATCAACTCTACATGTATTGAATATATATATATCGTCAACATTCAAAGTAAAAAAGAAATTACTTTGTTGCGTCGTTGTGAAGGATTCATAAAGGTCTGATTGTACCTGGATCATGTGATCATATTTAAAGTTGGGCGCCAAGGCTGAATACATCATCGCCGCCGCGCCAGCAATCGGCAGCTACAGAACAGCTCAGCTGCCTACTATTCAGTTTGCTATTGGGAATTCCCTCGAATTATGATACGAAAAAGTAGATGAACATCTTCAAACAACCAACGACGTAATTCACACCCATAATCTCCCAAAATATCCAGAATAATCACGCCCCGATTCCGCCTGCCCCGCGCAGATTCGCCGCCATGGACAACGACGATTTCGCCAACGTAAGCTGGCAAAGCGATCATGCTGCCCGTGAACCTGCATCTAGTATTGGTAGTCCGGGAGCTGCAGTTGAGGACCAAGAGAATACGGGTAGTAGGAGACATACTGAGGGGCCACTGGGCACCCATGCGGATGCGCTGGACCTGGCTGGCGTTGGAGAGGGGGTATTGGAATGTACAGTTACTTCTCCCCTGAAAGAGAACGACGGATCAAAAGATGCTTATGTGTCATATCTGGTGACGACAAATGCTGGTCTTCCTATCCAAATAGTGCTGAAGCTATACTGACTATCCCAGACAACTTTCCCCTCCTTCCAGAAACCAACCACCTCAGTCCGCAGGCGCTTCACAGACTTCGTCTTCCTCTACAAAACGCTCTCGAAAGAATACCCAGCATGTGCGGTTCCGCCATTGCCGGATAAGCATAAGATGGAGTATGTGCGGGGTGATCGGTTTGGGACGGACTTCACTTATCGAAGGGCTAACTCGTTGCATCGTTTTCTTGCGCGGCTGGCGCTTCATCCTGTCCTGAGACGAAGCGCGCTACTTATCATCTTCCTGGAGAGCCAGGACTGGAATGCTACGATGAAGACTCGTCCGCAGCGGGGGTCGTCGGCATCTGAACAAGGCGCAACGGGCGTGTTTGACAATTTTACTGATACGTTCATAAATGCTTTTACAAAAGTACACAAGCCGGATAAGCGATTCATTGAAGTAAGGGAGAAATCAGACAAGCTTGATGAAGATCTTGGGCATGTTGAGAAAATCGTGGCCAGGGTGGCTCGGCGAGAAGGGGACCTGGAAACGGATTACAAAGATCTGGCAGAGCAATTCCAGAAGCTTATCACTCTGGAGCCTGGAGTAGAACCGTCTGTCCATGCTTTTGCGGCGAGTGTACAGGATACTTCTGCTGGGATGAAGACGTTGAGGGATCACACGGACCAGGATTATCTGGGGAGTTTGAGGGACATGCAGGCGTATAGCACGGCAGTCAAGAATCTGCTCAAGGCGCGGGAGCAAAAACAATTGGATTTTGAACAGCTGACTGAATACTTGACGAAATCAACGTCGGACCGTGATGTTCTGGCTACTCCTGGTGCTTCTACAACTGGCACAGCAGGGTTCATCCGCAGCAAGATTGAAGATGTCCGAGGAGTCGATCACGAACAATCACGACGCGAACGGCTCCGGAAACTCGAGATGAGAATAGAGGATTTGACAGGTGGGGTTGAGGAGTCGAAGAAAACTACCGAAGCTTTTGATGAAGAGGTTGTACGAGAAGTGGCGGATTTTGAGAGGATAAAGCGGATCGAGTTCAAGACTCAATTTGGTGGGCTGGCTGATGCACATGTAGACTTTTATGGGAAGAATATTGAGATTTGGGAGAGGTACGTGAAGGAGATGGAGAATCTTGGAGCACCGCTTGCTTAGGAAGTTGGCTTGGGCTTGGACTTGGACTTGATTCAATGAATATTTGTTTATGAGATAGATAAATTCCCTGGGGATGGCTGGTTGGCGATTACATGGGCGTTAGACAGCTAGATTAATCGATTGTTTCCCTCTATTTTGAGCTTCCACATTGCAAAGGGCAAGATGCAGCTTCCTCTCGCGTGAACAGAGAGCTCTACGTACTATTTTTCTTTAGCTGGTTATGAGATCGGTTATTACAAATGTGGAATACTTGAATCCAAATGTACCTCGGTGCATCTGGGCCTACCCTGCTGACACATCAACGAGGCTGGCCCGGCCAGAACCTTCAGGTTTGGAAATCAACTTTTTGGAGGGGCAGAAACGCGAAAACGACTTAGGAATCAACCACTTCACTTCCCTACATATAAAAAGCCCTCGTTGCCTCAACCCCCCCCCCCGTCAAAATACCTACGAAATACTCTTCAAAAGCCGGAAAAAAAATTATACACAATTAGGAAGAGAAAAACAGTCAATCTGTTTTCCTCAACCCTCAAACGAACTTTCCGCGCAGGCTCGTCGGGACTAAGCCTCGCAGCGGCAGCAAGCATACAGCAGAAACCGATCGCGAGATCAAATAGCGTGAGGGAGAGAAGCATGCATAGCAAGGTCGTGATTATCGGGTCCGGGCCCGCGGCGCACACCGCTGCTGTGTATCTTGCGAGGGCGGAATTAAAACGTGAGTGTCCCTCTCCTATTAGATTATCTATTGGGAGAATGAATAAAGGGTTGTTTGGTTGCTAAAGAGGAATGGGAATGTAGCTGTGCTGTATGAAGGGTTCCTAGCAAATGGCATTGCGGCGGGTGGCCAATTGACCACGACGACTGATGTAGAGAACTATCCTGGGTTCCCTGATGGAGTTGGCGGTGCTGAATTGATGGTAATACCCCCCCCCCCCCCCCCACCTCTCCATATCCATATCCATATGCAAACCTATCCTACCCTCTTGCTAATACCCACGCGTTCTGCAGGACAAAATGCGCGCGCAATCCGAACGTTTCGGCACCCAGATCATCACCGAAACAGTCGCCAAAGTCGACCTCTCCTCTCGCCCCTTCAAATACTGGCCCGAGTACAGCGAAGACGAGCCCCCGCACACCGCCGACGCGGTTATCATCGCCACGGGTGCGTCAGCGCGCCGTCTGGGCTTACCGGGTGAGGACAAGTACTGGCAGAATGGCATCTCGGCGTGCGCCGTGTGCGACGGCGCAGTGCCCATCTATCGAAACAAGCCGTTGGTCGTGATCGGCGGGGGAGATTCGGCGGCAGAAGAAGCGATGTTCCTGACGAAATACGGATCGCATGTTACGGTGCTGGTGAGGAAAGATGTGCTTCGGGCTTCGAAGACGATGGCGAAGCGGTTGTTGGCTAACAAGAAGGTGACGGTTAAGTTTAACCATGTGGGTGGCGAGGTTACGGGGGATGAGAAGGGGTTGATGAGTCATATGGTTATTAAGGATGTGAAGAGCGGGAAGGAGGAGAAGATGGAGGCGAATGGGCTTTTCTATGCCGTGGGCCATGATCCGGCTACGGCGCTGTTCAAGGGCGTCGTGGATACGGATGAGGAGGGGTATATTGTCACGAAGCCCGGAACTAGTTATACGAATGTTGAGGGCGTGTTCGCCGCGGGAGATGTGCAGGATAAGAGGTATAGACAGGCTATTACTTCTGCTGGTATGTTCCCCCCTTTCTTTTCCCCGGAAGTTTGAAGTTTGAGACACGATACTTATGTTCTGCTAGGCTCTGGTTGCATAGCAGCTCTTGAGGCGGAGAAATTCCTCGCTGAACAGGAAGATGGCCTTGATTTGGAAGCGGAGAATGGGGCGGAGAAGAGCAACAATGTTGTGGTTCCTGAATACAGATCCAACCCTTTGCTATAGATGTTCTCTTTCTCAACTTCTCATTTGCATTTGTCGAATTATGATACGTAGATGAGGATAAGATAAAAATAAAATAGAGACTCGTTCATCTTTAGACCCTTCGTTTGGGCTTTCTCGCGATTCTTTCATTTTGCTCAGTCTTGAGGACGATAAGCTTGCTTACTCCGTAGTGAGTTATAAATCAGAGATGCCAACGTCAGAGGTTCCAAGGAACGGTCTCATTCTTCGATGTCAAGATACCAAGTTGTAGCTCCCCCGAGTGAGTACATTTCAAAAGCGATGTTAGCAGGGAAGGAGCTCCTCAGTCCCACGCCGTCCCAGCATGGCTTTAATTTTCACGAATTTCCAATCTCAGACAGCGTCACATCGACATCACTTTCGTTCGCAATATCAAGTACCATTGCATTCTTTCGTCCATAATCTGTATCGCCGACAGACTAATATAATACAACATTCGTTCAAAACCCCTCTCACGGACAGACAGGCACTTACTTCTTCGCTGCTCTGCCATCCTTCAAACAAGATGGTAAGTGACTCCAAGAATAGGACTGCGAAATCCCAAAAGAGGACTGCGAAATCCCACAGCAGTACTACGAGATCCCACAACAGGACTACAGACAACCAGCCAAGCTCCCCCTTTACTACCATCCGTCGCGCACCTTACATCAGTCCCTTTAACCCTAGGCCGGCCTCTGTCACCAAAAGTACATTCATACATGAATCACGCAGAAGTTTCAGCAACTCGGACGCAGGTACAAATGACAGCACTATACAGACATGTTCTATCTCCAACACCGGTATCTTACCTGCAGATCAAAGGCCGCTGCATGCACTCTTCGATCAGCTGGTTGGGGTTCGCAGTGGCTTGTCCCCGAGGGCTGCGGCGGAGAAGATAGCTCTGCTGAGGCCGCGGGAAGGGGTGGAAGAGTGGCTTTTGAACGATCTTTGGGTTTGTGTGTTGGATTTTGTGCAGAGAGGTAAAGTGGCCTCGTGGTGTTCTAGTTGAGGTGCATGGTGGTTGATGACTATACCCATGTTGCTTGGATCGCTTGGTGCCTGCCCCACATCTGCGGTGGCTATATCATTTTCGAAGAACTAAAGCTGACTCCAATTGTCTCACAGCTCGGCGGAGAACTGTCGTCCTGAAACTGGTCGAAACAATCAGGTCTCTCCGAGATTTACCAGATATTGTTAGGGTTAAAATCGAGCGCGAAGATTTGTTACTATGGAAGGACTTGCCCCTGCTGAAAGAGGCAGCGTATCGACACTTCAAAGGTAAGTAGTACGAGTATATTGCCTTCAATTCCAAACCACCACAGCTAACAGTGCTACCTGCAGTATGCCACCGTTATATAAGCCCTTCTACCATCTATCAACTTAGACAGGCCATGTACTGGAGGAACTCCAACTACTTCTTCGCAGTGCTCACAGGAGCTGGAATCGAAGACCTTTCAGAACTAGCACACCAGGTTTTACACTATCCCCTCGGCACTTCTCATACTGGCAAGACTTGGGTATTGCACAATGGAAGCGGATGTCTTCATTTCGGACTCGAACAATCTTTGCATTGGATCCACCTTGCCGGAAGAGAGGTCTGGGCGAGAATTGCATTTCCCACGCGCGGGTCAACGAGGATCGGGGATCGTAGTAGATACAAATGGCCGTCTTGGAGACGGTCTCTTCATTTGTATAGCAGGTCAGTTGTTCTGCCGAGACATACGAGGGAACTTGCGAGCGAAGCATACAACGTCATGCGTGAAGTGGAGGAAAATTCGACCCAAGTTGTTCATGAATGAATGTCCCGCTCGAACACAATTTCGGCAGTTGGTTCGAGAAAAGAGAATGTCTCTAATGCAGTAGAACATTGATCTCGGACAGGTGCTTCATACATAACGGCTTAGATACATAAGCTGTAGCGACATAGCGGATACAGTATCAATGATATCAGTTGACAGCGATTAGAAAAAAAAAAACACCATCGTCAAGTGTCTCGGGATGTGAGACATTCGCACTCGGGTGGAACATCCCGTACTGTATGAAACACATAGCGAAGTAATGAAAAGAAGTTAATTAGCAAAACAAAACAAAACGTGGATTTTCAAAGGCGTGAATATGAGTTCGTTTTCCTTCTTCGTATTTTTCATCTAATATAAAGTACCTAGGCACTACTCGCTAATATAGATAGATTTTGCATACTCGAGTACGAGATCCATATAAGGAGGCATATGAAATGCGCTCTTATTAATGGCCTCTCAATGGGTATGTTGTGTAACGAAGCTAGGTACGTGTTGTCACCAGATTTGCAACTTTCCACTTAAAATCAATATGTGACCATCGTAATACAGGGAGGGTATCTATTAGGTAAAATAAAATAAAAAAAGCCCGTAGAGAGATCATTTATGCCTTATTTGGGGATGAAACTGTTAAAAGCCTCATTTTATAGTAGGATAAGGGTGTTTCCGGTTACTGAAATCCATATAAGCAGTGTAATAGCATATGATCCTTGAATTGCAGATTTGGTGACAACACCCTGTAGTGGTGTAACGTATGCCACGAGACTGACTGACTCAGACGAGGGAAAATGCAAGACAATGCGGGGCATTGCATTGCATTGTCTTGTGGGTGAGATGCGGGATCTGGTTTGGTACCTTGTACCTTTTGTACTGGCCGGTAGTTCTTTCTGCTGTGAGATGGTTGGGTTACTACTGTAGGTATGCGTCGATTTATTTGTCTTGGTGATCAAGTAAATGACTTTCTGCAATGCTGATTTTTATACTCGTACACGTGACGTGATTAAACTCGGACGGGCCGTTTATTGGCAAAGTTCCCGTTGCGGAAGGACTGAGCTCTACCTATCTTTCGCCGATCTGAGGAAACGGATTTTACTTCATTTCATACAAGTATAGTACTGTACTGTATAGTATTTTATATATATATATAATGAACAGCACAGCTCGACTCAACTTCCTGAACAGCTTGCAGGACCGGGCCCGATACTCGGTGCCCTCGTACGCCACTCTCCCGGTTTCCGAGAGGTCTGATCTGATCATGACCCACGGCTGGCATGTCGTCGAGTCATGAGAACGCAACGCAAGAGCAAGGTCTTGGTCGAGATTTCTTGTGGATGGATGATGGACATGGAACTTCTGCGGGGAATTGTTAATGCGGGGTCGGGTCGGGTCAGCCACCAATGTTCGGCACTCAACTATAATCACTGCTTTTCTATGGAGTACGGTAGGGTAGCTTTCTAGTCCCTGATCTATACGATTGGTTGGTTTTCTTTTCTCGGGGCTTCTATGTGGGCCTGGCTCTTACTTTGTTGTTTGTTTATTTGTTTGTTTATTTGTTTGTTTCCCGTTTTCTTAAGCTTCTGCTTTTGACTTTTAATATACGACGCGTCTCGATGAGAGTTCAAGTTGAAGCCTCACAAAGCCGAACCTTGGCGCTTCATACTTTAAGAGGGCGGTTACGAGGCTGGTGAGTTTGATCTATCAAACCTTGGTGTCTAGTAGTTGGCTTTCAAGTGAGCTGAGAAATCAAACTTCGGCGCTTAGGTCTATCTATTACCGTGGAATTCCTCCGCCATCTCTCATGTCGTTATTCAGATAGAGGTCCGCACTCGATATACAAGGTTTGGTGGACCCTGCTGATCCCTTCCTCGTCCTCTGCTGCACATCATGTGCCTCGCGTATCACGAGCAAGCAGGTACCAACCATATAATCACCAAGCACTTGGCCTTGCAGCTGGCTCTAGAAGGTTGTCCAACATGCACCTTCTTAATCAATCCATTTTAAATTACCGATTCTCGGCCTTGTGATCAATACGACCACAAGCTTGTTGGTCATGTCTCTATCCACTCCTCGACTTGATGGGAATTCAACGTTATATGTGCCCCTGATCCCTGAGCTAGTGCGTTGTGATGACTGGGGAGATGTTCTTTATATTAAACTCACCTTGCTCTTAGTAGGGGCCTGGAATTCTGGTTAAAGTCGTATAGATATTTTTATCAACTTCACTTCAGTACAATACCGCGGATATGAAGTTTCTAGGTCGGGCCCTTGTGGTCGTTTGTGCAACGTTCTTCGGGTCGATAGTTTCTGCTGCATCGACGTTTTCGCCAGCACGACCTCCAGCCATTCCTCTTGCTGTAAAATCGCCGTACCTGAGTACATGGCTGTATGCGGGCAGTGATGGGGGAAATGGTGGTTACCTGGCAGGGCAATGGTCTCAATTCTGGGCGTAAGTTCAACCCCGATTCCACGTTCTCAGAAGTTGATGGTGGTTTTAGAGGGCAAGTTGCTGCATGGACAGGAATGATTCGTGTAGATGGAACAACGTACACGTGGATGGGAGCTCCTACGGGACCAGCTCTAGTAACACAAACATCATTTGAGTATACATCTACGAAAAGCGTCTTTACCATGGACGTTGGGGGACTAGTGGAGATGAACATTACGTTCCTTTCAACTTTAACACCAGACGATCAGAAGAGACAGTCTCTCATATTTTCGTATCTTGATGTTGGTGTGCAATCACTCGATGGGAACTCCCATGATGTCCAGCTCTATACGGACATATCTGCAGGTAAGTCTCCATCATGTGATGCCAGCAATGACTGACCATCATTTAGAATGGGTTTCCGGAGATCACTCCGCTGTCGCACAATGGGATCAAGGTACCACCAGGGATGGTATATCTTATCACAAAGTATACAGGCAGACCCAGCTTCTCTTTAGCGAGACCGCCGATCAAGCGGACTGGGGTTATTGGTACTACGCTACCAAGAAGGTTCATGGTCTTTCCTTTCAATCTGGATCTGATGCTACCGTGCGGGGAAATTTCCAAAGCAATGGAAGTTTGACCGACACCAAGGATACCGACTATCGAGCTATCAATGCCCAATACCCCGTCTTCGGATTTGCTCACGACCTTGGTAAAATCTCAGGCTCCGTCAGTACTTTGTACACCATCGGCCTTGCACAAGAACAAGCCATACAATTTGACGGGGCTAGCGGTGTGGTGCCGTTGACTTCCCTATGGACAAGTTACTTCTCCAGAGAGACAGACGCTGTAAGTACCCTAACCGGCTACCCAAATTTACAAACTAATAGACGAAGCTTTCCTTTGTCTACAAAGATTTCAAGACTGCTAGCAAAACCGCAGCAGCTCTTGACTCAAAGATCTCATCAGACTCGATAGGTTCTGGAGGTCAGGATTACCTGACCATCACATCTTTAGCAGCCCGTCAAGCCTTTGGTGCCCTCCAGCTTGTGGGAAACTCAACAAAGCAGTATCTCTTCCTCAAGGAAATCAGCTCTGATGGAAATGTCCAAACCGTCGATGTCATCTTTCCATTTCACCCTGTCCTACTCTACCTGAAGCCCGAGCTCCTCAAGCTCCTCCTAGACCCGCTCTTCGAGAACCAAGAATCGGGCCAATACCCCAACATGTACTCCATGCACGATCTCGGTAGCTCCTACCCGAACGCAACTGGCCATCCCGACGGTAACGACGAGAAGCAGCCCCTGGAAGAATGCGGCAACATGTTAATCATGACTCTTGCGTACTCGCAACGAGCCCAAGACAACGCATACCTCACGCAACACTACAACGTCCTGAAACAATGGACGCAATACCTCATCGCCGAAGCCCTCATCCCCGCCGACCAAATCTCAACCGACGACTTCGCCGGCTCCCTTTCCAACCAAACGAACCTCGCGCTCAAAGGCATTATTGGCATCGAAGCCATGGCCGTCATAGCAAACCTAACCGGCAATTCCGCCGACAGTTCCAACTACACGTCCATAGCACACGACTACATATCCAAATGGCAAGATTACGGCATCGCGCACGACGCCGTTCCTCCACACACCACGCTCGGCTACGGACTCAACGACACGCATGGCTTGCTCTACAATCTATACAGCGACCAGGAACTAGGGCTGAAACTCGTACCGCAGGCTGTGTATGATATGCAGAGCGCCTTTTACCCGACTGTGGCGCTACCGTATGGCGTCCCGCTGGATACGAGACATAATTATACGAAGAGCGACTGGGAGATGTTCACGGCGGCTATTGCAGGAGATGAGACGAAAGAGTTGTTGATCAAGGCGTTGGCGGCATTTATTGGGGCGACGACTACGAGTCGGCCGGAGACGGATTTGTATAGTGCGGCGACTGCCGGGTACGTTATATCTATTCTCCCTCTCTTTGCCTTTCTCTTCCTCTCCTTCTTCTTCTCCTTCATCATCCATCCCCCATCTATCACCAACGAAACGGTGCGATGGAGAATTTATACATGTTTAGATAGGGGGGTTGTTATGTCAAAGCTAACACATATGCACCAGATGGCCCGGCGAAGGAGCCGGGTCGTTCATGGCGCGCCCGGTCGTCGGCGGGCATTTCGCACTATTGGCCCTCGAGGCGCAGGTGGAAGCTGGGATTCACAATTAATTGTTGGGCTGTACGGTTCTTGATTTGCATGAGCCTGCGATGGGGTGGGGTGGGGTGAAGTTCGTAGTATGAATGAATGAATGCAAAGGAATATATATTTGTGTTTGTTCAATCTCAATATGAGGTCTCTCAGATCTAGATATATGATGTATGTGAAGGGATTGGAAAAGGAATTATGTTCCTTGTTCTTTTCCCCTTTTTATTTTTCCTATCTTCTTTTCTTCTACAAAACAGTAGGAGGCTCGAAAATATTGACAGTGCGTGCGGACGTGATGGGGTGAGTATGCATACAGCTAGGTAAAGAAATAAAGGTAAAGAAATAAAGGTAAAGAAATAAAGGTAAATCTCTAGTAAGATCTTTCTATCTCTATCTGCATACATATACAACTCTTACTTTCAATTTAGTATTGGTGCAGATGTACTTACATTCTAGGTAGGTTATTTAATTATCCCAGATCTATGTACCTACCTACCTACCTTACCTACCTATACTTGATATGACGTATAGTATAATCACGTATCCCCAAAAGAGCATGTATTATTATTATCTCTTTACTATATATATAAGGATGGACTAAACCAATAAACAGTAAGCTACCGGTTAGCTAGACGGGAAAGAAGCGTTTTACTATCTATCCTAGGTCTAGTCTACTTTGACATATCTTCTATTAATTACCTTGGTCTTCACAGCTAGCTAGCTAGCTGGCGGGAATACGGTATGTAAAGAAAAGAAAAGAAAAGAAAAGTCCTTGTTTATAACATTTATGCTATAGATTCAACCAAGCGAACACGAATCACGCTTATATATATACGTTGTCTATATATGTTATTTATATATATACTAATATCTTTCTTGAATATACAACATATACATAACACCTTGTTCAAATATAGGTACAGAATACCACGTACTCAACCTCGGTCGCGCTCGACTTGAGCCGTGCCGCCTCAAGTATGAGCACCAATCCCGCCCACAGCAAAAGTCAAAAGCTGCGGATTCCCATCCGACACCGCACCACTCTGATCCGCGCCGCCCGTCGCCTGCACGTCATCATACGGGAACGCATAACCCCTGTTATCCAGATTCGTCGCATGGACGATACGGGAATAATGGTTGGTCGGATTATTCGCGTAGAAAGAACTCACGTCGGTACTGGGCTGCGTGCTATCGATCAGCAGCGTGGTGCGGTTGAAGGCGGCGGCGAGGCGGGGCGTCAGGCCTGCCATGCCGGGGGTGGAGGTTGTGAAGGGCCCGCTGGAGTTGGAGAAGATGTCGGCGGTGCTGGGCTTGGTGAAGGAGCCGACGGACGGGAATGTGAGCGTGGAGTTGGAGACGGTGCCTTGGACGACGCCGAAGGAGGCTTGTGTGTCGATGCTCAGGGGCGTGCTGCTGTATTTGGCGTAGACGGCGTCGACGTACGCGGTATAGTAGGTGGAGAAGAGACTGTTGTTAAGCACGATGCCGTTGTTAGGGCTTACGGCGCGGAGCACGCTGCCGTTGTTGCTGATTACTAGTTGGTCCCAGCCGGCGCCATCGGATTTGTTCTGTGCAATTAAGGCGTTGGAGATGGTTGCCAATCCGTTTTGAGGGATGCCGGAGACGTGCTGGGTGTTCCCAGCGGCATTCAGCAAGGTCATGGAGACTATAGCTGGTTAGTATTATGTCCTCATTAAGATTGGAAGGCAGCTGAAGATGAAAATCTGGTCGGAAGCCATCATCACATAGTCAGGAGAGAGCGTTAGGAGAGGAGGTAGTTACGAGGAATGCTGACAAAGTCCACATAGCTGATATTGGCATATAACTGATCCGCGTTAAAGGTGAATTCAGCAAAGCCCCAGGTCTTATTATAGTTCGGATCAGACTTGTTGCTGATAGACGGCTCAACAAGCCCAGGACCCGGGTTCAACAGGAACGTGAGGGTATCGTTAAAGACGAACCAGATACGCGAAGCAGAAATGCGAGGAATGGTTACAGTGGCCGTAGAACCGGGTGCTCCCAGCGGAATGGCGCAGTTCTGGGCGAGGGGTTGACCGGTAGAGCTGGGCGAAGAGGGGTAGTATGGCGTCTTGCCGTCGGCTTGCATGATGACCAAAGCATTGTTGTTGTCAATGGCCTGTCCGGTGATGTAGGCATAGACTGTGCTCGAGTTGGAAGCGTTCTGCAACGCGATGTTCAAAGTGCTGCCTGTCATATTGCCGATGGTTTGTGCTTGAGACGGTTTTCAAACTAAGAGAATTGTGCCAGGTGGAGTATCTATGGATAGCGTTTGTTTCTTGGAAAATGCTGCCGTTGTGCAACTTTGTGGAGATACAGATGGTGCAAGGGCTCCTAATATATTAAGGATAGATTAACTGTTTCCGAATCAGCTGGCCCGATCTTACAACAGACATTGTCATTCGCAACGGCCCGCAACGAGAAGAGGCAAATGCTGTGAGAGTGAGGAAACGTTACGTACTTCGATCAGTATGTGAAAGAAATCTGTCTGGTGCAGAAAATATGTTCCAGACCCCAGAGCCTGCTGACCACTTGAGTATATAAGGATCCGAGCCAGTGAAGGCGTTCAGACGACAAGCCTCGACTTGAGACTATAGCGGGTAGATGGCAAACACCAATGAGAGAAGGCAAGTCACATGCACCGATCAAAGTCATGAGCATAAAATCAAAGGAAACGTTGGATAAGAACTGAATGATTTGGTAGCATGATGTTCAGTTTCTTCCATTCTTTGCAGGAGATCTGCCGAGTGTGTGTGTGACGTCAGGCCGGGATATATGTCCGATCTTAAGATCCGATTCCAAGATCTTACCATCCATCTATGTATAGTAACGATCCGAGCCATGAAGTCTATCACCGCCGTGCTTCAAATCATGTGCTCCCCCGCCAAAGAAATGTTTCACTTGCGATTGGTTACCAATCACGAGACCATACCCCGAGATCCGGGACTCCAGCTTTTGTGAGAGTATGGGGAAGGTGGTAATCTTACGTAAGGTAGCTCCCGTCATCTACGCTCATCATATGGTCTGAAGTAGGATGAAGACTTTGTACTGATACTTTCGTTCGTTTTCAAGCACGTTATTTCGACATCATGTGACCTGGGATTTATCCAAGTCAGCAGTTCATATGAGTTGCAAGTTATCGTAATATCTAGCGTTTATCTCAAACAAGTCATTAATACCAAATGCCGGATAAAGTTCTACTTGTCTGCTATATCGAAAACTAATTCTAGTTACACCTGATCGGTAGCTTAGCGCTTATCCTCCTCCACCTCGTTACACTAGGTAATACCTAATCACATCACGTTCCATTCTTTACTTACGGATTAAAATAAGGATAAAGAGAGATAAAAATAGAAGGTTATAGAGTTAGTAGATATAGTTACTAACAACCTTATAGATTCTTAATCGTATTATATATATATTTGAAAATTAGTTTAATTTTTGATATCAAAAGAGAAATGTCTAGCTGTTCGGAGGATATTCCCTAGACTCCTATATCTGCGCAGTATTAAAGCAAGATTGACGAGAAATACAGAGACGGCGTAATAACACAGGGAGTAGGAATTTCGATATTGCGCCTTGCAATGTGCTAGAAGGTTTGGAATATGCAAGTTGCAAGAATAAAAATAAACGTCAAGCTTCTAAACGCAGAGACATAGAGAGCCATAAAGAGATTCAAGCCAAAGCGAATACCACCAGAAATAACAAAACATAGACAGATCAAAGTGAATAAGCATGAGTAATACAGAACATTTTGCTTAAAACACTCAGCTTTCCTCTTCCGGTCAAGGCAAGGTGGTAGTGAGTGTGGGTCACCCAGCCTCCAATAGCAACGCCGCGCACTATGATTTGACGCGAAAGTGTATCGTTTATTACTGTACAGCAAGGCCGGCCGTACCATGCCATGCAGCAAGCACGATATGTCTCACATTTAGATCTGGGAACCGAAATTGCTTTTTAGAGTTATTTCAACGTCAACGTCGTATCGTCGTGCCTCATTAACATCGTTACCTCGTATGTACGGATGTTGGTTCCGGTCCGTTTCCCAATGCAATCACCACATTACCGTCCTGTATATGCAAACGCAACTCAACGCAACGCAACGCAATGCAATGCAATGCAATGTAAGTTATGCAATCCGGTTCCCAATGCAAGAGTGAGGGAGGTAGAGCCATCGATCAATCGGCCTTTCCCGTGTTCGAGTCGTACAAGTACAATGAATCAATGTTCGTAAAGGGGGCTGGCTTATTGCGGCTTAGGAGCCATGCAGTGCTTTGAAACCAGCCGATATCAGGCTCCGCGGCCCGGGTGGCATGTCTGCTGTGCCGGTCCAATAGAATAATCCCTGTGTCACACAACATCAGCATCTCATCCATACATCGTCGTCCTATACACCCTACACCAAGAGGAGGTAGAATTAAACATACACCAAGTCCCTTCTCCCTACAATACCCCGCCTTCATCTTCACCGTCTCCGGGTTATCATACGTCACAAACCCGCCATCGCCACCCGTGCAAAACGCAGCCACAACACGCGTGTTGACAATCTCCTCGGCGTTCTGCCGCGGTAGGCGTTTATACTCAAACGTCCCCTCTTCGCCGCCATGCCCAGTAAAAGGATATCCCGGGCCCGCGGCGCCAAGAAACGAGCGCCCGTAGACCGGGACACCGAGTAAGATCTTCGCGGCTGGAAAGCCTTTCGAGAGGACATAATCAACGGCCGCAGAGCCTGAAGGCTCGTCGGGCGTACCTGGGAAGAGTTGTGCATGGTGTCCGGCTGTTTGGGACCAGGAACCGGTGAAGTCGTAGGCCATGAGGTTTATTAGGTCTAGGTAGCGTTGGGCTTTGTAGAGGTCGATATTTTGCAGCGCCCATTGACCCGCTGGGAGGGCTGCGCTGAGGAGGTATCGTTGCTCTGGCAAATGTATTCTTATTGTGGCGAGGAGCTCCAGGAAGTTTTGTCCCTGTTCGGGATTTGAGGGGTGTTCCCAGTCGACTGTAACGGATTTTAGATGTGATGGTGTAATTAGAGCTGGCATTGTTATGACTCACTGTCGATTCCGTCAAATCCGGAAGCTTCAACCAGATTCTTAGCAGACTGCCCGAAGTTGTCTCTAGTTACAGCGCTAGATGCCACTGCTGCGAAATTCTGGCTTGCGGCACCCCCACCAATAGACAGAATCACCTTGAGATATTCGTGCTGCTGCTTCAATCGCATGAATGCCCCAAGGCATCCAGTAGCGCCGTCAACGGGCATTTGTGCATCGGCCCATTCGTCGCTTAGCTGTGGATGTTGGTTGTCAGATATTTGAAAAAGAGCCATATGTGGAAGACAACCTACGAACACGCCACCATCCGGAGAGACGTGGGCAAAGGCGTAGAAGACGTGACTGATGTAGTTGTAATTCAGTGTTGCGGGCGTCTCTCCTCGGTATACTCTGTAGTTGGGGAAGTATACCGCGTTCTTCCGGGTGAGATCCGAAATGCTGGCATCCAGTGACGGTTGCGATGGCCTTCGGAGTTCAGGTCTTGAACCAAATGGCATGGGCGGAGGAATGGGACCGTAATACTCTGCCATCTTGAAGGATGAGGAAAAAGAAGACAGAAAGCAAACCCCAATGTGCTATTCTAAGAAACTTTTCGTAAGTGTGTTTAAGTTTTGAAATGGAGAACAAGTGAATGTGTATTTTCATGTTCTTTGACGATACTTCCTGACTAGGTAGTGAGCTAGTTCCTGCAGTAATGCTCTTTCTCCAAGATCAGGTAGAGACAGGACGTTGACTTCTCCGGCAGAGCTAAACGCAGTGCACCGAAAACAGCAGTGAACAGATTAACAGAAGGAAAACAACCAACGCAGCATCAGTGCACCGACCGCGAAAGGGGCTGGCCTAGGGGTTATATCAGAAAAACCAACGACGATCGATCAATGATCATATCACGCTTCATAATGATGACCGACAATGAGCGTGCAGATCCCGGCAAGGCTGCTGAGGTGTGGCAACATTCATTGGCATCAGGGAGTATAACGGGGCATGAGTATTGAGGTGTGTGTGGGGGCCTCTGAGATCCCACAAGCCTCAAGAACCAACGGTGCGAGTCCGAATTTACCCCATTCTCCCCTGTTTACAGATGTGCATACGTATAATGTATAATATCCCTTGACTAAGCCTTGATTCTGGGTTGGCAGTGGAGTGCAGGCAAGCAAGCATCAACATGAAGCAGTTGAACAGCACTATTCTAGAATGCCACTTCGTTTCGTCCCCTCAGTTGCTGGATTGACGTGGAACGGAAAGCTGCTAAAGCCATGTACAGCACCCACGGAGACAGCGGGCTGGGCTAGAGCGGCGTGCTAAGTGAGGGGTTGGTGAAGATGTGGCGTCGAGGTAGTGAAGTTCTCGGGATTATTTACTCAGGGAAAAGATGCATCACTAGCAGCATTGTTCATGTTCATGCAGTGCAGTGAAAATGGTGGTGGCTCTCGGCTAATAAAGCAGAGAGGGCAGCGGCAGCCATGGCTTTCCAAGGGAGCTAAAGAGTAACAAGTAAGGCCGATCTTCATGGTTTGCGGCACCGGACCGCATCTCGACATTTTGGAGTGAGAACAAGCGCTGGCTCGAGGTGATAACGAATGATGTTCGGACGTACAGGAGTATAGCGGATCGGTAGCCATCATGGCATCGACGCCATGGATGAGTGACAGGTAGCACATGGCCCATAATGCGTCTAGCAGCCCAGCCCAGCCCGGCCCCAGGTAGGCTGCTGGCTGCTAGGTGCTACCTGCCATCTGCTACCTGCCATCTGCCATCTGCCATCTACCATCTGCCAGCCTGTGAGGTACTTATGGTAGGTAGATAAGTTACTTGGGTGTGGAGAACCGGAGATGCAGATTTGGAATTTCTGGAAGGTCTTCTGTCAGACGTGACAGCTGGCAAAGGTGGTAGACTTGGCTGGGCTAGGGCCGAGGGGGGCCTAGTCAGTCAGTCACTAGTCTGAACAGAAGGCAAGGAAAGTGGGCGTGCCACGGTATCACAGACAGACCCCGCGGTCGATGTGGAGTCGCAGTGTACTCCGTACTTCGTAGCGTATACTTATCTACTGCAGAGAAACAGCCAAGTGCTCGTGTCTGACCGCAACCGCCAGCCATGCAATTGACGTGCATCTCGATCCAACTTGAACTAAAAGTATCTTACTATATCCTACCAGCTAATGACTCGCATCAGACTGCTCATTCATCAACCATCGGATGTGTTTGGCCTGATGGGAGACGGCAAAACCACGGGTGGCCGCAGGAATGGGATGGGATGGGATGGACAGTTGAAGGCTCGAGGAGGCAAGGAGGGGTTAAAAGCATAAAAAGGGGGCCAGAAAGGGGTTTGACGAGGCGAGCCATACTGTCCAAATCAAAGTGCTGGATGTAAATACGAGGTACTGTATAGATTTATGATGAAGGCTTTTGGCACCCCTACCATCAGGGCGTGGGATATCCGATAGCGTTACCAAACTCTGGCGATTTGAGCAGGGGATAAATCCCACAAACAGAACCATGGAACAGATGTGACACCAGATTTGAGAGCCGTCCACCGGCAGACGATAATCGACCATGCCATATCTAGCAGTCACATCTCACGAGTAGCCATGCTACTCCTTAAAAAAAACCAGCCTTTTTCTTGTGGATGCTGCTTACACTGCAACTGCACGGCACGGCACTGCACTGCACTGCACTACACTGCAGAAGGCTGCAATGCAAGAGATTATGCTTGGATAGAGATAGAGATCAGATAGAGCTGCTGGCCCATCCCATGCTGTCGGAACCGCATTCTTACGGTCATCTGCTGGCTCACATGTGCTAACTCCGAGGGGGCACGGCCATACGTCCGCACCGTTGGTGCTATACTGAATAAGAAATTTGCCAGTGGAGTAGTTACTGTACTACGCAAGACGCTACACATCTGTCGGTTGTCCCGAATGTGGATGTAATAAAGGAGGTATTATTTACGTAATCCACGAATTACTTGGGTAGAAAAGGGTAGAGAGAGAGAAAGACAACCGTTGGGGAGCGGTGAAGAAATGAGGGGAAGAAAAAGCAGTACCAGGTGGTGGTGGTATGGATGAGCGATTATATGTCATATTGAATTAAGTTTTAGTTGAATTTACAAAATTAAAAGCCAATACGAGTATACGATTACTGATTAGCTTTAGCGTCTTTTCATAACGCCAATGAGGTTATAAGAATGAGACTCGTCTATCACAATGAAAAAAGATTTATTACTACTCGAGGTACAGCTCTTAGTATACTACTTGTATTATAGCGACAGCTTTATTATAATGTCTGATTATGCAGAATCTCATGTGATATTTGTGATTTGATAAGTCAGATCACTAGGTCGGATTGGGTTTATGTTTAATTAATAAACTAAAAATCACGAAAAGTATAATTCCACGTGATTCGGCAGGACTTCCACTCCGAATCTGCATCCTTGGCCAGGAACCGAAGCCGAAGCTGCAGCGTCAACTTGATTATTTACTTCATGTACCTACCTACTACTACTACCTTAGCTCTATTTAGCCACAACACCAACACCACCACCACCACCACCACACCGGCTAATACAGAAGATCGTGACTGTTGCCTTGCATTATCTCGTCTTACTTTGCCTCACCCTTCCGACGCCTCGTCTTCGCTGATAGATAGTCTGGTCTGGTCTATTGGTGTCATCTGGCACGTCACGAACAATCGCCACAATCTTGCAGTTGCAGAAGATATATCCCTTACGCTGGCATAAAATACATCGGAACGTGAACCATCCGGCGGGTCTTTCTTTAGCAAGCTGTTGCCACGCAACTGGCTTCCCCTTCACAGGCTTGGACGGAACTGAAGCTGTGGTTTTGCTAGAATCTCACCCGCAGCGAGACGATTTCCTAGAATCGCAGCCATCCCCGTCCTGTAGCACGCTATGACGACCGTTCTCTCACAAGGCCCGGGGCCGAAAGACCTGTCGCGTCAGATCCTCGAGCATCAAGCTCCCCAATACACCTTCACCTTCACGCCCTTCCTCTTCCAAACCTACCGCCACGGTCTCTCTCCAAACCGTCCAACATGCAAAGCTTACCTCCAGGGGCACTGCCCCTTGGGCCCATCTTGTCCAGACAAGCATCCAAGCACGGGCAACCAGTCGAATTTCAGTAATATGGTATGCAAGCATTGGCTTAGGGCTTTATGTAAGAAAGGGGAGAGTTGTGAGTTTTTGCACGAATACAACCTGAGGAAGATGCCAGAGTGCAATTTCTTTGTACGGAATGGATACTGCTCTAATGGAGGTACGTGTTGCTCGCTCCCGAATTGTCCAGTGTTTATGCTAACTACGTGATCAAAAGATGAATGTCTCTACCTACATATCGACCCCTCCTCCAAGCTCCCACCCTGTCCCCACTACGAAAAGGGGTTCTGTCCTTTAGGACCCAATTGTTCCAAGAAGCACGTCCGCAAGACCCTATGCGAATTCTACCTAGCGGGCTTCTGCCCTGACGGCAAGAACTGTAAGAAAGCGCATCCACGCTGGCCCACTGATCTACCAAAACCGACTATAAGGGTAGAGAGAGATCCAGAGGAGATAGCAGAGGAACAAAGACTACTAAGGGAGAATGCTGAGAGAGAACATGAGAGGGAACACGAGAAAAACGGAGGCGGTGAAGGCGGCGGGAGAGGAAGAGGCCGATGGCACGGCGGTGGTGGATACGGCAGGGGCCGTGGCCAGGGTGATCAGAGGAGACAACGAGGCCGGGGTCATTATTGAACCCTCGGAGAAGTCCCGACTTTGATTCAACATGCAGCACACAGATAAGCGACAGCACGGGAAGCATGGGAGAGAACTCGGGGTAACGAGGGGGGTACACGCAACGATCTGAACCCGTTTTTCTACACCCTTCGCATGCTTGTCCTCGCGACATAATATTCTTCCTTGCCTTGCAAAAAAAAGCCCGCGGCTCATCGCATCGAACGGAAGTGGAGTTTTAACGCCTCTCCATTCCGAATTTAGCCATACAAACATTACAAGTACGGTACGAGAAGGGTGCTAGCTAGCTCGTACAGCCATCGGTGTGTGGTACAAAGCCGAAACCAGCATGCCGGGCGAAATCACAAAATAGTCTCCACGATTTACGAAATAGAAAAGGGGGGCTCTTGAGCAAGCAGCCGATATCGGATTGATTGATGGATGATCTCAATCCTTTTCCAGCAAATGATATTCCGGCTCGTGTAATACTAGACACGTTTATGATCTCCCGATCCCGATGTAAAGAGGAGCGATGCGAGCTACCTGGCCCTGGCCCCGTCTTACAACGTCTGCGGATTACCCGGGCGGCTCGGGACGCAGGAATTAGGTTAGATGAAAGAAAGGGAATATGCCACGGAAGACACGATTAAGAGGTTGTGTTGTGAGTGGTGATGATAGCTATCCTATCTGAAGTGGAATGTGGTTCCGCTATTAGAGATTCCCTATGCTCTATATTCCGAATCCTAATAAAAGCCTCTGAACTCCTTAACATTACCTATCCTTATATAAAACCTCTTCAAATTCCTAATAGTTTTCGCACGCAATCAAGATGCTTCAACTTAGCCTCTACAACAGGTTGCAAGTCCTCGCTTCTGCTTCTCAGCCCCCTATTCATTCATTCGACACCTCGTCAACGCCCTTATCCCCACCCACATACTGTCCCTCCTCGTTATGAACACTGATATACTCACTCTCTTCCAACCCCTTCCCCTTCTCCTCAATCACCTTCCTCACAATCCCGGCCCCACTCTCCCTTACGCCCGTCCCTCTGCCTCTAACACTCGTCATCCACCCCACCAATCCCCGCGGCACCCAAGTCCCCACAAACCCATACAGCGAACTCCCCATGCCAACGCGCCTCACGCCACCGCTACCACTCACCATAGCGTCAAACACCGCATCGTTCAGGACCCGCAAACTACTCCCCTTCCCGCTCCTGCCCAGCCCAGCAGATCCCGCATTCGTAAAATCCTGCGCATAGGCTGCGCGAGCGGCGTCGTCCCAGCTAAGAGTTTGGGCGAGCGGACTCGTCGCGTGCCGGGAGTGAGCGTGGGGGGCGAAGGAGGAGAAGTCGAAGGTCCCGAGTTGGAGGTGCGTGACTGGGATACTTAGGGGTGAGAGTTCGGCGCCGAGGGTCTGCGTGAAGGAGGTTAGCGCGGCGGTTATAGAGGATTCGGGGAGGTGGAAGGCGGGGTTTAGGCTGGGTATTATATTGGGTGTTAGGACTAGAACTGATGGTTTGGTGGCTGCCAGGCTGGAGGTTGAAGTGGAGGTGGAGGTGGAGGTGTGGTGAGGGTGAGAGAGTGGGAGGGATTGTAGGAGCGGGAGGAATGTTTGCAGTGTTAAGATGGGTGTGAGGAGGCGTGTGTTGAGTAGGTCGGAGAGCGTGGCGGGGAATAAGGCGGCGATTGGCGCGGAGGGGTAGGTGTTTGATGGAATGAGCAGGAGGGAGCGGAAGGTCAGATGGTGCGGCCTTGTGCCTGGGACAGGGGTGTGTGGATGCTGGAGGTAGTTGGTGAAGCGTTCTATCGCCTGTTTTGCACGTTGTGTCTATATACCAATTAGCACAGCACTCTCTATCATACATGGAGAGAAAGAGAACTTACATCAACAATATCAATCATCAACGGCTTGATGTCCGGCCTACTCTCATTTTGAACCAATACCTCCTCCTCAATCGTATTACACACAATATACACAATGAAGCCCCTTCTTTCCAAATCCAGCGCAATAGAGCGGGTCATAGGCTCAGATGGCGAGCCAGCAAGCACCACTACCTCCAATCTCGCACCGGTGCCAGCGCGCTTCGCGCGACGCTTCTTGCGCCGACTGGTGCTTCCCTTGATAACATAGTATGTTGCACCTCCGGCTACTATTACTAGCACGGTGGTAAGGAGCCTATTGCGCAGTACCCAGCTCTGGATGCTGGAGAGGGTTGAAGCTGGGGCGAGCAAGGGTTTTGGAGGCGGCGGAGGCGGCTTTGAGCGCGTGGGATCTGGGAGGCTGGCGGCTAGTTCGCGGATGGCGTTGGAAACGTGGTTGAGCTGTTGATCTACATAGTCGGCGACGTTGGAGGAGTAGCGTTTGATGTCGTTGGGGACTGAGGAGAGCTGTGGGGGAGGGTGGTTAGTTAGCTTTTTGTTCCTGGTCTCTTGGGTGATTGATTGCAGGGATGGAAGGATATACGTATACGTACCACATCGAGGAATGCTTGGTCGTCTGAAGACATGTCGGGCAACAGAGAGGTACCTAGGTAGATGAAGCTTGAAGTGGTGATGGTTGTACTCGAGTAAAATGATGGATGTTTTGTTCCGAGGGTTGAAGCGGGGAAGCTTGCCTTGCCCCTTACAGTACCTTGCCGTCCAACCAGGGTCCGGTCCTCAGGCGAGCATCCTTGGCTGAAAATGTATGTCACACCACCACAATTGAAAGATGCCTTCAACTTTTCTGTGTACCAACAATATCTGCGTTTTCAAGTAAACTTTCTTCTTTGTGAGTATTCTGATGGGGATACGAAGCACAACTTAAGTTATGTAGCATCCTACAGGCCACCCCTTTTGTTGCTACTACACTCATAAGTTGTATCTTCAAATGTTCTATCCTTCTTGTCCTCTGTTTGTTCTATCTATACATTCTCATCAGCTATTAAAATGGCGAAGTCACAAGAAACCGTTTTAAAGCTGAGAATCACGTTTCAATTCTCTCGTCCTCCTGTCCGTACTGTCCAAGCTCCTTGCTATAAAGTCACCCTACTCCCTTGTGAAAGACTTCGATCTCCACCCTCACCCATCTCATGGCATTATTCACAGCTGGCTCAGAACATCAATCCCTGAGATCTAAATAGGTTCGCCATATGAAGGCATCAACAATGTACTTTCTGTCTATTTCTATTTCCCGGTCCCAAGTCCCGCACATCCCACTACTTCAAGCCAACAATTACCATATTTTTTAATAAGTACTATACAACACCTCCCATCAACCTCAGTGACATAGAGCTACCAAAGCTCGTGCTAACGGACTGATATGCGAGTCAGCTTCTGAGCACCTAAACATATATTTTCCTGCGCAACTAAATATCAGAACATAGTATTTGTCTCACACGTATCGACCAGATAAAGGATCTAGCTCGAAGCCCGTGCGTGTCCAAGAAGAAAGCAAATAGTTCTAAAAGCACACGGCATTTAAGCTTGTGCACTGTGTAGCTCGTGGGGGGGGGGGACAATTGTGCACAGGAAATCATACGGGATGTATGTGTGCTTAGCCTTACTCGTATCATGTGAAAGAAAAGGATGGCTATTCTAGGAGTTCCTGTTTACTTATTCATTCTTACAATTCTAATTAGAAACACCCTGCAGGGTATAGTACTAAACAGTATACTAGAGATTTGCATTCCTGTGTATGGTACTTTGCTATGACTACCAGTAGAATTCTGGTGTTCTGCAGTATCTCATGCCATTATGCAGGGTTGCATTTCCCTACCGTGTCCAATGAAAAGAGCGCAAACCAAAACAGGGGCAAAACGTTACCATGTCGCTCTACCGTTCTTTCTCTTCTGACTTCAGCGGTGAGGAAAGTTGTTCATCGTTGTTATCTATGGTAAGGATAGAAATTGAGATTGCGGGGGAAGGATGATACGAGGTGTGGGAATCATATGAAAAATGCAGGGTCAAGTCATTGGAGTAATACTTGTACAAGTACTCTCGTACTCGGAAAAGACTGACTGACAACGCGCAGCGATAGCGGGGTATGCGGGTGCGGGGTAGTTTTTGCGGGGTGGGCCCCGGGCGGGCAGGTGCTAATCAAGCAACTGTGCTGACTGATGAAATGGATTCAGGAATGCGAGGATAAAGTAGGGCTTGTTGATGGTGATAGAAGACAAAAGAGATGAGTGGAGGGAATGACGAGAAGATCTGGGTACAAAATTAAGATATTGGCAGAAAATTATTATTCCTTGTATTGTGGAACATTCAGAACTATTAGGAGATCCTTGGAAGTTGGAATGCCCACCTAAGCTCCTTTAGAAACAAACTATAATGCGCCTCGCATGCCATGTGCCCTGAAACCCCAACGCCTCTTTTCCCATCCTCGTAATAAATCATGGTATCATAAACATAAACATAAACATTCTTTCTCTCAAGAGCTAGCCTTCACCGTGAGACAAGTCGAACAGCTCCACCATTTCTCCTCCATGACAGTTGTGCATTTCCTACAGGTCCATGTAGGAGCCTTCAGGCTAGGTGGATGTGTGGCTGTGGTCTTCTTGCGCTCGGATTCGGCTATCTTTTGCGTTACTTCGGGGGGGCGCTCGGTCATACATGCATCGCAAGATAGGTAGTTCAGAGGGTTGTGCAGTGTACAGGCGTTGCATGTCCAGCCAGTTAGGATGGGTTCTGGATCTGGAGCTGGAGCTGGAGCTGGAATCGAGGCGATTGATTTGGTGACGGGCTTGGAGACAGGCTTTGGTTTCTTCGATGTCGATTCGGTGACTAGACGGCTGACATGTTTTGGGGGTTGTCTTGAAGGACCGGGTTTTGGCTGGGATGCAGAAGCAGATGATTCCGTCTTGATAGTTTTCGAAGAACTAGGTTTTGGCTGGGATGTAGAAGAAGATGGTTCCATTTTGAGAGGTTTCGACGGACTAATTTGACCTGCGCCATTGCCGGAGGGATTCTCTGCTGTCGATGCAATGTAATCATCGCCATATTCTTTCTTCTGATCTTCCTGGACCAGTTCCCACATCGCCTGCGATATCGCACGCTCATTTGCCGCGTCCTCTTCAGCCTTGGTCTTGAACCCATTCTGCGTAGCTTGGTCTACTATGTCTTTGATTTCCTTCTCATCTCTAGCTTCTCCAGATCCGCAACCTTTCAAAACCGTGCTCCGTCGTTCGATGGCATCAACGATCACTTTCCGTATATCCGTCCCCGCCAGAACCGGTCTGCCTCCAAGCTTTTGCCCTGAGCCTGCAGTGAGGGTGCGTCTTCGTTCCGCGGCTGCACGCGCAACTCGTCGGGCTTCTGTCATTGGTATCCTACCTGCGCCCCCCAACTTATGCCCATCAGACAAAAACCCTTCGCCTGTGTAGCCTTTCGACATCAAAGCGTCGTATTCCTTCCTTAGTTGATCCCATAACGCATGAAAGGCTGCATTGTGAGGACCGATTACGTTGTGTGCCAGCTCGTGCAGCATAGTGTCGACAACATGTTCTAGTGGGAGGAACTGGTCCTTGTCTCCTGGATAACGTAGTCGGAGACATATCTTCTGGCCTCTATTCTGATTAATACCTGCGAGCGTTAGTATTGTATCACATCTTATGGGAGATCTCATTATACCTAACAGGTTCTGCTCATCAGGATAGAATTCAGCCAACACAGCAACCCTCCAGTTCCGCGCCCTCATAATAGGCTTGACCAGAGACGCGATCTTCTTTAGCGTCTGAAGAGCATCATCCCTACGAGAGAACTTCTTCAAATGCGAATACTCGGAGACGAGAGCGTCGATTTCCGGCATCTTGTCAAGGTTGAGGTCGAGGCTGTCTAGAATTTGATACTGAAGTTCTAGTGGGGTCGTGTGCTGCAAGGAGGTGGTGTTGAAGTTGCGGAGTTGCGTCAAACGTGAGATGACAAACGATTGAGCGTGTAGCAAGAAGTGCTTCCAGAACGTTCCCAGAGACGCCGGCGCCCTGTTTTTTACTGTGGTTGTGGTTGGGGTTGTGGGTGTGGTTACCTTTTGGAATTGTCATCAAGCGGCGAGGGAGACGCGGACGCGTCCGAAATGTTGCCTTGTCTGCGGAAACCCCACCCACCTACGTTTCCTCTTGCCACACCACAAACAATAAATTGTGCCAAAGAGCAGTGTGTTGTACCCACTCATATCATATCCTCCTATTTATAACTATGCTGCTTCCATTTCTCAAGTACAATAGCATTGCGGGGGTTTGAATTTGCGCTCTCAGCTTCCTGACTTAGTCACATAGCATTTGTTAGATTTTGCGCTTTACAGTACTATATCGACTGCGGCTTCTTTATTCTTGCCAGTTGTTAATTTAAGCGTTCCTTACTTTGCAATTATCTCTGAAGCAAAGTCTTGCATTTCTTAGCTGCAAAACGGCCCTGGCTGCACTATTTAAGGTAGCCCCAGAAGCATCCAGGTGATGTGTACAATTACTTGCTTCTCCGGGGGAGCTTGCAGACCGCATGTTCTTGTATTAGTGCTTGAATTTATATGTGCTATTCTCTTGCCCCTGAATCTCACACCTCTGAAAGCAACAGTATTCCAGGGTCTCCACTCATCAGACTATGCACAGTTTTCGAAGTATCATGGATCAACCTCTTCCACACACTGTGCTTTTTGACTTTAATCATATGCATGTAATTCCTCTTTACTCTGCTTGGAAGAAAGACGGCCAAAGGAAGCTGGCACCGGCTTCCTAGTACGCAGCTTGAAGTCCACCACATAGTTTGGCTCTGGCGGTGTTCATGCCGCCTTGAGGGGCTACTTTGCCTTTGGAAGATATAATAAATAGCATAATCTTCTATTTGATATGAAAGCCTTTTACTTCCTCTACTTCTGCTCTTTGAGCAAAACTCTCATCCATAATTCCATGCACAAAACAACCACCGACAAGCTCGTGATACCCCTCTCCTATTGGGCGCAGAATGAACGGCACGTCGCCCTTCCGAAATATACACACCAGATCTCCCACTTGAGCATGACTAGGCGCAAGGCCCATATAACCCTTGTCAGTGATCATGAAAGCTCTTCTTTGGAATGCTTTCATTGCAAATATCGAATATGGATAGGTTTGGATATTGACTGGCGCTTGTAAGAATTCGGATAGAGGTTTTGATAGATAGCTCTTGAAGTTTTCGATATGTGAGGAGAATGGAGGATAGAGCTTGTTTGAGTGAGGAATGCGGTCTGCGATGAGTGTGCGTCCAAAAGCTTCGTCGCTTCCACCTGGTTCATCTATATAGGGGTCCCGATCTCGCGATGCTACGACTAACTGCCGTCTTGTTGCAGCTTTTCGTAGTCTAACAAGTGATACCCTGGCCGATGACCCGAACTCCAATCTCTCAATCCATTCCAAACCTGGAACGAGAGAGCCGTTGAAATCTGGCGCTGGGTCCACGAACTCAATCTTGTCGAATATTAGACCATCTAGACTCAGGACTTTCATGTCTTCCGAGACTTCTGCATCGGAGCCGTATGTAACACGAGTGACTTTCCCGAACATTGAATTGTCACCTCTTATGTCGCTACCAGATCGGTATCCGTGCAATTGTGAGCTGATATAAAGTAAATTCTTGCCACAGAAAGAGAGGAAGCTTTTCACGGGGTGAGGATAAAGGTGTCTAACAAAAGCTAGTAGTCAGCACAAGACTGAACTGGAGATATGTGTTGTCGTAAATCTGCATACTCTTTGAAGACTTTATCAGGAGTCAAGCGTTCCCAAGCCAAATATCCACCGTCAGCACCGTAATTGCAGTCGATCAAATCCCTGCTAGGAAGTGATTGGGTTGCAAAGTCTGGGACCCATGAAGGTTTATATAGAGTGTTTGCATTCATCTGTGTGAATTGTAGCATTGCTAAACCCGTGTTGCTCGATAAGATATATGCAGCAGCTTCTGTAAAGATTTGCGAGTCGTCTTTCTCACCGGTGTAGTCTATTGGAATGGCCTGTTTCGCTTCACCAGAACGTCCTAGTATTGCATAGATTTTATCTCGTGGGATGGTGGAGCTAAAGGATTGAGTCATGTAACCATAGATTCCGTGATGCATCTTTAACATGTCTTATCTCTTGTATTCCATGCCAAATATTATCCAGGGCAAAGTAAGGGGTCTCCGGGGATATGAAGGTCCAGCGGTCCACGATTTTGGATGGTCTCTGATAAATGTCCTCATATAGGCCAGAATCAATGAAAGTGCGTAGAAGGGCCTCCTTCCCGGCTAGGATTAAAAAAGCTTCCAGTTTAACCTCCTCCATACCACACTTTACAGTCACATTCTTAGCATTCTTGCTCCAGATCACTCTCTCAAAGATTCCAATTCGGCTCCACCACGTCCGTGCAAACAGATCTTGAAGGGCAGGCCAAGGGGGTATATTGCTGCTCTCGATGTAATCTCTAATATCAATCATGTTTGTAGAGCGAATGAACTTCATCGCAAAGTCGCTATCGTCGGCGGCGGGTCCGAGCCAAATACATGTTTTCTCCGCTTGAGTAAAGATTCTTGCCATCTTTTCCATTTGATCTGCCTTTTCCACAGCATCTTCTTGGTCGACGGAGATCGTGTTGACCCAAAGCAGCACTGCTTCATCCTCACGTCGCAAACTCTCAAGCGCAGCTGCGAGGGTAGTAGAGATACCAAATGGCGTTCCATTCAATAGTGTTGATCGAGTCCGATCACTGAAAATCTTCCAGTACAAGCCGCGTATGTATTAATAAAAACCCCGGAAAGTCGATAGAGAATGACTCCGTCTGATCGATACGCCTTCACTGTAGGGAAGTGCCGTATATTGTGGATAATCGTCCAAATAGTAAACATGCAATTCGCAAACTAGACGCTCTGTCCTGTGGCCAGGATATAAAAGCAATACTCGGATATGATTCTTAGTCGTATCCAGTAGAGAATAAATAGCTAGCCTCCTTTTCTAGCGCAAAGGGGGCGTACTGGAATCTGCGATAGAAGCCTTGGGTGCTGGTAATTTAGACGACTTCCATATTTGAACAGATCCAGCTGTTAAAACTAAGGTAGAGAAGGACCCTACAACTCTGCAAGCCATTTGAAAATGTGTACTCTAGCTAAATATTATCACGTAACTACAAAATTTCCGTACCTTGTTTTGGTCAGTTGTGTTCAGCTAATTAAAGCCACCCAAGTTCCACAGTATATCATTCCACCAGCCCCCGAATAAAAGAGCCCGCGTTTGAATTTCTGCTTGCGGAAAGACTGGCGAGCCACGAGACAATGATCTACATGGTAGATGGGTCTGTACGTTGGCTTCTTTCAGCTTCCTGTCTGAATTTAAGCCTCCTAATAGCCTGATATTTAGGCTATCAAGAAGCCTTAAATTACGGTAGGGGACCGGGAAATTAAAGTGAAAGACTCCAATTTGTGTATAGAATCTACTAGTATACGCGATTATATAGAAGTGGAGGATCAAAAAAGTTATAAGGATATAAAGTGGTTGGGTTATAACTAAGCGAGTGTCCGGAAGGGCCACCTTATCGCCAGTTTATTGGAAAAGATTGGAAAAAAGATCAAAATGAATGAATAGTTGAAAATAATAGGGCCTCGTATCTGGTCCCGCAGATTTGTGTCTGATCTGTCCTGTATGGAAACAGTCTAAGCTACTCCGTAGGTTGGGAGCCTCTTTTCTCCACAGTAAGCTGAAACTACGGAGGCGTATACCACCTAACACGAAGTTAAAAGCAGTATCACTTCACTAGCTATCGCTATGCCCGCAATATGCATATGAATATTGGCAGCGTAAGCACTGCTGCACGTACAACGCAACAACGCAGGTCAGATGTGCTCAAGCACCCAAGATCCCACTAGAGGTGTTGTCACGTAGAATCAAAATGACTGTTACTCGAACCTCGAAACAGAATTTGGATTCACAATATGCATATACCATTGCTTCGCATACTCCCTTTAGATCATTCCTCGGTCAGAAAAGCAGGAAGCAATTTCGTTCGTACCCTGTCACTTTATGGATGGAGGTCCTAGTCTCGCTAAAAAGTGTGGTCCGTGCCTTTTGAAGTTATTCCCAACTTCTAGTTTCTAAACTCTTAGTCTTTTCTCTTTATATCTTGTCTTAGTAAAAAAACTCATGTATCAACACTCTACCACTGCATGATATACTCAACGCCTTTCAAGGTATCCGTGAGTGCCTTTGGACATTTAATATGCTTACTTATGCGACAAGATTCCGACCACTTCCTTCACGTCTTTCGCGCCATGCTCAGCTAGGTCAGCGTTCTAGACTTGAAAGATTTCAAGTCCCAACAGCCATTCGCAGGTTCTGGTCTTGGAGAAAGGTAGATCCCGACTTTTCGTTCTCTTTTGTGGACGAAATTGTCAATAATTACGATTGGGACGGTCTTGACTGGCTAGTACCTTCCCTTGGCCCTCAATTGAAGAAGTATTGCGAAGATTTAGGATTATGGGACGACAAAAAATCTTGCCTAGACCCTCATTGGCACGTGGAGGTTAAAACTTACAAAGCACTTCCTCAGAGGCTACCACATGCGGGCAGGTACGAGTGGGTAGGTGGGCAGAGCTCTGACCCACCCAAATGGTTATGGGACACCAAGACTGGACAAACGGTTCTCGCAACTGAAAGGATCCTGCGAGAGGGATATAGAGCTGTGTCGTATACCTCCTCGACAAAGTTTTACAAGCTGAAGGCCGCGCGCTCTTTCACAATGGCCATGCCCGGGACAGTTACAGAGCCCGTAGGAACACGCCTATGATCAACCCTAAGCTTCACTTCTTTTCTAGTATGACTCCACAAGCCTCGGATGACTCGATGCGCGGCATCTTTTCAAATCTCGGTTCGTATATCTACATCCCTGCCCCCAGTTGGGCCGCATGTCCCGACCGCACTCTTCAAATCCCGCACGAGTCTGAGCTTCAACTATTCGACAGTGGCATCCGGAAAGTAAACCTCATTGTCCATGGGGCTACAAAGGATCAGTTGGTCTCGGGTGGGGGCATGAGTGGCGCACTAGACGGTGTCGCGAAGTCATATAATAGGTGGTTACGGAAGTTGCAATGGGGGGAGTCCCTTTGCAGAGCTTATGAACTTCCTGATATATTTATATACCCTGATCGTGACCCTCTGCACCCAGAGCATGGAGGCATGCCAGCGGATCTTGAAGTTCGCTTTCTTCCCCTTGCGCTAATGTTGGAGCCTGATGCCACAAAGGAAATATCTTCGAAAGTAGAAGGAGACCCTGAAATGAAACCGATTTGGGATGCTATGGGTTTAAGCACCAAGTCTGATGATCGAGTGACAGGTATTATTATTGCATCGGACAAGGAGCGCGTTGGACCAAAGGTCTGGTACAAGTGTGGGTTTTATTTATCATATGGTTCTTTTACCCCATTTCCGGTTCCAGAGAAAGAAGGCATGATAGTAGGGAGACTCTAATCTACTATGAAGTATTAGTATGCCGAATAGTAATAGCATCTGGGCAAAAAAAGTGACGATCTAATGTTATGCTAGTAGAGGCAGTGAAAATTCGCTTAAAAAGGGGTTCAGTGAAACTCATGTCAGCATGTCAGCATGTCAGCACATCTTCATGCACTTCGTCGTCTTACTTTTTCTCTTCCTATTGAGACACTGGATATAAAAGAGAAGAGAAGGAAAAGTAGTTTTTGCGATGTTGTATTGCCACTCTCCCCGTATCTGATTGAAATGGGTAAGCTTAATAGGTAAGCTTACTATTTTCTCGTGTACAGAGTCAGCTGTCAGTGTCACGCGAGTCTGAAAATCATGGTCAAAATGAGTTGGTCTGAGGTTCACTCAAGACTGAACATTCCGTATGAAGCGAGATTTTTAAGCTTAATTCATTTCATCATCGTCCATTTTGAGTAGTCAGCGCGAAATTCGTATTCTATGGTTCTTAAAGTTCAAGTCGTAAGAATAAGCGTCTTAGCTCCGGGCGATCCCTTTCGCTTTACGACGGTAGTTCGACGGATAGCGGAAACTAGATGTAGGGCGACATCATGTGGGGTAGTTACCGTTCATTCAGTGGGACAGAATATCCTCGTATTTGTTAGTTTGTTCTACAGTGTTGGTCGCCTCAGCCTCAAGGCATCACCTGCTTGATACGAAGGGCTTGTGTAATTGCGGTGCTGCCGTGTAGATCTTCATGATCATGAGTACAGTACGACAACGTGGTAATGAGGGGTTCATTTAGTATACGAGTGTTGATTACGGTGTAATCGATCGGTAATTGTCCAATTGCCTTCCTTTGCATTTCTTATATAAACTTCGATGCCGATATAGCTTCCCTTCTTTTTTCATTCGTCTCATCACTACATCATTTCATCACCATAGCCATCTCTGGTCTTTCAATACCTCCTCAACGAACAAAATGGTATCACTTCGCAACCTCGTCATCGCGGCATCCGCCATCATCGGTCTCACGATTGCTGCCCCAACAGTCGAAACGAGACAAACTACCTGGACGCCAGGAACGCAAAACAACACCCAAGAATTCTACCTCCATATGACCGTAACAGACGGCGACACCAAATACAACGGCTGGGCGTGTACGTAACCCCTCCCCTTTCTAACTCCTTTTCTTTCTAACCCCACCACAGTAGAAGCATGGCACACAGGTGCGGGGTTCGCGGACCCGTCTTCGTCAATACAACAGGCACGCGCGCCTTCCTCAACGGCACGCACCTGCAATTCGACACTAGTCCGTATGCCTTCTCGGCGCTCGGCAGCCCCAGCGACACCAACTACGCGCGCTGGGAGCCGGTCGGAATCCAGAGCGGGTATGGCACGGGGGTGTGGAAGAGCAATGGCTCGGATGGCTTTGTGGTGGATGCAGAGGAGTTTGGGGGGTGGGTGGTTTGTGAGTGGTTCCATGGGATTAATGCGCCACAGCTGTTTCAGATGATCTCTGGGTTTGATGCGGAGCCATATAATGTTCCTAGTAGTTGTGCTAGGGTGTTGTTGTTTGCGGTTTATATTTGAGGTCCGGGAAGAGAAAGGGTGGGGTGGTTTGAAGCCGTGGTGCGAACGAATTAGATCAGAACTGAAAGAACCAAAACGGGGAAGTGTCTATCGGATACTCTGGTTTCTAGAGATATTCTAGTAGTCGATGAGCTTCTATTAGAACTTTAGTATGTTTAAATGCTAGTCTAAATTTCCAAATTAGCGTCAAAAGTTACCAGAAAAAGATAGATGATAAATCTACTAAACAAATGATAACTCCTAGACATATGGATATATTATATGATATCCCACATTAATATTTCGACGACTTAGGAGGTGTACTACTATTTAGAAAGTTAGAGATTCATTCCAGGGAACGCAATTACTATTTCTAGCAAACTTGGGGATTAGAAAAAGGTTTGGGGATAGTTCTATTTATTCAACTATTGTGCAAAAGGATAATCAAAGGGTACCCCAATCAACGACTAAAGAATTACTAAAGCTCTCTAACTAATGTTTAGGACTACGCTCAAAGGGCCAAGGAGATCCTCGCTTGCAAAATGAGAAAGAACCCTTTCACATTGTCCGTCGCGTGCCATTCAATGTTCGTACGCCGGCGAAAAGCCTATCTTCTAGTCTCTCTGTGGGTTCTTGACATGAATGGTAAGCTCAGGTATGTCTGATGCAAAGCATGGAGGTATGTATTAGTCTATAATCCCACAAGACAAATGGTGATTAGGTCCGAGATCTCAGAAACTTTAAAGGGCTTCACTCGCCATGTAAACAGAGACATCCATCACAATAGCAGAAAAAATACTTAATTTAGTTGCTTGTTTGATTGTATGTCGAGAGACATTTAACTATAATCATTTCTCTGCCTTCTCTACAGCTCTGAGGAAACCAGTGAATATTTTCTTAAAAACGTTTCAGGCGCTATTCTGGGCGGTATCTCACAATCCTCTTTCGCCAAAGCTTTCTTTAACCACGCATGTGCCTCCTCGTAAATAGGTTCGCATTTTCCCTCCCTCTTCTTCTTCTTCTGTGGTGATTTTCTGAAGTGATGTGTGAAACCATGCGAGCACCCCTTTGCTAGGGTTCACTTGTACGTGCCATTCTCAAAGTCTGCTTCCTGATCTTCCAAATACTTTAACCCCGCAAGGTCGTGAATCATGTCCTGGCTTTCCAGCCTCAGCATATCCCATTGTGCCCCAATAATATAGATCCAAGGCGGGAGGTCCTGTTTCCTAGCATAGCAAGGACTGAGTAAGGGATCCCGACGGTTTTGACCCGGAGCAACGTATCCCCAGTCAAACCAGTAGCTCGGGACTTCTAAGTGGTCTTTTGGGCCCCCTTTATAAGCACGCATTTCTAACTTCTCATTCGGAGGATGACCCCAATCTACTATCGGGTAGAACGTCAAGGCGGCCTTGATATGACCATTTAAACCTGGCAGCTGGCTTGCACAAAGCGCCAAGTTGCTGCCTGCACTGAAACCGCCGATCACGACTCGGGTCTTGTCAATGGGTAGGCTTGTATCGGCGAGCACAGCGTTGGCGAGGGCAGCGACATCGTAAACAGCTACTGGGAACGGGTAAAGGGGCGCTTTGGAGTAGTCGAGAGATACAATCAACATTCCCGTGCGCTTTGCCCACATGACACAGAACTCGTCATCGTTTTGGGGGTCGCAAACCGCAAACCCACCGCCGTGTATGTTCAAATACAACGGTAGTAACTCTCCGGGTTTATAGTTTGGTGGAAAGAAGATGTTTGGAGTTTGGGCCGGCATGGGTAGAAGTTTATCAGAGTTAGACGCAGAGACAGCGGTGGTGGATTCAGATATCGATCGACTGCAAAGACGATGGACGCTAGAAATTTGAGGATCGAGGGTATATACTATATTGGATTTTGGGTGAAAAGGGGCAATTCCCCTAGCAGCGCCGGAAGGGGAAGGCGGTCGCTGAGGGCGGTGAGCGCCGAGCGCTACTAAAAGTAGTTCTGCCGATCTCCTTTAACCTCTTTATCACTTCGAGGGTATATACTATATCGCAGTTCCGCCGAAGCTGCGAAACAGGGATCTCCTATCTAACCGCTTACTATTTATAGTAGGCGGTTATATATTCTGCTAGCTAAACTAACCTTGATAGAGAGATTAGATTAGATAATTTAAAATTATTTAACGCGTCCTAGCTAGATATATAGTAATGCATCTTCTATTTTTATAATTGCTCTTCTAAATATAAACCTAATTAAGTTACTTGCATTCTAGTTATTAATCTTACTCTTACTATATATAACCTAGCTAATAGATCTTCTCTACCCTAACTAGACCTATAGTGTATTAATTTATATAAAGTGCTAATATACTATCCACTTAACTACTATTATATATTATCTATATAATAACTATAAAGGTGCTATCTTATATAGTAAGACTTAAGAATATACTTATCTATTTACTCCTAATTATCTCTTATCTCTATAAGATATTAAGTAACTCTATATTCTAATAAATATGCTACTAATCCCTTACTTATAGATCTATAATAATGCTTACTGCTATAAGCTATGCTCTCCTAAATAGCCCTTTATTATTTATAATTAGAATAGAATTCTTAAATATTTAAAGATAGTCCACTAGTAGACTAGAAATAAAGGGTTTGTTGGAAATACAGCCCTTGCGGTATCAGGTGACGCGGCTGCTAGGGGATGCGTATGAGGTTATAGGAACCTCGTCTTCACCTTTATAGTAGCTTTCCTCTTTTAAGCTAATATAACCCCTTTAACTCACTTTCCTAACTATATCCCTATCTGGTCTACGTGTTCTTCTAGAGGTAATAATCCTAGGAGGCATATAGTTCTAATAGGTTCTAAGCCCTAGTTATAAGGATAAAGGTGTCACGGGTGAGTCACGTATACACAGAGGCTCAATGTGGTATTTAACAAGTTTGATAAAGGAGAGAGAAGAATCTTCATCTGGATCTGAAGAAAAGTAAGCGCTTCCTAGTTAAGGCTTAGTAAGCTAAGCATAGGTATAGCCTATGCTTTACCTCTAGGGCTTGCCCCTTATATTACCCCCTCCCTCTACCTATTTATAGGCGGTAAATAATCTATTAGAAACTGAATAATATAGTTGAAACTATAGTAGTAAATAATCTAAATCTATAGATATTATACTACTATTCCCCTTATAAACTGCCTAGGCTCTACTAGATTTTAGATGTAGTCTATCTACTTAGTAAAGCTCTCTTACTTCTTACTTTTACTATTATCTCTATTTAGTTATACTATTTACCCTATAGTATTATAAATCTATATAGTATTATGAATCTATAAATAATAGAGTGAATAGTTGTTAATAAGCGAGTATAAGATCCCTTCTCCTATTTGTTTTTAAACTTTCTTTCTCTATTGCTAATACTATTAAAGTAAGTATAGTATATCATATAGAGTAGTTAAGTGCTTAAGTGCTTAAGATGCCCTCTGCCCCTCCTATATAGACTCTATATAATACTAATTAGAGTTAGATGTCTAATATTATCTACTGCGTTAGCTGCGCCCTTTTAGGAGTTAACTGTATTAACTAAAATATAAGTTGGATTCTAATTAGTTTCTATTAGGTTCTGCTAATTCTATAGTCTAACTAGTCCTATTCCTGTGCTAAGTATGCCTATAAGCGTAAAAACTGCAAGAACCTATATATATTTATTAGACTCTAATTATAAAATGTTGCTAACTAATTAGTCCTTAAATGGCTTATATTGCCTATACTATCTAGTTCTACTCTACTAATACTTTAGTATAGGTTTTAGTTAGTTTCTGCTTCTTTTTAATTAGCTAACACTTAATATAGTGCGGACGCCTTTACTAATCTAGGCAAGGTACTTAAGGCCTAGAAGGCTTTAAAGCTATTATAGGCAGCTAGTCTTCTCTCTATGTATTTTTGCTAGACTCTACTTATTTTATATTGCTAACTACTAGTTTCTAGTCCTATTACTCTAGAGGTTACTAATATAGTAATAAATATAGTTACTTAATAGGGTTAAATATAAGTTATACTCTACTCTCTAATTCTTTTCTGTTAGTAACTATTTATTAGTGCTAGCAGTGTTCCTATAGTAGTGGTTCTTAGGCTATATTATGCTAATCTCTAATTCTAGGGTTTTATATGCAGTCTCCTAGCGTTTTACAGTAGTCTGCAGGCTTATTCCTATTTCTCTTTCTCTTTTTTTTTTTTTTTTTTTCTTTTAAATAGTAAATAAAATTTATTACGCTCCTAATTATCCTAATTCCACTCCTTAATACCTATGCTTTATATGAAATTAGACTTTAGCTGTTTTTATCCCCCCCTTTTTTTTGTTAACTTTTCCTATAATGCTTAAGGTCTATTATAGGTTTTAGGATCTCTATATTTAACTTTAAACTTATCTATAGTAGTATTATTTAATAAATTTTCTAAGGGTTCCTATATTAGTTTATAATATCCTAACTATTTTACTAGTACTTCTCTAACCTTCTTTTTCCCTTTTACTTTATCTTAAGTATATAGAATCTCCTTTACCTGCTACTCTTTATACATCTTAAATAACTTAGGCTCTAGTTATTTATTATTAGTTTCCTGCCTAGAAAGAGGATTATAGCTTGCTAGATATAATAGATCTATATAAAAAACCAGGTGGATATTACTAGGGATCCCTAATAAATAAATAGAGACTAGTAATAATACTTTGTCTACTATATATTTAGCATATTTATAGTCTAGGCTCCTTTTTAGGCGGCTTATTTAGTAGTTACATAGATCTAGCTATACCTTATTGCCTTCCTAGTAGATTAGAGCTAGAGTCCTTTTCTTGTTAGCGCTTTCCTCTTATTTTTAAGCGGACTCTGCTATACTTGATTAATATAAGTTAGTAATCTGTTTTATTTTTTTAATAAATGCTTTAGCCCTTTTTATAGCAGGTAGCTTAGGACTATAATTAGGCTCTAGTTATAATATAATAGGTGACAGGGCCTTATACCTATAAGTTGCAAAGAATAGGCTTATTCTAAGGCCTGCTTAGTAATATCTATTTAATGCTAATTAAGTGGTAGGGAGCTATCTTTTCTAATCTAATTATTCTTGATTAATAAAGTTCTAAAGATATACTTGCACTTCTTAATTTAACCTTTCTAGCCCTCTATTAGTTTATGGGTGGTATCTAGAGCTAAGCCTCTACTATATGCTAGTTAAGTAGTAGAAAGTCTTCTAGAATATGCTTATCTAGTTTATGCCTCTATTGCTGGTAATTGCTTGCAGTATACTATAGTAATATGCCTAGCATTTTATAAACCTTTTAGCGCACTTCTTAGCTTTTATACTAGGTATTGCTTCTAATATAACAGACTTGCTTAGTTAGTCTTTAATTACCTAGAGGTAATAATTACCTTAAGAGTCTAGTAGGTTAGTTATAAAATCTATAGAGATCTCCTAAAAGAATTAGTTAGGGACTAATAAAGGCTTTAGGAGTTCATGTTTATATTCTCTTTATATCTTATTTCTTCTGTAATAGTTATAGTTCCTTAAGAATTATCTTACGTGTCTTAACTATAGTGGCTAGTAGAAGTTGCATCCTAGTATAAATATAGTAGAGTCCCGGCCTAGATATCTATAGACTAGTAAGTTATAAATAGACTAAATTAACTTTATTCTTAGAATATCATTTTATCGAACTATAGGTTCCTTTATATTATAGTTAGCCTCTATAGATACTAGTGCTCTAGGAACCTATAATTTACTATGGTAGCATAAGCGGCTATCTATATTAATACTATAATTACCTACTTAGATCTTTAATTTAACCTTACTTAGAAACGATCAGGCTCTGCTCTATATTAAGCTAAGAATGGTCTAGTATAGTGTATCCTTCTACGCTGTTCTATCTTATAATTCATTTAGCTCTTTATCTTAAAAAGGGGGCCTAGGTTCTATATAGTCTTAAGCGGGTTCTATATAGTCTTAAGTGGGGTCTATGTTAAACTGCGTAGCTAGCAACTAAACTAATATAGTGGCTACTACTACCTCCCCTCTATCTGCTTATTCCGGCTAATTTATTACGCGGTCCGGACTTAAGAACCGCCTAAATCTTGATATCTTATTATCCTCCTCTAGTATATCCTGCTCCCTCTTAGATAAGGCATCTGGGACTATAGCTTTAATCCCCGGCTAATAGACTAAGGTAAACTGGAACTTTAATATAGTCTTATACTATTAAATTTAATACTCTAATAATTACTTCTTTATTATAAAGTACTTAAGGTTTTTATAGTCTATCTAAATTATAAAGGGGCTATATGTTTTTAGTTTAGGGGCCTAGAACTTTAAGCAGGATATAATAGCAAGTATTTCCTTATTATAAATATTATAATTAATCTTAGACTTATTTAACTTCTAAGAGAAAAAGCTAACTGGTTAATAAACTCTATCCTTCTCCTATAGGAGAGTGCCTCCTAATATAAACCTACTATAGTTAGTCTCTAAGAAAGTTGAAAGTATTAGATCCTAGTAGGAAAGCACTAGTGCTTTATAAAACTTATCTTTTAGCGCTTTAAATGCAAGCTCCTCTAGTTTTCCCTAGGAGAATGGGATTTCTTTACTAGTTAATATAGTTAATGGTCCTACTAACTTTAAGTAGTTTAGTATAAATATCTAGTAGTAATTTATAAAACCTAGAAAACAGCGCACTTCCTTTTAGGTTTTAGGCGGCTTCTAGTCTTATATAGCTTCTACTTTTACTAGGTTAGGCTCTATAC